TCTCAGAAAGATGCACAATGAATTCTATGCAGGGTTGATTACTGCTTTTAAACAAGTTTTTCAATGTCTATTAAATTAATATTATATTATTATATAATATTACATATATATATAAACATATATATATATAATATTATATCAGGAAGCTTTAATAAAATGTCAAAGCTTTTCTCTATAATCTCAGTTGATAATAAATAAATTGAGTTCTGTGGAAAAAAAGTGAGAATCGTGTTAAAACAAAGTTCAACAAAGATCACCGCAAAACCTTTTACTTGACTATAAAATTATCAAAACAAACAAGTTCAATATCAGTGCACAAGCTAAAGCGTTGATACGTCATTTTTATTTTAAATACTTATTGTACATGTGAACTCATAATGAGTTGTATTTAATAGATTTTAATATTTTTTGAGAACTCGTTTCTAATGTGGGTAAGTTTAACCACGGTCAGGTGGTAATGTTTTTGGGGCTTATTAAAAGTTTATGTAATTACATATTTAATGGTGTTTCAAATAAGAAAAGCTATCAAAACAAAATAAATCTTGAGAAACAAATTCATACTACAAATTTCTTTTAAAATTAAGAGAAAAATTTGTCATAAATCTTTTTCGCTCTTTTATGAAAATCTTCAATTAAATGTAAGTAAGGACGTTTGCGAGAGTTTTTCCTGTTTCGCCTTCGTTTACCCTTATGTCAGCGATTATTATCGATTGTCTGAATAACTGAACAGTTAGAATATGACACTTGGGTACCATTGGGAAATGTATATAAACCTGAATTAGCCGATCCCATTGTAGAACCGAAACTGTTGGAAAGCACTCCGCAGTTTGCAAAAGTTCCAAGAATTGTCATCGTTAACATATTATTATTGCCCTTATTTTTCTTAGATGGAGTAAATATAGCACTTAAATCAATGTAATCATCATCATTTGGAAAATGAATCGGACCATCAGAACGTGCGTTTGTTGGGCCATCAAACACAACTGCCCCAGTGTCACGATCAAGTTCATTGCGTTGAATATCTTTTCTTGTGTGTCTGGAAATTCCCAGTGAGTTTCTTCTTCCACTGTGTTTCCATAAGTTGTTTAATTGCTTGTATGGGGCTACAAAAAATTAGTTTTATGTATAACATTTGAAAAATAATTTCAACAGAAGAAACTGTTTTTCTGTTGCACAAATAGATGTCTCACCAGCTTGACACAAAATCTCGGTTGAACTCAACAACCAATCGATTATTGTTAGAGTAAACAAAAGCCTCATTACACGTTTAACAGGTTGAGAGAAGATAAATCTATCACACGCTAACTTACGCTGCTTAATCACGACTAAGAAGTGTTGAATTTTATTCTTCACTCGTAAATTAAAGAAAGAAAAAAAAAAGGTTTTTATACAAGCCGAGCCCACATAAGTATGAACGTCGCCAGTATATTTATTTTAATAATGTTGTGTCGTCTCAAACACATTAAAACTTTGACTAAACGTTGACACTAAAAGACTTAAAATTTAGCTTCCGAAATATTACGCTTTTTCATAATGAAGCATTCACAACAATAACTTAAATAAAATGACGATTTAACGTCAATGTTTTCATTATTTTTTTATTGAACTTTTTTTTGTCGTGTTGAGTTTTGCAATAAAAAATCTGTCAGAGTTCATTCACATATGTATGTTAGATTTTAACCAGCAGCATTTGGAAAAAATGGATTATATTGAATTGGAAATGGTTGAAAGACTGGCGGTCCAAATTGAATAGGAAGTGGGCCATGTGGTGCTGTTGCGGTTTTTGAACCGGAATCACATCCAGTTTGACTGAACGTTTGTCCATTTGTATTTGTGAAAGATGAAGAACTTGATGAAGAGAAAGATGAGGTAAAGCCATTTCCACTTGAAGTACCTCCAGACGTACCGCAATTTGTTGATGAACCACTGCTGCCAGTTTGTCCATGAGTTGCACTACTAGAACCTGCTTTCGATTCTTTAACTTCTGTCCCATCAGGTGCTTTATAAACATTCGTTCCCGAATGTGAATGAGTGTTCGACGTTGAACCGTCTTTGTTAATTTGTATAGCTTGCGCAACTGAATCTGTTTTTGTGCCCTTGACGCCGTTTTGATTATACTCAACGACGTTTGTATTTGCTTTGCTATTTCCAGATCCAAATGCATTTTGATTCGTCGCTGATGATCCACTGCTAATTTCTTTTTTCTCTCCAGTCTTATCCTTTGTAATTTTAAACTTAGTATTTGCGTCAGATGCTTGAAGTGAATTTGTATGTTGATCAAAATTTGCAGACTGACTTTGAGATGTTTCTTGTTCTGAAAACCCATCGACAGTATGTGATGAAGTCTTTTGTACATTTGCTGCTGATAATTGACCCTTTTTTCCATTTTCAGCAATATTACTTCCAATTGATGACGCTCCCGAGTTGTGGAAATTCCCATGTTCATTGTTTACTTCGTTGTTGTATGAATTGGCTCCAGCTGTTTGCTCTTGTCCGCCATGCTTATTCGTAGCTTGCGATTGTGCATTCGCAGAACTAATTGAAGTTGACCCCCAAATTGGTCGATCATCATTGTTCACCGAGTAAGGTTTTTGCTGTTGAACTAGACTTGCCGATGGAATTGTCGCAGGTCTTTGAATATTTATCGGTTTCTGAATGCGATTTTGTGTTGGAATATTTGTCTGAACTTTGTTTTTCATTAATTGACCGTTTCTGATAGCCTCAAGTTCTTCTGGTGACACAAAGTCTGTGTTGATTGGAACTGAAAACAAGAAAATGAAATATTTAACTATAAAAAGTGTTTTTTAATAAAAAATTATATCATACTTGAGCACACTAGCTTCCCAAAGCTCAGCGATATGACAACAAGAAAAATCGCAACTAATTGCATCTTTAACAAGTAAGACAAAAAAGTTTCTTTCTATTGAGGCGCAGAAAAACGATCTTCACACACCAATATTCGATTTACAACTGACACTAACTCTCTGGAAATTCTTCGATTACTCATTTCGCGTCTAAAAGAGTCGCCTTTGGAATAAAAAATATATTAAAACTAAAAGAGTCCAAGAACAAGTTTATGTAGTTGAATGAAAAAATCCCATCCGATGATGATTCGAAGCTTCAGAGTAAAGAGAAGTAAATAGTTAACATAAAAACATCACAACTTGAGTCACCCTGTTTAAGAAATTATTTCGGATGTGTGCGCGTTTTTAAAAAATCATTCAAATTGACCTTTTTGATAACAATATTTACAGTTGTCTTCTTAAATATTAAATCGCCAAGATTGTCTATGAATATTAAAATGTTTATATAGAAATGAGGTCAGTTTTACCTTTTAAGTATTGTGAATAATAATTCCATTCGCCAATTGCAAAAAAAATCCATTTGATGAAGATTTTTTTGTTTTATTCTCAGTCGGACGGCATAAGTTGGTTTAAACAACGATATTAGATTCGCAATAGAAATCAGAGAAATCACATAACTACCGGCAACGCTAATTAAGGTTGATGACTTTACATTCAGTCTCTCGCTCTCAGTTGTGTCGAATAGTGCTATGGAATATTCGGACATGGATTTTTTTATATTATTCAATGGAAACAGCATAAAAATTATTTAAAAATACACAAGAGATGAGATTATGATCGTAAACAAGGCCACATTTTACGCTCCACTATCGTCGGCAAGTTCAATTTGCCGGCTTCTGATTACATACGGTTTAAACAATATCAGTTTGATACATCTAAAATCTTGAAATTGCATCTTTTAAAAACTTTACAGTTGAAGTTAATAAAGTTATTTCTCAAGTGTAAGCTCTTTCCATTCATTCAATAAAGTGAAACATTCATTGAAACGGTTTAAGCATAATTTGCCGTCATTGCAGATAATCGCAAAAACGATCGTCAATTAAATTTAACGCAAGGAAGTTTTAATGTTTTCTTGATCAAAATCTATTAATTTAAAGCAGTCTTTTTTTGTTATTTCTTAATTTTGGACAGATGAATTATGATTAAATATCAATCTGTAACATTTCCGATCGAATTATTCGCTTTCTTTCTTTTTGCTCTCAATCTTTGCTTTCCACGCAGTTTTTTTTTGTTGTTAATGAAAAGTTATTTATTTATTTTTAAAAAGAAAAGAAATTATTAGCTAGAACTTTTTTTTCTGTTAATCATCGATGCTCAAAAGCTTTACTGTTACTTTGAGTGATACATGAAATGGAAAACTGTCAGTTTTTGGATTCTTTCAATTCAGTTAAAAACTACCATTACGAAGCAGAATATTATTATGAGACAATGGGCCGATATTTTATGAAACCATTTATGAACATTTATCCTCATAATTTCATAATTATATCGAAGTTAAGTTGAAATCTGCTACAGTGAAAATAACTTGACTTTCATAAATTGAAGAAGAATTACGAACTCCATGAGATTTTAAGTGTTTGCTTAAATGTAGGTCTAGCGTGTTTATCAATTAATAGCTTTCATTTATGAATGAAAAAAATGAATGCTGCCCACTGAATAATGAAACATAATTAATTCATTGTACGTTTTTAAAGTGAATAATCGCAATAAAATTTAATTTAACATATTGACACAAGAAGAAAATAGAGTTCATGGTTTCATGTTCCACACTGATCATAGAACTGATCATTTCTGTGATCATAGAACAAATCAGAATAATTATTCGATATTTACTTTAGATAACTTCAATAAAAAGCGATTATTGAATTGAAATTGTGGAGTGTCTCAAAGCAATTTAAATTAACTGAACTTGTTTTATTTTAATAGAAAATTTTTCATTTTTTACTGAAAAAAATTAAATTACAATTTAAGAGTTTGCAATGCTTTTCATTTAAGTTATTTACATAGTTTCATAATATTAATAACTTTTATGCTGTTCAACGATAATAAAAGAACGGTTCATTTATTCTTATTTAACATCAGCTTCACTGACCTTGCATTGAAATTTAAAAATTCTTTCTATGATCATTTTGAACTAAAATCTATTATAATTTTTTTTAAAAAGATTGAACAACTCTTGATTAAAGTTATCAATGAGTTATGTTTAAATTTACATGTTGAAGTTCTAATGCAAATTAAATATTCATACGCAAAGGAATCACTGAAGTGCTAAATGTTGCTTCCTTGAATTAATTTTCTCTGCTGCAAGTAAATATATTCAATCTATCTAACGTTTGTTGGCGCACTGTATTTTCATTACATAATGCAATATCATTATGCTATCTTGTGCTTATATCATCAGTTTGTAATAAACTGAGCGTAAGATTAGAAGCTTCTTTCTTAAAAACTTCCCTTTCTTCTCAGTACTATTAGCTAAGCGTTTTTTTTTTTGGTTTTCAAGAAAATAATTTCCTGCGAATTACGGTAAATCATCATCATCACCGTCTTATTTAACAAGGTGGAAGAGAAAAATTGTGAAAACACTTAGACCGTGGCACCAACAATAAGTTATTTAGACATTGATCTTTGTTCTCCAAAGCCTTCAAGTAACAAACCATTGTAAATTGTAAATTGATTTCATTTCTCATCTTCTTCTTGCTGCTTCTTCTTTTTTTTATTTTATTTTATAAGAAACAGAAGTTTATTGGGCATTGAAATACTTCGTTAGAGATGGGAAAATGAAAACACAAGCGTTATGAATGTAACCAAAATATACAAATTTTAACAATGTTGTCAATGTTTGTATAAAATACCTACAGAAAATCGCTTAGCAAATGTCTGCTTAATTGTTGCAGATCTTACTCATGCATAATAATAAAAAATAAGATAAAATAAATGTTTACGTTATATAGAAGAATTGAAATTTACATGAATAAGTTCGTTAATTTAAAAAAGCTTCACATACAAAAGGATTTTCAATAATGTATAGGAGATGAAAAAGGCTAAGAGAATTCAATTTAAACCCTCGTGAACTTTAAGACGCGTGAAACCAGTGTCTGAAACTAATAAGCTGTGGAAACAGAAGAAAGAATTGAAATGGAATTCCATGGTACATTGCTTCGGTTGGATGTTTATTGTTACTTTCAATGGAAATGAAAAGTTAATTCGCGTGGTACGCTGTATGCGAAAGAAATTCAATTTAAATGCAATTTTTGAATGAAAGTCTCAAATCGAAGCTCATAGTGTGCCTTGTTTTGTTGTTTCCATCATCAGCATTGCTAAATGAACAATTTCATTGAATTTCAAAGGCGATTTATTTCATCAATGAAAATGATTCAGATTACAATTTATATTTAAAGTTTACTTTGTATCGATTAACCGCGCCATGTGATACACGAATAAAATTAAGTTACCAAACCAATAAGAAATTTTTTAAATCATATTGTGAGGTGAAAAGAGAAAGGTTTTCTCTTTGAATATTCGTAAGAGTGTGCAATTAAGTAAATTACTGATGATATTCATTTTGGCATAGTTTAGATTTTGATAAGCCAAAAACCATAAAAAGAAAAATTATTTTAAATCCTGCTTAAATCATCCAATTGTATAGTCTTCAAGAAACGAAAAATGTTAATAGATTGACGTAAATTACTGAAGCAAATCAAAACATCTCATGATTTCGTATGGTGAATAAAGTTTATTTATTTATCTTTTTGTCAGAAGACTTACAATTCTTTTTTTTAATCGATTGTTATAAATATCAATGATGAATTTCTTTCAATTCAAATCTCATATAAAAGACTGCTGACCCTTTGTGATTGGAATTTTCTTTTGTAAATATGTGTTTAGATTGTTAATGAAAATGTGAATAAAATGTGAAGGGCTGCAAAAAATTAAAGTAATTCAATCGATTGTCAATATTTGATTGATTTCGTGGGAGAGTTTAATTAAAAACATTGAATTTGATCCTAAATAAGGCACACAGTACTGTATTATCGTTGATAAAAATCAACATGAACATTATTTAATTCTAATAAATGTATGTACATACATATGTGCTGTTCCATAAAATGTAAGCATTTGAGCGTAAGCTGAAAATGATAATTGGTACTTAATAAAATAACAAGTCTCTTTGTGGTATTTATTTAACTATTCCATTCCATAACGCTTCTCATTCCCAAAGTTTCACAGAATCACTTAAATTAAAACTCATGCAGACCATCTCGTACATTCCAGAAACTTTTTTCATTTTAGATAAACTTAAAAGTTTCATCGGTTTCAGTTCAGTGAATCTCAGATTTATTGTTGAATATATTTTGAAACAATATTTTACATGTATTAATTTTTTTATTCATTAACTTGTTATATTTTCTTAATAGCTGAAGATTGAAATGAATTTCGTCTATCTTGTTTTCCACGTTGAACTATATATGTCTATCAGGTCAAGATTGCGAATAACAATAATAGTAGTAATTTACTTTAAATTAATTTCTTCTTAAATGAAAGCAAATAACCTAATATGTACCTATTTATCTACTTACATTTCTTATATGATTTCTTTTTTAAATTTTGTTTTTATTTTCAGGTGTGATTTTTTTACGATCTCATTTGGCCAAATACCTCTCAGTCGATCAATTCGGCAATGTTTTATGCGAATCAGAAGAACGCGATGCTGGTAGTCGTTTTCAGATTAGTATATCCGATGATGGAAAATGGGCATTGCGCAATGAATCTCGAGGCTACTATCTCGGTGGCAATCCAGAAAAACTTACATGCACAGCGAAAGTTCCCGGGACAACTGAATATTGGTCAGTTCATCTAGCTGCACGACCTCAAGTAAATTTGCGATCTGTTGGTCGTAAACGTTTTGCACATTTGTCAGAATCACAAGATGAGATTCATGTTGATTCAAATATTCCATGGGGTGAAGATACGCTCTTCACATTGGAGTTTCGATCAGAAGAAGATGGAAAATACGCTTTACATACATGCAACAATAAGTAAGTATTATTAATCAAATTTTTACAGAAGAAAACTTACTGAATTATATAAAAATAATTAAATACGATGTTAATTCTTCCAGATACTTGAGTTACACTGGAAAATTGGATACAAAGTGTACAATTGATTGTTTATTCTCAGCTGAATATCATGGAGGCCATTTGGCATTGCGTGATCATCATGGAACATATTTATCACCAATCGGATCAAAAGCTGTTTTAAAATCACGTTCATCAACAGTCACACGTGATGAATTGTTCTCGCTTGAAGATTCATTACCTCAAGCATCGTTTATTGCTGCACTTAACAACAAGTATGTTTCAGTAAAGCAAGGAGTTGATGTGACAGCAAATCAAGATGAAATTGGTGACAATGAAACATTCCAGTTGGAATATGATTGGACAGCTCATCGCTGGGCTTTAAGAACAACTCAGGATCGATACTGGTGTTTATCAGTTGGCGGTGGAATTCAGGCAACGGGAAGTCGGCGATCACCTGATGCACTCTTTGAACTTATTTGGCATGGTGATGGGTCAGTTTCATTTCGAGCTAATAATGGCAAACTTTTGGGAACAAAACGTTCCGGTCATTTATTTGCTACATCAGATAATGTCGAAGAGATTACAAAGTTCTTCTTTTATCTCATCAATCGACCGATTCTCGTTTTGAAATGTGAACAGGGATTCGTCGGATATCGCACTAATGGTAACGCAAAGCTCGAATGTAACAAAGCAATGTACGAAACAATTCTTGTTGAACGTGGTGAAAAAGGGCTCGTATACTTTAAAGGACATAATGGAAAATATTGGAAAATTGAATCTGATGGTATAACAGTTGATGGTGATTCTCCAAATGATGGCTTTTACCTTGAATTACGTGATCCAACTCGCATTTCAATCAGGTGAATAGAATTTTTTTTGACTTAAATATAGAAAAATAAAAATAATTAAATCTTGTTTTCAAAAAATTCTCAGATCGAAGGAAGGCAAATATTTAGGAGCGACCAAGAACGGTGCATTTAAGTTGATTGAAGGTGGATCAGATACAGCGACACAGTGGGAATATTAAACTGATACATGTAGATCGCTAGCCCACCATCATTATATGAAATATTTCTCATAAACTTCCAAATTATTAAATAATAAAGTTTAATGTTTAATGGCTTTTGATACCTTGATACTTAAATATAATGGTTTGTCACCTACACGATCTTATATCATTCTTCGAACTTAATATCATTAAAATTAATTTTTTTTCTCCTTTCATCTTGCTATAAATAATTAAATTTCTTTTTAGATAACTTTTAAAAAACTTTTCTTGCTTGAAATAAATTAATTAAGAAATTGTTTTTTCATCGTCGAGAGATTTATGTTAAACTTGAAGAATAATTAAAGATGAGTTGTGATTAAATGAGAAAACATTGAGAGGAAGCTGAACATGGAACTATTCATAAGTTTTGGATACTGATGAAAGTTGATATCGCTCCATTTTTATGCTTTACTTTCGCTATGTCTTAGATCTATAATTAAAAGTTAGTTATGGTAAGTTTATAGTCGCATCAATTCCCAATAAATGAACAAGAACAAAAAAAAAATTATAAAGTTGCCAACATCCTTGTACCATTCCATCATAAAAATAATGCTGATGATGAAGTTAAAGTCCACGCGAGATCGATTGGAAATACTTCAAACATTTTTTTACTAAATGATTGAAAAAGATTTTTATACAGAAATGAAATAATATGATGCAATAAGTAAGAAGTTGAAAAATATTTACCTAAATGTGACGTCACGTCAGTCATTAAATTAACGATTATCAATTGTGTGGAAATACTAAGCGACATTGAATAATTTTTAAGGTGATACATCTCACCATTGTATCTACATATACTATTTTATATTCTCTTTCAATCTTTCAACTTCATACTTCTATGGCTATTTAATTCGCAATAGTTTATTCAACTTATTTAAAAAACAATCAAATACTTATTATCAAACCCTCAAATTTCCTAAGAAACAAATATGAAATTTTTTTTCTACTTTATATCGTTTATATCACAGCATAGTTTAGTCATTTAATGTCTTTTGATATTATGAATTTTTTTGGGATTTTTTTGAAAAATAAAAAATTATTGGAAATAAACCTAAATATTAAAAAAATTGTTTTTAGTTTCTTTGCTTCTTCTAATATGTATCTAGGGGGGTTGGCCAATTATGACACCACCCTCGAAAACGCGTCCAATTATGACACCACTTTGTTTGTTTAATTTTAACAGCTCTTAGAGCTTACCGGAGGAATGTGTTAATACATAACGGTAGAGGAAGGTTCAAGGATAAATAAATAAAAAATCGCCTCTTCCGGTAAGCCCTAATCGCATATAAAATTAAATCCAAACAAAGTGGTGTCATAATTGGACGCGTTTTCGGGTGGTGTCATAATTGGCCAACCCCCCTAGTTATTTTTATATATTATATTTCAAAAACAATTCATCTTCTAAGAATTCATAAGAAAATGATGTGTAAGTGTCATCAATAACAGAGATATAAATTTTATACCCACAAAATATATTTTTGAATTCGAGGTAACGATGTTCACTTTTTTTTCTTACAATCTCAAACACAAAACTAATTGCAATTGTTTTAAAACTTATGATAACATCATTAACATCTTAAAATCATTACAGCATCCAGATCAAGGGTTTAAGTATCATGAACCCAAAAATATCAGCGTATGCATTTAATGAAGAACTATTTATACAAATTATCTATGCAAAAACTACTAAAACAGTTTCAAAGTTCTAAAGCATAATTCATCGACTTTTTCAACGAGTAAGATGTTTATTATCGACTGACCTCATAAAACGATTTCATTACTCAAACATACACCTAGTTTGTTTATTTTTAAAATGAATGAAGAACATATGATCTGTAAATTAAAACATTAAAATTTTCTCGTTGAATTTGATATCTAAAAAAAATTTACACAAATAATCGATTTTTATTTTTAAGTTGATTATTTTTTCTTCAACAGCCTTTATTCACATTTTTAATCAGATTCATTGATTTTTTAGTGAATTTATCCACGAAATTAATTTCATTTTCATCCATCCTTAAATAAATCTCTACTTCCTCTTTACATTTCCTCTGCTTTTTAATATTTTTATTTAATATAGTTAATTCATTTATCGTTTTTTTATCTCGTTATATAGTACAATGTGATCGCTCCATGTGATTATGTGAGGATGTACCTATTTAAATTTTGTGTGGGTGTGTGTTTGTGTGGATGTATTACTTCCGTAAAATTATTAAATAATTTTCCCTTTCAATGGTCAAGAAAAATATTTGAATAAATTATTATTTTATTATGATTGTTCTTAAGGCTTGACAAAACATTTCAGAAAGAATTTAAAATGTTTTTGGCTGCAAGATTAGTCAATTTTTCCTTGAATTTTAATTTATAAAATAATGTAAAATGAGCCAAGTACCTAATATGAAATGAATTACTTTATGGATCTTTTTGGACGACGGAAGTCATACAAATGAATTTCAAGCAATAAAAGATTGAATTTTTATGTGGAAATTTTAGTTTTACAAAATGAACTAAACACGTCAAGCCTTCCACGAAAAAAAGTTCTACAAGATAAAATATTATAGTTTTTTTCTCATATATTTTCTATTGTTGTTCTACGATTTCATTGGAAAATTATAAGAATTTCATGCACATTTCAGAAAAAATAAATCTAGAAACTATGCAACAAAATTGAAACACACACTCCGTTCACTTTCTCACATTGGCGACTTTGGACTTTTGCTTTTTACCATCATCACTTGATGGAATTTCTTTCTTTCGGATAAAACTTTTCTTCATAGCATCAGCATCAACTGGCGTATCATCAACAACAAAAACAGCTTCAGCACCATGTTGTTCGGCACATTCGTCAACATTTAGATTATCGACGTCGACGGAATGAGTCTTCGTGATCTCTGCAATGAGTTCTGGCTCATCAATCACAATTTGACTAATCTCGTGGGTCGTTGCCAATAAGAGTTCTTGAATGTAGTTCGCCCTTAAAAATTGAATCAAATATTAATTTCAATAATTTATTCAAATCGAAAATCGCAGAGATGTCTCGACATTTAGCAGTCAAGCTGGACACTTTTCCGCATGCAATTTTATATCTTAACAATTTTTTAGTCTCAAAATAAAGTGTTCAAATCGTATGAATTCTGATATTTGATTTTTCTCAAATTTTGAATGACATGTTAATTGCCAGATTTTACTCTCGGAATATAATAATTGCTTATATATGTTTTTACCTATCTGAGCGCTCCGTTTCAAGTTGATTTCTTTCTTCTTCATTCATCGATGGCGAAAGGAATCGTGGCATTAAAAATTGTCCGCCAACAGTTGGAACTTGAATTGAGCCTGCATCAGTTGATGATTGTGATGCTTGCAAGCTTTGCAATTGAATTCCAGCAGGAATGAAGCTCAACTGTGAAGAGCCTGTGGAAGACGATGTGTGCGTTCCAGTTGCTGTTGCGACCCCACCACTTCCTGATGCAACGCTTGCTAACAATTGACTTCGACCAGCTGGAGATGATGATGATGTCATGAATGATTCAGCTCTTGTATTTCCACTATTTGACATCGCAGACAAAATTCTTTGGATGCTGATACTTGCCTGATTTGCGTTGTTGCTACTTGAACCATTGGTATTAGAACCAGCAGGTCGCCGATTTATGTTTGTGATTCTATTTTCAATAGCTTGCCTTTCCATCTGAATTTGCATTTGAAGTTGTTGAAGTTGACGTCGTGAACCACCAGCAAGTGTTTGTTGAAGTTCAGCAAAGAGATCAACATTTTCACGGTCAGCAGGTTCTTGATTTGATGGACTAAAGTTTGGATTTGATCGACGAGCTAAACGAACACCACCAGGCCCGACAGCGGCTCTTGAAATTCTACGTACTCCTCCATGTCTAATAGCTGAAGGTTCATTTATAAACTCAAATGTTGATCCACTACCGCCACGATGATGTTCCAATGTTAAATGTTCTGCTAAATCATCTGTTTTCAAATTTGGTTCACCACCAGGCGATGCTGCACAAACTGGACATATAACTTCCACAGCACCATCGGTATGCTCTGAAGATTCTGAATGCTCAGTTGTGACATGATCTAAAAGTGTGGCGTCGCTGAATCCTTTCTTACTGCAGTAAGGACATGTGAAGCTTTGAAATTGTCGAGATGTTGAGCCACTACCATAAGCAATCTCTAGCATTGAACGCGTGAGAATACATTGAACAGCGTGCTCTGTAGTGTGACGAGTTGATGTTGCATTACTTTCGTAACATTCAGCACAAAGATCATAATCGTAGCATATTAAACATTTATATCGTCGACCGCGAAAGTTGCTTTTCATACAGAAATCGCAGCTGACTCCTTAAAGAAAGAACAAGAAAAGAAAAGTGAAAATCATCATCATCATGAAAAAATGTGTTGCAGACACCAACAACAAAATATAAAACCAGGCTGGATCATAGTAGTTCCATTTTTTTTTCATTTCATCTCCATTTTTTTTTTCGTTACCTGAAGTCTTTTTTTACAATGTTGCATTCATGATCGAATTTTACGTCAACGCCATGACATTGTAAAAAGTGAAATAAATAGAACACACACTTACCCTCATGACGAGACATTACTCGAATTCACCCGAAGAAAAAAAGAATCAAATTTCTCTTAACAAAAGAAAATTCAACTTAAGATATTCACGCTTTCCCTTTTTTCTTGTGATTCTATGGTTACAACTGATGCATACAGTAATATTTAAGCAAAATGATGAATGATCAAAAACACACGATTTGTTGCTTTTTATTTATTTTAAATTATAGATGAAAAAAATTTGAGAATTTTTCTTTTCCTTAAGCATTACAGAATATAAAGTTTTAGGGTGGACTATTGTAAGGTTTCTAAGCATTCAAAATTGTGCGGGAATACAAATATTTTAAGACTTTTGTAGCCATTAAAAATAAAAATCGGGGTTTGTTATTATATTTATTCGTGTTAAATTAAAGATTAAAAAAGTCATCTTATATTAGGTATATAACTTTCTTTTATCACACTAGATATTTTTAATGATACTTTCATAATAAAACGAGTAAATATTATTAAAGATAGATATGAAATATTTTATTTTGCATCCTGTAAAAATAAAGGAATAATCAATGAGCTCTTTTTAATCTTTTATTCAGAAAAAAGGTTACATATTTTTTTCTATATCCATGTTTTGATGCATCTCATAGTTATTTCAATTTCTGCATTATACATTATAAGAAGAGTATAAATGTTGTCATTTAATTGCAACCAGATTTCAGTTTTAAAGAAGCAGTTTTACTTTTATTTAAATTCCGAGATGAAAAATATTTTTTTTAACTAGATGATTAGGTAATTATAACTTTAACTGCAAAGTTTTTTTTTTGTATAAATAAATCGAGTTAAAGTTACAAAATTTTTCAATGAACGTAAATATGCAAAGTTTGACTTAAATAGAACAAAGAGAAATTCGCGCGAGTGGGTGGACATTTTTGCATATTGAGTCGTGGAAGAAGAAACCCGAAAAAATATATAAAGTTGCTTAGTTTTGAGGTCTTTAAAAAAACAAAGAATTAGAAGTTAAATTCAAGGTTTTGATTTGCATTAAATTGAAAACCAGAATCGTCAGCCGCTGGTTGAATTGCGTCATCGTCAGCTACATCGTCACTAAAATATTGCTCGATAATATCATAAGCGAGCTTATATATTTCCACATTTTCATGATTTTGAAGGTCTTCGATTTTCGACAAGCCATCACATTCTTCAATTAAATTGGCAATCTGTTCCGCATGGGGTCCAGCCATCTTAAGCATATTATTTATTCCGTCCAAAATTACCTATAATAAAAAACATCAGTAAAATTTGACAAAATATTAAAAAATAAAACAAGTAAGTAATAATTATTACATTGATAACTTGAGTATCATGACATCGAAGCAGCTCACAGAATGGTGGAATAGCACCGGCTTGAATCAATTGTGCCACTTGCTCCTTGTTTCCACTTATCGTCAAATTACTGATGGCCCATGCAGCCTCTTTTTGCGTTTGAAATTCTCCTTTTGACAAATTCTCAATAATCTTCGGCAATAGTCCAGCATCGATAACTGCTTGAACTTGTGACTGAACGCCAGCCGTGATATTTGACAAAAACCAGACAGCTTCCTTTCTTATCTTCTCCTTGGGGTGACTCAAGAGGGCTGGAAAATGAGATAGTGCATTGTAGTTAAGAACAACTTGAGTCTGCTCATCAGATCCTGTTACGATATTCCCTACGGCACGTAATGCAGCTGTCTGGACTTTCACTTCAAGATGTGCTAGTAATGGGATCAAATTTGGAACGACACCACTATCGATGACCAATTGAATTTGCTCATTGCCCCCGTCAGTCAAGTAGCTAAGTGCCCAGACTGTATCAACGAGAATATTAACATCCGGATTATGAATGAGATGACAGAGTGCTGGAAGGATCTGGTTAATTGTTTGAATTGGTGGTGGTGGATCCTTGTTACGGCAAAGATTAACAATAACCCATGTGACATTACGAAGAAAACTTATCGGGATGTCCGGTTTGACAAATGAAAGAAGAGGAGAAACGACTCCCATTTTTATTACAAAATCGCGAAGCTGTGGACCATCTCCTATTATGTTACCAAGAGCCCACACAGCTTGTTCGCAAACGTTTGCTGCTGGTGATAACAGAAGTCGGATGAACAATGGAACGGCACCAGCACTAACAACCTTCAATGAATAATTGACGAATGAGTAAGCGAATGAAGAAATAGAGAAACGATTATAACTCACCAAGTTTGTTTGGTGTGAAGTTCCTGAAGCAATATTCGTCAAAGCCCATGCAGCTTCAAACTGTAGCATTTGATTTTCATCACGTTCCAAGCATTTAACAAGAATTGGTAAAATTCCACTCTTAATAAGCTCATCGATTGGTGGATTGCGATCGGAAGAAAGAAGACGTCGAGCTGTTTGGACCGCTTGAAGTTGTTCCTCTGGATCTCCATCATTGCCCGCGGAAGCAACCTATAATACAATATAAGATAAAAATATCCAATTAAATCGTTCAATGACTCATTCAAAAGCAAATAAGAACAAAAAAAGAAGTAGAAGAAGAGGTGGACATTTTCAAGCGAGAAAATAATGGAAATAATGAAAATTAAACATTTAATTTCATACCAATCTCTTCAAATTGGGAACTGAGAGTAAATCATCATCATCTGACGTGCCTGACTGATAAATGTTTCTGCGTTTCTGAATTGTTTCTTCCCTTTTGTTCTTACGAAGTTCCACTGTCACTTCCGTACGTCTTCTCCGCATCTCCTAGAAAAATAACAAGTGAAAGTTTATTTAAAGCGGCATTTATTATGTATTTTAATCATTGAATTATCAACTCACATCTTGATCTTTGCCTTTATTTTTGAACATATTCGTTCGATGGTTCTCCATTTTTTATTTGATTATTTTTCGATGTCTCGCAAGATGTATTAAAATGTCACACAAACTTTTCAGGGTTATTTGGAGCAGGTTAAGTAAACAATAACTGTCACTGACTCTTTTTTCGCCTTTCTTACCTTTTAAATCTCGAAAGAAAATTTCTCGAATGAATACGCACGAGTAACTTAATAGACTGGGATTAAAAGGGAGAATTTTTTTGTGGATTCTTCGTTTTAAAACTTTTGAAATACTTAAAAGAGACGTTAAATTATTGTGCAGAGTAGATTTTTATTCAATCATTCATGTGTTTGGTATTTCTTTGCTAATCATTATCTATCTGACTTGATGTGGATTATTAACGTCAATAAAAATCAAATAATTCCAAATTTTTTCCAATATCAATATGAGTGTTTAAATATCTTAATTTGCCTTATATTTCCAAAAATAGGTAATAAAAATTCAATTGAAAAGGAAATTCATCAAAACCATTATGGTAAAAAACCGTCACATGCCATGCGATTCCAGAAAAACTAAAACATTATTAGAATAAACTTACACAAATAGGTAGGACGAAAAAAAAAATCGAACAGTTAGATCAGAAATTTAAGAGAACGATTGTCGAAGCAGTGAGTAATGGAAATATTTTAAAAAAGCTAATTATCCAAAACCTAAGATGATTTTAAATAGGTAGGTATGTTTTTTAAAACGTAATAACATTATTTTGTTTTGAATTGGTCTAAAATCAACTAGGTACATAAATACTTCCAAAAAAACAAATGTTGAACATATGAATAAAATTTATAAATTTATTTGTAAGTATCATAAGTCACATCTCACATTGACAATAAATTGAGCTATTTTAAATTCAAAATTTTATATTCATTTTTTTATTTGTTTTTAGTAGGCTTGTAAAGAAAGTCATCCATAGAATATTGAAATAATTCTTTTTCAGTTCAATTCAAAACTTTCATAGCTCTACTTATTCTGTCAAACTTTGAACTGTTGGGCTCATTCTGATTGATGGTAAAGTGAGATAATTTATGAGTGGCATGTATTTATTTACATTCTCCAGCCAATTGTGAATGTAGTGTCTCAATCATAAAATATCTCAATAAAAATATTTCATAAGACTATGAGATGACAAATTGTCATGATTTTTATTCATGACTGCAATGACAAAAAATCAAAATATTTTCAAATGACTTATCTTTCTTTTTTGGCTTTTAAAAAATGCAACGACAATCGATTGAGATTTTTTTTGTATGCCAGTAATAATCGCGTTTGAGGTTGTTCGGTAAAGTACCGTGCTCCTCTTGCAATAAATCCATATCCTTTTCTCTCATTTTCAGTAAATAAATTTTATGATAAATATTATTACATTTAGTGCCAAACTTGCAGATTTCATTCGATTGCAGATTTTTGTCAGTATTACAAATTTTGGAACGATGATATCGAGGATAAACATTTTCACCGAAATCTTCCCATTTTAGATCTGAATGACAAGAACATGGATGCTTTAAGTGCTCGTTGAATCGTTTATCAGCGGTATTAACTGATATCTCACCACTTGATTTGCCATTCGGTTCATTATTTTCAGACTCATATTTGTTATATTGGTTCATGTCAACCTTGTTTAGTCCCGTTTTTTGACTTGTGTCATCTATTGGATTTTCTCCAGCAAATTGAAATCCATACACGAACTTAAAAGCCATAATTATGATCCAAAATTTGTCAGTCTTTAAATATAATTTAAAATTATTATATCAATTTTTGAAAAATTTTCCTTTACTCACCAACATGATAATGCCAACTGATGAAAAAAAATGAAGATGCTCAATGTATTTATATCTTGTGATCTAATATCGCCATTGGTTGATAGTTTCTTATACAAATCATAACTTGACATATCCTTTGTTGACATTTTAAGAACAAAATATTAGCTATTATTGTGTTAATGGGGGAGTATAAAATATCAGGTATCAGCGTATTAATATTGATTTTTTTCAGATGAACGTGTTCATCTTTTTTTTTGTCATAAACTTAAACCCTTAAGCACAAAAGAAAATTTTCTTTATGGAAGAATGCTCAATATTGCGTAAATAAGCATATTTAATTGATATATTTATATGAATTTGTTTGATAAAAATTATAAATTACGTAAGTATCCAAACAATTCTAAATAATAAAAGTTTAAAGTTAGTAGCACATAGAAAGTTTCGAAACAGCATTCTTAGAGAGGTGTAGGTTATCACCAAAAGCTTAAAGAATTTCTAAGGATTTTTTTTGTTTAAAGCATGTCAGAATCAATGGGAATTGATATTCTATGATGTCAAAAAACTTACTTCTTATCCGTTTTCATTTCATAGATAAAAAATGAAAACATTTTTGTATAGTTCGGGTAATCATTTATGTAATAAAGTAATGAAATATGTGTCGTGTTTTAATTCTTGCAAATAATTTAGTACGTTTTTAATATAATTTCTGTAGAAAAAAATTAAAACCGAAATCCAAATTACCTACTTTTATTATTTGAATTTATTCACACTTCTAGAATGAGTTTTCATATGTTTTCTGTGATAACGTGAATAGCATTTACTAATGTGAATCCTTATAACATCACCAAATACAGAAAATTTCCTTTCAGTACTTAAATTGTTTGCGTTGCTTTCTTTGTTCCTTTTAAGTTTTTCATTGAAAGAGTGCTGTTCAACAAAGACAGAAATGAAACGTAAACAGCGAAGATATCGGTGAGAGAAAGAAATATTCTTGAGAAATATCTATTGGATTTTGACGTTTAAATAAATTTGTTATTTGTAGAACAACTTTTAACAATTATCAACTTCAGGAACTTGAACGAGCCTTTCTACAAACACATTATCCTGACTGTTTCTTCAGAGTAAAATAAATTAAACAAAAATTAAAAAGATTTCTTTCCAAACATCACTTTAACTTTCAGGAAGAGCTTGCTTTAAGAATTGACTTGACAGAGGCAAGAGTTCAAGTTTGGTTTCAAAATCGACGTAAGTAATTTTTCCAATTTCTTTGGAAATATTTATTGATTTTTTGTTGAACTTACATTGACGCTTTAGGTGCAAAATGGAGAAAAGGTGAAAGAATTGATGACAAGGATTCTCCATCCACAAGTTATGAACAACAGAGAACACAACAAATGACCTTAAATTCTCCTGTATCATCAACAAATTTAATCTTTGAACGAAACCAATCTGTTCCACAGCAAGTTATTGATCATGAACCTTCTAACATTTTAAACGTCACCGATGATCGACTATCTCCGAACATTTTTTTAAATCTTAATTTTGACAGTGCGAATCCAATGGATTCCAACGTAAATTCATTGAAGTTTGAATGGACTAACTTCAATCCAAGCATTGTTACAACTGCAGTTCCTTCCATTATGTCACCAGTGTCACATAGCAAGCAGCAGATATCTTACGTGTCTACGTCACCAACTTATGAATTTCTCAATGTCGATAACTTCAACATTGATAACTTCAAAAACGAATGTATCATGTCACTAGACCACACTCTTTTAAATTCTGTTGGCGACCCTTCCGGATTGATGAATGACTCAGAAAATAGAAACATTGATATGCAAGATTTCTCTCTCAGTGATGACACAAAGGAATTGCTTGATTTAGAAAAACCAATCAACATTAATGTTACCAATTTGGACACTGAAAAGTTTTAGTTCAATAATTTAAAAATTAATAGTGAAATTCATTAAAATAATAGTTATTGTTACATATAAAAGAATTCTTGAAGAGTGAATATCTGTCAATTAATTATGATGGTTAAGTAATTGAAGTCAAGAAATTTTTGGAAATGCTAGATACGAGATTATTTTATTTATTTTTTGATCCGATATTTTAATTTATACATAACTTCAAAATAATGTCTGGAATATTAGATAGTTTTATTAATTTTAAATCTATTTTGAAAATTTCAAAAATTCATAAAAGCCAGAGGTATTCAAATTTATGGTTCATTTAAAATTGATTAAAAATAAAATATTTGTGATAATGTGATTTATAATCAAAAAATAATTGTTTTGAAATAGATAAAAACATTTGAATGCTTTATTACCTTTTTATCAGTTTTGTTGAAAATTTTGATACTTTAACAAACATCTGGATAACATCTCAGCATAGTTCATCAATAATAAACTTGTTGTAAGAAATTATATTTTAACCAAATTTATCTGAATAAAATTTTCTGATGGCTTTAAAAAAATACCATGAAGGCTGAGAAAAATTATTTTGCTTCTTTCATGTCAATAATTGTTCTGATGCTTTTTCCCTGAATCATCAAGTCAATTGCGTCATTTATTTTTTCCAACGACATATGATGTGTGATGAATCCATTAATGTCAATTTTTCCCTTGAGATATTCATCGACAAGCTTTGGAACAGAATCGACGCTTTTATAACAGCCGAATAATGTACCTTTTAAAGTTCTTCCAAGTTGAAAGTCAATCGGGAAAAGACTCATGGATGTATTACTAGGGGCTACGCCAATAAGTACACACAATCCACAGCCCGGAATTACTGATTCGAAAGCTTGTTTCATTATATCAACGTTACCAACTGCTTCAAAAGTGTAATCGACACCACCGTTTGTGATCTTTTGTAAATGATCTTTTATTGGTATGTCAAGATCATTTGGATTGATACATTCAGTAGCCCCAAAATGCTTTGCAATATCAAACTTCGATGGATTTATATCAATCGCAATTATTCGAGATGCGCCCGAGTTTCTACATCCCATTATAGCAGCGAGGCCTAAAGCACCAAGACCCCAAACTGCACAAGAACTTCCCGAGCTGACTTTTGCTGTGTTAACTGCTGCACCATAACCCGTTGTAATGCCACAACTAAACAAACAAACTTTATCAAGTGGCGCTTTCTCATCTATTTTCGCAAGATTTACTACTGGAATGACGGAATATTCCATAAAAGTAGAATATCCCATGAACGTGTGAAGACCCTGGCCACGACACTTTGTTCTCAATGTTCCATCTGGCATTAAACATTTCAGTTGCTTACTAAACTCAGCACAGATATTTGTTCTCTCATTTTTGCAAAAAACACAGTTTTTGCATTGTGGAAGAAATATTGGAATGACGTGATCACCAGTTTTGAATTTTGTGACACCTTCACCAACTGACTCTACAATGCCAGCACCCTCATGTCCCAAAATGATTGGATATTGTATTGAAAGTATTCTTCCAGCTTGTCCCGAAAGATCTGAATGACACTGTTGAAAAGTTTAATTTAACCTGAAAGAATTCCATTTCTATTGAAACTCACAATTCCCGTTGCAATCATTTTTACACGAACTTCATCTTTACGAGGAGGATCGACTTGAACGTCTTCAATCTCCATTTTTTCTTTTGCAACCCAAACAACAGCAGCACGACACGTTATAATTTTTCCTTCCATCTTTCTCCTTTAGCGTCTAATCTCAAACTGAATCTCTTCAAACTCACAAAAAGCATTCAACAAATTCTCTTTAGAAAACCTATCTAATTATTATATTTTGGTGCGGTGTGCAATAAACACACAGATGGGATGAATATAGAAGTAATATGCGGGTACTCTTTATATGGGTATCTGTTAACCATTCCTATATGATTTTAAAAGATTTTGTGACGAAATTGGGTAATATCACACTTTGGTGAACCAATGCTGAACTTTTGTTGTTACAAATGATGATTATGCTCCACTTTATGTTTCTATTTTCATTTCTGACTGATGGATGCTGTGTTTCAGAAGTAAACATCGTATTAATTATAAAGACATATATATTTTAAAAGAAAAGATAACTCGAATATTAATAATTCACAACACAATTCTCAATTTTTTTTATATTTGTATGTATGTCTGCTACTATGTAGCAGAATAAGTCATACCTTTTGGAAAAAGTTCAGTTAACTCTATTGACAATGTCTATGATATTAAAGGTTAATTTTAAAAAATAAGAAAAACAAAACTGTTAAATACCTAGTTAGCTAGGTAACTACTTATAAAAACGTCATGCATGAATGCTTCTTTTTTACACTTGAATATGCATTTTTAGATACTTTCGGAAAATGCAACTCATTTTGTGACAAACATTATCTTATCGTAACTACAATGATTATATCATAAACTGTGATTTTTTTTATAATTTTTATTTCCAATTAAAATTCAAAATCTTAGAACAAATTTAAAAATAAAAATATTTTTTGAGTACCTAGGTATTTCTCTATGAAAAAATTCAATAAAACAATATTTGAAAATAAAAGGAAGAATTTATTCATCTGAGTAATCAATCACTTTAAGTGAACAATGCTTCTGATGCTTTGACCTTTGTGCATTAAATCGAAAGCATCGTTGATTTCAGCCAAGTTCATGTTATGCGTGATGAATTCATCAATCTTGAATATTCCTTTTAAATATTGTTCAACTAATTCGGGAACACTTTCAACACTTTTGTATCCTCCAAAAGCTGTTCCCTTCCATACTCTTCCGGTGACCAATTGGAATGGGCGAGTGCTGATTTCTTGACCAGCTCCGGCTACACCAATTATGACACTCACACCCCAACCTTTATGTGCTGATTCCAAAGCTTGTCTCATAGTTAAAACATTACCAATACATTCAAATGTGTAATCCAATCCACCATCAGTTAACTCAACAAGATATTCTTGAATCGGCTTCGTGATTTCTTTTGGATTGACAAATTCAGTTGCACCAAATTCTTTTGCAATTTTAAACTTTTCCTGATTTATATCAATTCCTATTATACGCGTAGCTCCAGCAGTCTTACATCCCATAATAACAGCAAGACCAACAGCTCCAAGCCCCCAAATAGCACATGAACTTCCTGGCTCAACTCCAGCAGTATTTAGTGCTGCACCATAACCAGTCGGAATACCACAACCTAATAGACACACTTTGTCCAGGGGAGCCTTCTCATTGATTTTACAAATAGATATTTCAGACACAACCGTGTATTGGGAAAATGTAGAACAGCCCATGAAATGGAAGAGCTCTTTACCTTTACACATGAAACGAGAAGTACCGTCTGGCATAACACCACGTCCTTGTGTTACCCGAATCTTCTGACACAAGTTGGTCTTTTTATTTAAACAGAATTTACATTCCTTACATTGTGGAGTATACAATGGAATGACATGATCACCGACATTGAAATTTTTAACACCTTCGCCGATTGATTCAACGATTCCGGCACCTTCATGACCAAGAATGCATGGAAATAATCCTTCTGGATCAATACCTGATAAAGTGTAAGCATCAGTGTGACACTTAATGAAAAAGAAAGCATATTTTATAAATTATTTAAGTAACAATTCATTTCTTGATAACTTACGACACCGGTTGATAGAATTTGAACACGAACTTCGCCTGCTCTTGGTGGATGTACTTCAATGTCTTCGATTGACAAAGGAACCTTAGCTTTCCAAGCCACAGCTGCTTTACATGTTATCACTTTTCCATCTGTCATTTTTGAGAGCACCAGTTTAATTCCGTATTCAAATGAATTAAGTGAACAAAATTAGCATGTTGCACACGAAACCACAGATTATCAATTTTTAATAAAATCACATTCAGAAGTCAAAAAAAGACTGACTGTCAAACATTTTTAATTTCCTATAAAATTATCAAAAAAAATATTCTCTTTAAATTTTCAAATAATAAAGCACATAAAGACAAAAATAAATACATGATGGGTGATCAACGAAATCAAATTATTAAAGGCAATCCAAGTCAATATGTAAAACTTAATATCGGAGGTAAAATTTTTAAAAACTTCTTGAAATTTTTTTCTGGGTGGTTTTTTAACTTTTTCGTTTCAGGATTTCTTTATTACACGACTATAAGAACTCTAACTAAGGTTGATTGTATGCTCAGAGCGATGTTTTCTGGTAAATTAGAAGTTCTTACTGACGCTGAAGGTTGGATTCTAATCGATAGGTGAGATCATAGATGATTCATCATTGACGATAATATATAAATGTTTGAGCAATTAATCATCAATAATTTCACTTTCTTAGATGCGGAAAACATTTTGGCACTATTTTAAATTTCCTTCGCGATGGTTCAACACCTCTTCCAGATACAGTTAAAGGGCTCGCTGAGTTATTAGCTGAGGCTAAATATTACTGCATAGAAGAACTAGCAGAATCCTGTGAACGAGCTGTAGAGTCGAAAAGAAAAGAGCTTAATCCCATATGTAAAGTGCCACTGATAACATCAGCAACAGAGGAAAATTATCTCATCAGTACTAGCACGAAACCTGTTGTGAAACTTTTAATAAACCGTCATAACAACAAATACTCTTACACAAACACCAGTGATGATAATTTGCTTAAAAACATTGAGCTATTTGATAAATTATCGTTACGATTTTCTGGAAGGATTCTCTTTATAAAAGATGTCATTGGATCAAGTGAAATTGCGTGTTGGGTTTTTTATGGAAACGGGAAAAAAATTGCTGAAGTTTGTTGCACCAGTATTGTTTACACAACTGATAAAAAGCATACAAAAGTTGAGTTTCCTGAAGCAAGAATTTATGAAGAGACACTTCATACACTGCTTTATGAAAATCGTAACAATCCTGATCAGGAACTCATGCAAGCAACATCTACAACGCGCAGTGGAATAAGTTATACTTCCGATGAAGAAGATACTGAACGATCTGGAGGACTAGCACGACTGCGTAGTAACAAGCAAAATAATCCAACGTGAAACAAACATGATTTTCTACAGCAGTCGTCGGTTATTTGTACACTGTTCGGACTGAAAATTGTTCAGTTTGCTAAGCCTAACAAGCCTTAGTAAAACAACAAGAAGAAATTAAAAAAAAAATTTGAAACAACAATTTATTTTGCCAAAGAAAAGGAGAATAAGAATGAAAAAATCAATCAAGTAATAATCTCGATTAAACAAGCATTAATGAATGGATGATGATTGCATCCGCATATAAATATACATTTAAGGTGAACCATTTGCTCCAAGAAACTTCAAATAAGATATATTCGATGTTTTTAACATAGATAAATCAAATAACTAGGCTAAATGAAAAATCAAAAAATTGTACTTTTTGAAAAATGGATCGTTTGATTTGTGGTTGTTTACTGTCTAAATTGGAGATCTGTCTAGTGTAATGACTCTTAAATACAATACAATCTGTAATAAAAAAAATTAAAAAAAGTAGCAAAATTTTTTAACGTTTTAATGAAATTTGAAGGATTCAATTTCATTAACGTAACTAACTTCAGCTTTATTATGGTTTTTGAAGCCCTTGAAAAACTCGTAAGAAAAACACAAAAATTACACAGCGTGAGTTTTAAAAGTTAAAATTAAAACTTAAACTGATACGAAAGCATCACATTGTAAGTAATATTATTTAAAAGCAAAATTAGTTTCATTGATATTTTTGTGTGAACTTTTGTTACGTGTTTCGTGTATGTAAGCGGATGTAATCAAAATATTCATTTTTTTTCTTTTCTCTATTTCTAAAGTGAAGATAAGATAGTTCTGCATTTTGTGATCTGTAAATTTCACAACTCAGAATACGATGAATGACAAACGTAATGGCTCAAGTCAGTATTTACAGCCGACAATGTTTGACTTCAGATTGTTAAAAGTGATGTTCAACATCTTTATTAATATTGTCGACCCACTGAAGATTGGAAGAAACTTTGTATTCAAACCTGCAGTATCTGCAGCAAAACCAATTTTTGAAGACTTCAAAAGTAAAGCATTTAAGACTTTTGATGGTTCCCAAGCTGTGATGTTGAAACTATTTGCCATTTCTATCGTCGGATTTCTACTTTTTTGTGGCTCAATTCTTTTCTACATTCTCTTCTATTTACTTTATATGCCTACATCAATCCATGTCAAACCTGTACATATGCAATACAGTAAACTATGTGAAGATAAATCTTGTGACCTCGAAAGCTTGACTTCACCCTTTCACACTTTTCCGATGGCTCATCTACAGCTGAACAAAAATCAACTAATGATGGTTGGACAGCCTTATCATATTAATGTCAGATTAGAACTTCCAGAAACACCAAGAAATAGAGATTTGGGAATTTTCATGATTTGCATAGACATGAAAGACAAAGAAAATTCATTAAAATCTCAAGCGTGTCGTTCAACGATGTTGAGATATCAATCGCAATGGATACAGTTAATAAAAAATCTTTTCCTGATTCCTTTATATGTATTCAACTTTGGGGAAGAGAAACAAGTGATTGACATTGAAATGTTTTCTGATTATATTGACACAACAAATTCAGTGACAGATGTCTATATTGAGATTCAATCGAGAGTTGTCGAGTTTTACAGTGTTTCACTACAACTCATTGCACATTTTACTGGACTCCGCTATTTAATCTACAATTTTCCCTTAATCTCAGCTCTTATTGGAATAGTTTCAATCTTTATTGTCTTAGCTGTTATCACTTTATTACTTTGGTACCATTACGACTATGAATTAGATTGGGTTGATGAAGCAAGGCGAAAGATAACAAGAAATTCCAAATCATTTGATTCCTTACGGAAGGAATCTTCGTCGATTTCTGCATTTGATGAAAATTTAAGTGTTATCGAATACAACGACAGTGATAAAATTGCAGACGATGACTTCATGTTCGACTCTGATTATGAACGAAAGCAAACGAATTTTGAAGAGTGAAAAATTTACAAAAGTTCTGTCATGTCAAACATTCCGGAAAATAAGCCAAAGGAAAAATTTATCAAATATTTATTCGAAGTGATAGTGAAAGACTTTGAAAGACTTTAAAACTTAAGCTTCACTTTAAAAAATTACTTGAAATTTGTTTTTTTCTTTTTATTCAATGCCAAAAATTAAATAAAAGTCTTTTACAACTATAAAGATAGTTTTATTTCTTTAAATGATTTTCCCATTGAGAGTTGTACAACCAATTGTCGTCTCGAGGTTTCAATGCCCAAGATCCTTCAGATTCCTTGAAATTAATAATTTCTTTATAAATACTTGTACTAGATAAATACCTAATTTTCAGCTCAAATTTAATATGAATTAAAATTTAATTTACTTGTTGATGATTTCCACTATGATAATCGACATTTGAATAGGAAACGTTGGTATATCCATAATGTGTTGGTGGAGAATGATGGTTGTGATGATGATAATGGGAAGAGATTGCTGGATATTTTGGAGAGTCAAGCGAAGGTGAGATCGAATGATGTCCTTGAAATTTTTGTGTTACTTCAGGAAGCATTTCAATATGTGCTGGCGACCAAATTGAATGATTCTGTGACAATGCCGGGGGATTGCTTAAAGGTGAAGATGAAGGCGCTGAATATATCTAAAATTAACGACATATTTAGAAAAATAAAATGGTCAAAAATTCATAAAATTTTTTAAACATTTTTACTTTCGTTGATCCACTTGGAAACAGAAAAGGATTTTGTGCCTTGATAAAATCCGATGTTTCTGCCAATAATGAATTTGTTCCACTATTATTATTCACTGCAACAGATGGTTTCGATTTTAATTTTGTTGATGCCAAATTTACTTTTTTTACAAGACTGCTCGGCGCTTGACTCTCGACAATCTTATTCGTATTGTGCTTTTGTAATTGTCTACATTTCGCCCTTTTATTTTTAAACCAAACCTTTAAAATGGAAAAAAAGAAATGAGGAAATTATAATCAGTAATTTGCTGTCTCCGTTTTTGTCATTTGCCTTCCTTCCAGATTCTGAAGAAATATTTACTGTTGCATTGACGCTTAAAAATGTTCTCATCTTCCGCAATTTATGATTTGTCACGTTTCATTGTCGTGATACTGAATAAACTTTCATATCGTCAAATGTTTACTCAACAATGACTAAATTTCTTTTCTTATTTCTCACCTGAACTCTTGACTCCGGTAAATTGATTCTAATAGCAACCTCTTCACGCATAAAGATGTCAGGATATCTTGTCTTGTGAAATAAATTTTCTAAAATATCCAATTGTGCTCGAGAGTAAGTGGTACGCTCACGACGCTGTTTCCTTGAATTGCCTGCGGAATATTAATTCTGTTGAATAATGTAAGTATGTAACATTAAAAATCAAAGAAATTGAGATGTAACTCGAGGGAGAGTGTAAGCTGTTATCACCATAGTTCCACCCCCGATGTTTGTACAATAAATTAACCCATTTTAGAAAAGCATTTTTAACGACATTGAAACGAATAATGTTGTTTATTTTAATGATTAACTTTTACTGCTCAATTGCTCGTGGGCAAACATTCAATTTTAGCTACTGTCACGTGTAGCCACGACAATGAATTCTATAATAAAGCAAATTTTGAAGGAAACTGAAAATTTCCAGGAGATTGCTGGAAACTGTTTAAATCTATTGAAAAATTGTCATTAAATCTCATAGTTTTGTTTCATTATGACAGTCTACACAGTTTATTAATTTATTTATTAGATGATAATCTTACTAAGTTAACTTACCTGTTTGATATCCCATAGAGTGAAGTGGATCAACCGACATGATCCCAAAATTATATGGGTTTTTCAAATACATCTGTGATAAGTTAGATCCTGAATTTGATGAAGGATTGAAAGGAGAAAAGCTCAGTTCATCTGTGTGACATCTGAAAAATATGCAATATCAAAGCTTTAAATCATAAACTCTTTCGAGCTTTTCAGATGTCTATTAGAAAAATATATTTTGTATAATAATTCTGTAGTTTACTGCACTTAAAAAATTAAATCAAATTCAATTAATTCAATTAGTAAAAATGAACCAAAGATTTTAAAAATAATAACCACATAAATTGTGCAGTTTTAGGTACTTTGAACATTTTAAGTTGTTTTTGTTTAGAAATAAAAAAACTTCAATTAAATTCCGTTACTAATGTTTCTCAATATCAAAAAACTATAATCAAATTTTTGATATTTACGGAGGCCCCACCCTAGGGTGACGGGCAACCGTATTGGATTTACGCAAAAATTTCAAAAAATTTTCTTTGCTTAGTTACACTTAAAATGGCTTGAAACGTCGAGAAAAGTGGAAAAAAACGAAAAAAAAATTTGTGTCCGCTTTCGGGTCTGGATGGATGGATGGATGGATGGATGTAGACACTCGCANTACGAATAGAAAGTTTCTATCAAATTATGGGGTTCGTACCTTCAGTATTTCAGGTACCTGCCATACAAAGTTGCCCTTTTCCTAGCGAAAAAAAAAAAACATTGCTAGCGAAAAAAAAAAAACATTCCCAGCGAAAAAAAAAAAACATGCCAGCGAAAAAAAAAAAACATTGTGAAGAAAAAAGTCTGTTACCGAAAGTCGGCCCCAACAATAAATATCGTGCAAAAGCCCGATATTTAAAACTCCGGCAGTTATAGAATTTCTAGACGAACAGTATTAGTAAAAATCTAACTCCAATAAGGGGCCACTTTGTGTAAAAAGTTTCTGGAATATCGAAGGTGGAAACATTATACAAAGTGGCCCCTTATTGGAGTTAGATTTTTACTAATACTGTTCGTCTAGAAATTCTATAACTGCCGGAGTTTTAAATATCGGGCTTTTGCACGATATTTATTGTTGGGGCCGACTTTCGGTAACAGACTTTTTTATTCTTTCATTCCAAAAAAAAATTATCAATCAATAACAAATCATAAACGTATATATGAATTCATCATCAACTACATAAAAATTCGATAGTAAATTGAATTTCATTTGGTGGAAAAAGTTGAACTTCGCAAAATATAATCAAATGAAATGATTTTTGTACAGTCATTAAACATAAAAGGAACTCAAATTATTGAAAATTTGTATGCTTTTGAAGCAAAACGTCAGTAGGCAGTTTTCACAAAATTTCTGAATACTAGATAAAAAATAAATTGTAGAGGTGAATTTAATGAATTTTTATTGTCAAAGAGATCAATTTTATTCAAGTAGAGATACAGATAAATATCTACTAAATATTTCTCATTTGCGTAATCTCATCAACCTCGAACTTCCCTCAAAAATTCATGACAAATCAACAACATCTGCCAATTCCACCCCATGAAATCATATAAATTAGATCATCGTTATCAAACGCTTGAAAGTACTTGCTTGCTGCACATACAGTAAACACATACAGAGAGGGTTGCTGGTGGAAACAAGTTCAAAGGAAACATCAAAAATTCAATTTTCTTTGTTAAATATTTCTACTTTGATTTATATCTCGCAAATCATTAAATTTTGTTAAAGATTTCATTAACGTAAAGGAGTTTGCTGGTGAAAATGGGTTATTACGCTAATTAGGCTGTTGTAGAACTGAACAAATTGTAGAAAAAAATAATCAATATTGGTATGTTTATTTAAATCTATTCTTTAAAATGAAATGAATTTAAAAGAAAATCTTATGATGAAAAACGAAACCGGCGGATCTTTCAGATTTGTGGTAAGTTGACTTTTGAAATTAGAGTCTTAGGTCGCAATCATCGAATATAATTATATTGAGTTACATGCTCGTCTTTCGATGAAACAAAATCATTGAGATACAAAATCTCAAAAGCTTGTCATCGTCTCTTTAGCGATCGCATAGGCATGGACCACCATGTTGTTGTTATAAAATTATTACTTATATTTTTTTTCTATTTTAAGACTCAAGAGACATTTGGTAACCGCCAAAGTTAAGATTATTGTTTCTAGTATTGATTCTTGTTTTCGTGAGCAAGAAAATATTTTCCGACTATGACATTAGACATAAGTCTGTTGAAAGTCGATATAAAATAAACTTTTATGTCCCGTCTCCGTGGGTCTGTTGACTTTAATCTTTTCTCTGTTCTTACGACGCCATGATTCCAATTAATTTAATTTTCTCCTCGCTTCTTTCAAGTTTTTGTCTCACCGAAGCAACAAATACGTAAAGTAAAGAATGTTTTCAAGAAAAAAATGTGTGAATAATGAGAAAAAAAAGAAACTGTTTAAAAATTCTGATGTCATAGCTTCAACATCAGATAACACCAGATGGTTGATATCTAAATCTATGGTATGGGGATGAAATCTGAGAAGAAAGAGCAGACATCGTGAGTGGATTAAATGGAATCAACAGTTCAGTTAAGAAATTTCTCTTTTTGTCTTGTAGAATATTAAGATGCCACCATTTTCCAAGACATGGATGCAAATGTGTGACATATTCTTAAAGAAGCACAAAATCAATAAAAAAAAAAAAAATTGAGGCGACACCTTCAAGCATCACTTGAATTTGTGACCACTTAAAATCATTGAATTCTTGAAGGTGGGGTCAAACACTTAATTTAAATAATGATTATCTTTGTAGATTTTAAGACTTACCCAGTCAACGAGTTACTCCACATTATAACTCCTGATTAATGATAACGGTCACCAATTTTTAAAAATAATCTTCAAACTTTTGAAATTGGGAAATTTTTCACAAGATCTGGTTGAAAATTGTTGCAATTAGTTTAGAATTTAAAGTCTCACGCGTCATTTCTGCTTGTTCAATCAAATACATTCGCATTCAAACGTCTCGAACACTAATTAGTGATTTTAATGAAAACATCAAATATCGATGGCGATTATAAATTTGTCGCAGATTATTGGTGTAAAAATTGTTTTTAATTTGTACGACTCGCGACAGCGCTTTATAAGGATTTATGGGAAATTAATGAACACAATAAGTTGTGGTTGCGGTGTTGGAAATCTCATCGTAACGTCTCATCAAGTGGCTAATAAAGAAATGCTTTATGCAAATATTTTAACACCCGTCACTACTACATGTGGTGAACTCAAAAAAAGAAGCAATAACAATATCGTTTAATATGAAACTTCTACTTGTTAATGCATGAATTAACTTCATTTATTGAATGTTTACACTGCGATATCGATCTACCCTTTCAAATGAAATTGAAATTACAAGCTGAAAGTATTGTAAATTCAGATCGACTATTACTTGAGTATGCACTTGTGCGACTACTTGAAATTGTAATTTACCACATGTGGATCTTTTTTCAAGATATTTAAGTAGCGATGGGAGATCCTTTACTTTTTGCTCATTTGAGAAACAAGTGTCGTTTTGATTTAATCAGAATCTGGCGATATTTTTTAGTTTAAAATAAAACCTCTTAATTGTTTAACATTAGATTTAAGCTTCATTTCCTTTCTCACTTTTTCTCTTTCAAAAATTATGCAAGTTTTAATAGCTTCACTCTTTGCGAAATTAATTTCCACATCGCCCATTAGCTGCCATTAACTATGCACTCATTAGTAGACTTTAATTACTGAGCTTTTTCAATATTTTCCACTTCTTCATTTCACAACATAATAATGCATAATGCTTAAAAATATTTGAAATTTAAATATATACAATTCTCTATTCTTTAAAATTCAAAAATATTTTAGTAGATAATCACATAAATTTATTTTTGAGTTTTACGCCTCCACATAAAAAAACTTTCTAAACATTTAATTAAGCTTTTATATTTTCTATGAATGAAAAAGAAATCCATAAACTTCAATTAGTACGATGTAGAGTTTTTTTTTATCATGAATCTCGTTATGTTTATTTCCATAATGCACAATCAAGAGAAAAAAAATAAGAGAAACTAATCCCAAAGGTATTTGAATGGAGCAACATTTCAATTTAATTGCAAAACCTTTACAGTTTCAACATATGTAGGTTGGTATCACTTCACTTCGATGCATAAATTGCTACTATTTATCTATCAAAATAAAAATGTCTGACATTTCACTAAATGTTTCATGTTTTTCTAATTAAATAAACGTGAAGCAAACTGATTTCATTGGCACAATGAAGATGCTTACATTCACTGGAATATCTTAAGTGTCTCTTGTCAACAGCGGAAGGTAATATGAAGGCGAAAAGATAAAAATGTCAGAGTTCATTTGTTATCATTAAACTAATGATAGAAAATTCTTCAGACTCGTCTCTACCTACACAATCGCGAAAGGACTTCGTCCTTTGAATGTAAAAATGAAAATCTTATTATTTTTTTTTCTCTCTTTTTATTCTATGATGATTTTTACTGCTTCTTACAAGGGAATTGTTTAATGTTATGGATGTCGTTATCAGGAAGAACTAAAGAGAAAAAGGAAAAGCAAAACTTGTCGCTCGGTTTTTCGATCTCAAACATTAGAATTCATCTCAAGGCTCTCGCACACTCTCAAACTCGTAAATATTTTTAACGATGGGATGAGTGAGTAGATGAACTTCATTCAAAAAAAGGAAAGAGCTCTGTATTGGAACTAGGGGTAAAATACAGAAATGAACCTTTTGAAAACGAGAAAACGATCAGAAGACTAGAAACGTTCTCCTTTACAATGAATGCTTCATCTCTTTTTCGCTTTTCCATGTTGCTTCATCGTGGCAAAAAAAAGAGTTTTCCATCGAAGCTTTTTGCTGCTTTGTCAATATTATTCTATCTGTTCGTTTCCTTTTTTCTTTTCTCTCTTCGTTCCCCACCAGAGCACCCATGGAGATGGTTTATTTATTATTAGCCTCAAAACGAGTGTTGTGTGTGTCATTTGCTATGGAAAACATTTTTTATATCTTTCCGCAAAGCGAGGGTGGAAAATTTATTACAACCAATTTTTTTATGTATTAGCTTCTGTTGTTCATGGTTTCATTTCGAGCCCCATTTTCGTATTTTATATTCCTCGATGCTTTAGACACACAAGCAAGCATCAAGTTGAAAATAAATCCATCGGAATTCTATTTGCGTGCTTGCAGTCATATTCACTTTAATCATAAAACCGCGACAATAAATGTAAATAGAGCTTCCTTTTGTAGGTTTTCAATTTAAGTAACTGATGGTTTCTACATTTTAATAACTTTCAATTCTTTTTTCCCGATTTCACGAATTGCTCATATTTAAAACAGTTATTTAAAATATCTTTTTGGTCACCATATTACCAAATGTTTTTAGAATTTTTCAGAAATCAGAATTACTTTTATTTTTTAAACGAAAAACTTTCCTTTCGCGCATGATTTCTAAGCAACATAAAACATTTCTCTTCTCATCCACTACTTTTCCCAGCATCAAAAGTATGTAGAAGTAAAATGGCCCCAGTGTTGAATTATTAAAGGCATATTATTTACGTTTTCAGTCTTCGTTGCAACTTTAAATAATTCACGAAAAGTTTTTCCCATTTTAAATATCAAGCGTTGAAAGCTTTTTTACATTAAGAAAACAATTTGTCATGTGCTTCGATGAAGATTGTATTTTCTAATAAAACGAAAAATCCAAAGGATGGAAATTTGTATCAATTAAAGAATCAACGCGTATCATCGTTTGGCATGATATCGATGAGTGTAAAATTTACCCCAAAAAGTTAAATAAGAGTTATTTTTTCGATGATGATTAAAATAATATGTTACAGTATTGTGTTTTTGAAGCAGACAAGGTGAAAATTGGCGAAATCTCTTCCCCTTACTATTTACTGTCATATTATTATATATAGTTATTACTATATATGTTTTGTTCATTTCTAAGCGAGAATAATGTTCCACGTTATGAACGTAGATACATATCTAAAAATTTCTTCTGAAGATTTTTTACTTTGAGTTTTTCGTTTACTATAAAAAATTAATGAAATGTAGCGAAACATCAGAACTTCGACAACATCCCGAAAACAATTTTCATCGTTCATAATAAAAGATAAAAGAGAAAAAAAATTTAAGCTATTTGACTCGCTCTATCTATCGTTAGTATTTCTTTTTCGTTTGCAATTGGATAATGATCCTCAGCCAAAGTGCGTTGGTGTATGTTTCGAAACTCCACCCCCTTATCTTCACAACATGAAACAGCAGTATTTCGAAGATTAATCTATCTCTTTTTTTTCTTGTTGGAGTTTCGTCAGAGCTCCACACATTAAAATTACTCTTCACAAACGCACACATTAGCAGATGTAGCAAAGAGCGAAACACGTCCGGAAAAATATCGATTTTATAAATTTTCCTCAACAGAAAAATAGATAAATAAAACAAACTCGTCGGTTAAAATTCAAGTCATGAGCAAAATATCATAAAAGTAATTCAGTAAAAACTTGTTTCAGAAGGTCTTTATAGGAAACGACAGAAATTTGGTTTTTTTTGGCAAAAGAAAAGAACTGAACATAAAATGCCAATAAACATAAATCAGAAGATTTTCGGTTCTGAAATCCAGCCATCAGACATCCGACGATGAGGCAGCTTTGTCGTCTTCCATTTATTTTATTATTATCCCAATTGAATATGAAACGAAAGAAAAACAAAAAAATTTTCATGAATCTATTGACATATAATTATAAATCGATAAGACTGAAAGTCGTTTAAAGAAAGCAACAAAGTGTAAGAAATTCAAGTAAAATGAATAAAGAAACTAAATATTTCTATGTCACTTATTGATTTTTCACAACAAGAAAATTGTCTAAGTTTTCACTCAATGATTGAAGACTTAAGAATTTTACAACAAAAATTCAATGGACGAAACTTTTTAAGGTTTCGCAAACGTAAATTGCTTCATCGATACTTTCGCCACTAAACCATCTTTTCATTGCGCATCAAAATTGTTTTTCTTTTTGAATTTTCTTCAAATCTAATGCAATGAAATGTCATAACAGAGAAATGCATTTAAAGCGTTCTTTTGTCCTCAATACATATTTGATGACGTAAAAGTAATGAAAAAGAAAAAAAAAACATTCCTTCAATAATCAAGATATTTATCAACTGAACTAAAAATCATTTCATTTTAATCTCGTCACTGATGGGCATATTGTGCTGTGCCTTTTACAAAAGTGATTTGAAGGCGCGTAGGATTGTCAGTCAGGTAGATGACAAGAATTTAATTTCAAAAATAAATGAAGCGAGATATTGAAGAGTGAAAAGAAAGGATCCCTGAAGGAGTCTTGTATAATTTGATGAAATTTTTTCATCTCGTTTTGCGTTCATCATGTTTTCTTTGAAGAACGTGTAGAAAGCTTCAATGATAAGAATTAATTACATACGTTTAAAAGCTGCATCGCAACTTCATGGAATTGACAGTGTTATTACTTGATGCATTTATCGCATGAAATCCAATTTGTAACATGCCTACATGATGTAGCACTTTTATTTAATATGATGATTAAATAATTTCTTATTTCCTTCATTGCTGTTTAAATCAATATCTTGTACATATTTTTTTCTTTAAGAAAACTGAACATTAGATAGTTAGAATCAATGCATTATTTATCAAAACAATTAAGATATGTATTAACGTATTCATTTGAAATAAATAAGACACTCATGAACATTCAATTTAAATTCTAATCTAATTAATGTTATTAAAAAATCATTCAGTTACAGAATGTTCAGAAGAACATTTAAATGATTTTTATACTAACGCATTTTGCATTAATTGTATACATTATATATATCTAATTCTTTTCTGCTGGTTAATATGTAAAAAGTTATCATTAATCTCAATAAAGGAATGAAAAAGGATGATTACTCCAAATAAGATGAATAACTTGTTGCCATGATAACACAGCGCCTTAAGTATGAAAAAGTATCGAAGGTGAAAGCAAAGTATGTCGATTTTAATTTAATTTGCGAAAGGATTTAGTTTGGAGATTTTCAGGGCGTGTTACCCCGGTGAAGATCGACGAAAGTGCGCAGCAGAAGAACAAAAACATAATCTTTTAGATACATGATTACATTCCTCGGAAGTTTCCACGGTACGACTAATTTAATTTCCCAAGAGGTAATTATGATAGAATTATTTATGATCCCTAGAAAGATTTTCGCTTTTTTGGCTCGAATCTTCTTTGACGACTGGCAATGTTTTTTAAAGGCGAGGTTGTGGATATCTTTTATGTCATGAAAGCGTAATAAAATTGTGCTCTTTCTTCTTGATTCAACTTTCAAAACAATTTGCATAAAAATGTTTTATTCAAAAGTAATATCTCACTTATCGTAGTATCATCGATACAATCAATTATAATTCAACCTCGTATATTTGAAACCTTGAAGACTAACAATCGAAAATTGATTGATTTGAAAACCAGCAGCCAAATCGTGAGTTGTGATTGCAAGAGATGATCATTGTATAAATATCTTGAGATTATTTTATAAAATTTTTCCATTCATAAATTGTTTTCAGATGAATGATGATGAAGTAGTGATTAATCAGAAAAATTATTGTGCTTAAGCACAATGTTTGGGTTGCGCTCACATGACAGTTGAATAATTCAATTTCCATTTCTGATTTTATGTTGTTCTCTTAATTGAAAATTCCGTTTGTGAATGTGAATGAACTTCCAAAAGAAAACAACAACGATTATCAAACATCAAATCAACAGATTCTCATGAAAAAGTGGCAATGACTGTGCGCAATGTATCCCGTTGTTGGGTGGATTGGATCATGACTGAGAAAAGCCTTTTAAAGATCAGAAGCTATGTTTAGGCTCATTTAATTGTCAATGAAAATCACAAGCAGATAATTGATAGTTTCCGTTTTTTCTTTCATTGTTATATTAGATTGGCAGGGCGTTTAAAAGATCAATTCAATAATCTCAAATGAACGCCTTATTTGAAAATTTGTAAATAATATTCATTTGAAATATTTCAATATCAACTGAAACTAAACTTCATTCATTGAACTCACAAAATTATTGTAAGATTCCTTTGAACATTTTATTCATGAAAAAGTTTCGTCTCGAGGGATTTTCCTCGAAATATTCAAACATTGCTTGATAAATTCTCACAAATCTTTTTCCCTGTGGTTCATTAATATATTTATTTTGAAGAATTTAATTAGCATAGATTCTTTATATCAGACATCATTTACGAAGAGTCGAAATGAAACAGCAGCATGCAGCGTCAAGTAGATAATTAAACGCAGTAAAAGGGACGACCGAGACGAGACGATGTTTAGAGAAAGATTAACTTCTATAATCCCACTAATAATGAACAAATTTGTGAAAATTAATTCCAGAAATATTTAGCACGTGCTTTGATACGTAGATATCCTTAAATCATCAAATCATCATGAAACATCATCTACAACAAAGCTGGAAGCTTTAAGATAGAAATATTTAATCTTTCATTTGCCAATTGCAATTTAAGCAAACAAATGAATTAAAATACTTTTCTTTTGGTATCACACAATGCGATCATATTTCACGCACGCAACATCTAAATATCTGTGTGTTTAAATCATTGCACGCGTTCAAAAATATCCGATTGCCTCTACCGTTTATTTTTTTCAATTTACTTTTCACAATTGAGTTGTAAAACCTGCAAAATACTCTCGAATGACAAACACGTGTTGGAAGTTGATTGGGAGTTGATTAAAAGTTTAAAGGATGGAAATTTCTCATTGTCGAAAACGTGTCATTGCGTGTAAGATTACAAAGAAAATTCTTATTTTTATGTCTTCCTTCTCTGAAAATATTTTATATTTAAATGATTATGCTAGTAAGAATCTTATGAGCTATACGAGAGACCTCCAAGAGTCCCTTGACCGGATATTAAAGATTTAATTCCTTCTCAAAAATTTATGACCCAAATCAATTTATGTTTCATAATTTTATGAGTGATTCAATTTTCCCCTTCATTTCTTTTTTATTTTGGTTTTTAGCTTTAAATCACATTCACGTAACAGCAATGACAAATTTCGGGATTTGATATCGACATAGAAACATTCACGCGGCTGAACGAAGCAGAAGCTCATGCTGTGATAATTCTCTTTTTTTTATTATTTTTATAAAATTCAGAAGCTCTAGGAATTTTGATCTATGTTTGAACATGAAAAGACTAACAACAACTGGTAATGTTCGAAAAAAAGCCAGGACAGCGACACACATTTAGGATTATTATCTGGCAGCCTCTTTTCCTTTCTAATAAATTATAGATGATTGTCATTTTTCCGTTTTGCGTTGAATTTCCAATTGCTCAAAATGAAGGGAAAAACAATTTTCAATATTTCATGACAATGTCTTCCTTTAATTTTCTTGTGAAACGTGTTGTCTGAAAAAGGTTCTAAGTCATATTTTATTCAATGATTAATCGGAACGAAACTTGGTTAAACAGTCCATTATGTTTGTTCTTATTATCAAAATTTGCTTGTAGCATGTACTCACATAACTTATTTAATAATTTATTATTAATAATTAATTAAGGCTTTTCATGGTTGACTTGATAGACTTGATATCATATAATCGGCAATATTTTTATGCTTTGTATGAAGTTGAATTTGATGTAAAAGCAAAAATTTTTTTAAATAAAAACTGCATAAGATGTTCTGAAACAACTTCTAGCATCTTTTACGTCATTTTCAATTATCATTATCATTTATTATAAATTAGATATTAAAACAACAGCCGAAAAATATCATCAGCAATACAGTAGAAACCCGTATAAAATAATGATGATAAATACTTTCTAAGGATTCATTTCTTTGCCCCTTTCCAGTACATCATCAGGCTATATATTTGTCGTTGTTACTTTACTGCTGACGTGTGGGTTTTATTGTATGCAGAATCAGCAATTTGTTGTCTAATAAAATATGATAAACATTAATAAGCAATTTTTTTATTCTTATCTTGTCTTGTTTTATGACGTTGGGAAATTTGATGTTCACTTAAGTATAGAAAGAGCCATGCGTGCCATATTCCAATGGCGCTTTCATGATGTGCTAATTAACGAAAAGTCACGCTTCTTCATCCTCTTCGCTTGCTTCCATTGCAAAAAATATTTTTTTCGCAATTTGTAAAATGTCGTTTTGCATTAATCCACAACTTCACGCGTCACGAAATAAATTTATTGAGATATTTTATTCCTTCAATTTCTTTTCGTAAACGAGCTGTGAGACATAGGTAAAGTAACCACATTATTTATGTTAAATTTCATGAATTAATTTTGATTTTCCTTCTTTTACAATGCGAAACAAAACGAATCTTTCAAAGTTACCTAATTCAAAACAATTTCTTTTTTTCTACTTGGATATGTTTGTATCCAGTGAAACGTGAAGAAAATTTTTCTGAATTCTATTACAAGTTTAGAAAGATGCCAATAAATGTGGCAGATAGTTGTGAAAACCACAACTTATTTAAAAAGAGAAGAAATCAACGATTTATTGATTTCACGGTCGTGAAAGAAATCAATTTAAATTTTAATGTTTTCATATTTTATTCTTCGCTGTCTGTATACTTATTAAATAAATCATGAATTGTTTGATCCCTTTAGATGGTGGGAGAGAATCAGTTCTAGGTAGTTGACATTATTTATTGAGGGTGCAAGCCAGGATGTAACAGAAATAAGAAATAAAAAATAATCTTTAAGGAAATGGAAATTTGTCTCGCCGCAAATTGAAAGAAAATTTCCTAATTATTCACTTCGATGCTTGAGGAGTGGCGACGTTTAATAAGATTATATGTAAGTAGAACGAGGTGACATTGAAACTGATATCAAATTAATAAAAATAAATGTTGGACAAAGAGAGAAGACGGAACTACCTAGACATCATACAATTTCTTTCTTACTTTTTATTTACACCTCACAATTTACGATTTCTTATTGTCCGGTTTTAATGATGCATCGTAAACGAGAGTAAGGAAAGGATGTTTTCCTTTTCATTCCATAAAATGTCAGACAATCACTTTGACTTTTATTATATTTTAGTACATCAAACAATGAAGTTTGTGTATCCCAAAATCTATTCACTTTCTACATAAATATCAAAAGAGACCAAAAGGAAGTTCATATTAACGATGTGGGAACTTCAAGAACATTTCGATTGGATTCACTTTTCTAAACAATTTTTTTGATATCAAAAGTGTTTGATGAAAAAAAATTTAACGTATCCAGGAAGCTATTTAGATGAAAACAGAAAATATCATCCGCTCAGAAATTGAAAGTTGCTTCTTCTCAAACAATTATCTACAATGCATTAGTTCAAATTTTACGAAATGAATCAAAATCGATTTTTTTGTGTTCATCCTTTGAGTTCAAGGATGGAATGAACTTATTGGAGCGAAGAAAATGTAAATGTTTAGAGATGGTTTTATGTGACTTTACATGACAAGTGTTTGGTTTGCATAAAAGCGTCATCATGTGTGGAAGGCGTGTCTGTGGACGGCAATAATCTTATCGTTTCTCCACGATCTTTGCCTGTTTTTCTTTCATCACAAAACGATTGTCGATAATAAAAACGAAGAGAAGACAAAACAAAGATGGAATATTGAGCGTCTTCAAGTCGATACGTTTAAAAGATATTACTGGAGGCAGTAGAACTTCAAAATGGTTTACAAATAATTACACGTATAGGCTGAAAATGAAAGAGATGATGCATTCAAAAGAGTTAAATAATAAAAAGAATTTCTTTTAAATATCAAATCTGTTCTTTGAGAGAGTTTGCATTCTAATTTCCTTTCTTTATTTCTTTCATAAACGAACAAAAAATACAACCTGAAAAAACAAGAAAGAAATCTTTGAAACGAAAAATTTCAATGACATCTAAAAGTGAGAGAAAGACAACATTTTTCCATCGGCCTGAGATTTTTTTGGGGAGCGTTGTTGAGGGGATTCTGCGCAGCAAAACAAATGAAACAAGAATGGATGACTGACATAGTCAACAACACATTAAGGAAAAATAAATATTCAAAATGAAGTCATGAAGAAATAAATTTCATCTGCAGCATGTTATTTAAGAAGACGACGCCAGCAGCTTAATTCATCAACAACGATGATAAATATAAAATGTTAAACATTCATGACCTTTACTTAGAGTTCAACCTTTTGATGAAAGGAGAAACTTCCAGAAAGCGAATAAGAATTGCGAAAAACCAGTTGGTGGACTTAAGAAGTCTTCTTCATTAAGTATGAAAAAGGAGAGAAAAAAATCTTCGAGTTGCATGAAAAAAATTAATATCAAAAAATAAAAAAAAAAATATTGAAAAGAAGAAAATCAACAGAATCTGTCTTTATTACTGTGGCACGGACTTAGACTTTTGAAAGTTTCGCATTGTGATGTGTCTCGATGAACTGCAATCTTTCAGCTTAAAAGGCTTAAGATAAGAAATATGAAATAAAAATTTTTTACTTTTCATTTTTTGTATCTTTTTAATCATCAAATTATGTTTTTCATTTTTCTATTTACAAATTTATAGTTAAATGTTGGTTTTTAATTAACGATTATTTTCAATTTAAAGAGGGCTTGATCACACGTTCCATCATAATGCATTTCTTGATCATGAAATCATTTAATACTATCTTACTTTTTTTATAAAATGAAACAAAAGACTCAGCTGAAAATATGATTGTGATGAAAGTAGTGAACAAACCCTCAAAATTTATGTTTTTTCTTTTTATGCAGCAGCGAGAAAAATGTCATATATTGAATTAAATTAAATATAATCTTTGCAATTTTATTTACTAATCATCTTACATATTTAAATTCCTTTCAGAAGTTTTCTTTTTAATGATATAATTATAATGAAAGTTTCTCTTTTTTTGATATTTCCTTAGCTCACGAGAATTTTCGAAAATGTTTCTAAAAATTCTTTTCATTGTTTTAGCTCAATCATCATGGAGACATTTTAATAAATTTATTTTTCTTTTACATAAGATGAAAAGTAATTTAATGAAAGTTTTATTCGTATTCAAACAATTAAGATATTTAAAAATTGACGGGTTTATGAAAAAGAATGTTTCAATATTTTATAAATCATTATAAAGAAATTTGAATCGTTTTATTATACAAGAAAAAGTAAAAAAGAATTGCACAAACTTAAACTTAAATTAAATCGCGCTGTTAATAAAATTAAATCAAAATTTTCATCTTCGCTTTATTTGTTCATAAGTAATTCTTCCATTATATTTATTGCGCAACTCTTCAGTGGAGAATTTGATTCAAAGAGAATTTATTTCTATATAACTGAATTCGAATAATTATTGGTAAACTTTTCACATCGTTCAACTCATCTACAAACAGCTCCACTTCTTAATCTTTTGTTGCTCGAAATTTCAAAAAATTTATATTGATATTCTGAATTCTTTTCTTTCATGCAAATTTTTGAATTAAAATCATACTTTTTACAAAAAAGTTTTCTAATCTCTTCTATCAAAATTTTCTGATATGAAATTTCAGATGATATTAGCTTCATTCGATTTCTCATCTACTTCATCATTGTATGAAATTCATCAAATGCAATAATCTCCGAGAATATAAAACAAACAGTTGATTGGAAAAAGTCTCGATATGACAAAAAGTTTGCTTCAGAAAGAGATATTGAAAGTGATAAGGAAAGATTTACAAGCTCTGTTTACAAAACGTTTTCTTAGAACTTTGTCGATCTTATCTTTCCCTTCTTCTTTTTTTTCTATTGCAGCATGAGAATTACGATCGAAAACGAAAAGTTTACTCCTAATCCTATACCATATTAACATATTTATCTTGCTGAGTCATGTAATCAGGCGAAAAGGTTTGAGCGCCCATTGGTCCACCCATAGAAGCAGCACTCGAAGCGAGACCAAAATTTGATGTTGAGTAGCCTGAATGTGACATATTATATCCCGATTGTGTCTGATTGTTGAAGTAGTCCATTTGGGAGTAATATGAAGGTGTATTGTAGTTATTTGGATTGTACTGATTGTACTGATTATGCCAAAAATTATAAGACTCGTGATTTGGTACATACGACAATGGATTGTGAGCGCTCGCCTGTGGCGTGATTGGTGGCGATGGTGTCGTCATAATCGATGAATTTGAGCCGAGAGGTGTCAGATTTCCGCCTGTTTGTCCCAATCGTGAATTGATATTAAGATATGATGAATGATGGACCGATGTAATGCCTAAGTCACTGTCTTTAAGACTGTCATATCCCGACGACCCACCTGAACCCGGCTTAATGTCCATCGTACCATTGCCCAACGATTGATTACCGAGGCCTCCACTTGTGCCGTTATGATGATGATACGGCAGTTCTTTTTTACAAATCACATTTATTGGTGGACTCACCGACGTTGATGGTGTGATGGGCAAAATCGGTGACGAGTTGTTGTGCTGATTTGATATGCTTAAAGCACTCATTCCATTGTTAACAACACTCGATGAGTTATTGTTACTATTATGATTGTTTGACGATGAGTTGTTGTTATTATTGTTGTTGTTGCCACTGTTAGCATTGGCCGTTGAAGCCAGCGTTGGCGTATGCTTGATGTGTGACGATTTCGTGCCCGAACTACCACTCGTAGTGTTTGTTGTCGAACTTGTCGTTTTGCTATTCGATGATGACGAGGTGGAATTTGAACTATTGGAGTTACGCGTGTTGGACGATGAGCTACCCGAAGATTTTGAACTATTAAGATTGGATGATGATGAGTTTGACATTTGTTGTTGAGATTGTTGACGACATTTTGCACGCCGATTCTTAAACCAAACCTAAATGGAGATAAAAAAGGATAAAATCATCAAATAAATTTAATATTGAATTAAGCAATCAATTTCGATTTCAACCGTTCGTATTTTTCGCTCTTTCTCCGTAATTAATTCAATTTTTCATGATTTGAAGATCACAGAAAAATTGTGATAAATTAAATTGAATTGAATGAAAAATGAAAAGTTTAAAAGAAAAAGAATTAAAAAACCATAGAATTTGTGAAATAAAAATTGAAAAAATCTGTGGAATTTCCGTATGAAAGGAAATCAACAAATTACTTGGTTAGCCAAGCATAAAATGGCACAAACAGTAATGTAATCGAATAAACACTCATCAGAGAATTTTCACCCTCGATGTAAGCACAACCGAACTATTAGCACATGAAGATAATTGAAATTTAAATTTTTGAATGATGCGACTATGAAAATATCATTTTACAAAATTCCGCGCGAGATTTTTGAGGGGAAGAACTTTACTGAAATGTGGTGTGACGGTGCACAAGTAAAACCTCATCAATTTTTTCTATTTTTCAGCAAACGAAAACAATCTTTTCAATTTGAAATTTTATATCCATACACTCGGTGAGAATGCGAGGGTGGAATTCATAAAAAAAGAAAAGAGATTGATGCAATTTGTCATGAGGGGAGGAAAAGGAAAAGGAAGCAAATGCTTTGATTTCATTTTTTCTCTCTCATTACATATTCATTAGGTGGGAGTACACTCGATAATAGAAATCCATTAAAAGTTCTCATTGAATTGAGCGTATCAAATTTCATTTTACTAGATGATGTTCATTTGACTTTATGATGATGTAAAGTACGAGAATGATTCTCACAAAGAGAATTAGTTTTGATTGAGTGTTTTTGTGTTTTCCCCTCGAGTTTTTCTTATTTCGATTTAATTATCCGCTAGCTATGCATTGACGGAAAATTTTGCGAACCTTATCATATTAAAGAAAAATATAGGAAGGAAGCCATCGTGAAAAAAAGTAAACAATAAAAAGGAAACCTTGGAGTTAATCTTATAATCCATGCAACAAATCCTTCCAATGGCAAGTGAAAAACCTCATCCTCATTGTTGTTACAACTTATCAAAGATTCTTGAGAAAATCTAACAAAAAAAAGAATTTTCCTTTTTGCCCCTTTAATTCACTCAGCATGCAGGATTTTATTTGAAAACCACAGATAGATGCCATACTGCAATTTTTCTTTTATAATTGCGTTCCACTTTTTCTCCCTTCACATATAAATATCTATTTTCCAACGACTTCGTTTTCCAGATTGCCAACTCCATAATCCCAACTGTTTATTGTTTCGCAAAGACTTCTTTAGTTCTTCACCATTTCATCTCTCAGTTTGAAGACCCTTGAGAATTTTAATCTGCGCTTACTAGATGTTTCATCTATTTTGATGTGACGGATTCACATTTTTTCAAGCAGTTTTTTTTTTCTATTGTACATCGACAATCTTTTGATTGTTAGTAGTATATTTTATTCTTACTTCAATATTGAATGGGATTTAATGAAATCTTGTGGCCTTACACAGCCTTGTTAACAATTTTTCATCGATCATTTGTTGTAGCTCATATAAATAATGTGACATTTCAATTTTCATTGCCTTCCTTCTGTTTGCATGGACGAAAGTGATCCTTTTCATTTAACATTTATGCTTTCTATTTATTGATGCGTAAAGAAGACGAAGAAAAAGAAAAAAAGTCTTTTGAAGATTTCGCAATTGTTTGTGCTTTAGCTACATAATGTCAATAATGTCAATATATTTAACAAAGCTAAAGAAAATTTTTATTTTCTTTTGATGAATTATTCACGAGAGAAAAAAAACGAAATAAACACAACCGTTTACAAAGATCTTTGACCTTCTATTTACCTTATAATTCACATCCCACATTGAAAATCCCTTTAATTTCTTCTCTTCTTATTGTTTATTCGATTAATTCAAATAATTTCCGGAAGAAACTTATAAACGTAAAACTAGGATCGTTTAAATCTCATAACTCTAATAAAATCAAATAAATGTCTGGTAATTTGTCTGAGACGATATCAAAACGAGAATGTTCAAGCTTAGGGATGAAAACATTTTAACGAGGGTGCGATAACCAACGTGTTGTGTTTGTTTTTATGATTTATGATAGGCGAAGGCAATAAATAGTTAGATCTGGATATCGACAGAATATAATGCCGTTATTTTTATTGCGTATAGAATTGAATAAGTCAATTTTATTAGAAAAAAGAATTCATAAGGAATTTGAAAAACGAGGATTCAATTGAGATTTTAAGTATTTATGTAAAAGGATTCAAAAGAAAATTTTTCAAATATAAAAATGGAAATAGAAACCTTGACATCTAATGACTAAACTTTGTTGACCTTCTTTTCTTCCAGTGTCTTATGATTCTAATTTTTTTAATAAAAGGAAACCTCAGGCTTATTATCATTAGTGTTTTATTTTTTTTCTCAAATCAACCTTTAAAAAAATCTCTCTCAAGTTACAACAGAACCATTAACCAACATTTATTCAATCACATGCATTCTTTATGTGTTTATGACTACTTATTAGAACGAATCCATATGATCAAATAAAAAAATGATGTGAAATGCCCAAACAGTTGGTTTTTTTTCGACTGATTGAATCTCATCAATTGAATTGTAAAACGAGAAATTCTATTCACGAAGTTGTCTTTCAATCATAAAACTAGTTTAGCTTCTTTCTTGACTTCTCTTTCTTATCCTTTTTAGACATTCTTGAAGCTATATCTAAATTCCCTTGAAGGTTCAGCAGACATTCTGTCTCTAGTTTCACATTTTTTCAAAATCTAAACCAACAAAAAGTAATCATGACGCATTCATTAAGAATGTTTCTTCGTCTACGAATATAAATCATCTCATCATAAGAATCCTCAAATTACTCATCAAAGAGATGAAGGGATGTCAAAAGGGATTGTCAATTAGCTCTTAAAAATTTTTACTTTTCTTATCGACGAAAGACAATCAGGAATCACAAAATTATTCGTTGTTGTGAAGAAAAAACACATGCAATTATGGTTCATGAAATTGAAAAACATTGTTAAATGAAATTCGATATTTATGTTTTGTATATTTGTGTTTTGCTATTTCGAGCAGAGCATTTCACTTCTTTTTTTTACTTTTGTAGGATTTCAATCGTCCTCAAAGTGAGGTTGACGTCTTCTCTGTGAACGCCTTTCTCATTGAAATTTATTCTTTTTTGTGTATATTCTATGATTGTCGAGTCAGGTAATTTAAGAACTGCAATATTTTGTTATTATTGTTTGAAGACTTCTCAATTTATTCAATTGAAATAAATGAAAACAAAATGTCATTTGCCTGCCTGTCTGCTTGCTATCCGAAGCAGAAAATATGCGATAGAAATACTTATTTAGGTTATTGAATCCCTTTCTTTCGTTTTTTTCATAGAAAATCATTGATCTTTTTGCAACCGTCGTCGAAGCTTAAACATTCAACATACAATCGCGTTATGTTGGCTTCCAGTCAGTGACATTATCTAATTACATGTTCAGTCGAGAGGCTCAATTACAACTTTCTTCACTTCTATTTCTCTTTTCTTCATTTTCACCGACGGCAAAAGAAATCCAATCATTCGTTGTTTGTTAAACAAGCAAACACTTCGTGTTGTATCAATTATTGTTTTCCATGAACATTTCTCTCTGTTTGTCATAGCCAAACAACTAAATTTTGTCTCTGTTTCAGAAGACAGAAGTGCAAATACTTTTTTTTGGAAAATATGAGAAATCCCAGATGTTTCTATTCTCGGATTCTTCTGTTTGTTGTAAAAATTTTCATGAAATTTAGATTTGTTTTTCTATTCTGTTGTCTGATTTGTTTTCTGATACCCTTCTTCCTATGGGCAACAAAAGAGGACTCATAATCACCGAAATATTTTTTTTGCGTTTCTCAAACTATTAAATAAATATTATCAAAACACTCAGACACGATAGACTAACGAAACATAAAACGAGCGAAAGTAAATTGATGAATGATCGTTGGATATTTGTGACGTCACATTTTGTTGGCTTATTTCTTGTTTGAAAAGTCTTAAATTAATGGCTGCAAATGCCAGTGTCTTAGGCTTTGCAGCGAGAGCTAATAAATTACAGAAAAATAAACTCTCTTCGCTTGTAAGGGAATTAGGTATAATTAATTTTGTACCTCGATGCACGAAAGAATAATGAAGGAAAAAACTATAAGAAAACATGGCCGATGTAACAAACGACCGTTTGTGTAGTTAAGTTTTTCGTTTTTTGACTCGCAAACCTGCCTGAAGGAAAAAAATTTATTCAAGCATTTTGCTTGCGAGAGCTAGCACAATAGTATAACATGAAAAGCTTTTAATGCTATTTCAGAAAAAAAAATTAAAATATATGAAAATTTATTCTGAACGAAAATGAGTTTCTTTTTTGTTTTACACTTTTATAGGGAACACTTTGAAAGTTCTGTAATTTCATTTTCATTGACTAACTATTATTAAAAAAAGAAGAATAACGTCAAATATGAAAGTTATAGAAAGAATTCTTGTGTGTGAATAAGATTTATTGTAAATTCGAACAAGGCTTAAGAGTCAAATTTTTTTTCGAAGAATTCAGGGGAGCGATTGGAGTGGTCAAGGTCTCGCGCATCTTAAATTCACGAATCTTTTGTCTGGAATTACTTTAAATTTTCCATCCTGTCAATTAAATTATTTCACTTTTGTTTCTCTCTCACGTTGTTCAAAGAAATGAAATATAATTTTCAGCCATTTCATTAAAAAAAGCATTTAAATGTCAGGAGAGAAAAAGGTTTTTATTCGGCGTGTTTCGAGTATTTCATGTTGCACGGATGGTATCTTCACAAAGTTCTGTTTCATTTATCGCTTGTATTATATATGATATATGTATTTGTAGGTTGCTCTTGTGCTTTATTTTCAAGAATAAAATGGCGGACATTATAATTTATTCGCTTTAATAAAAATACTTTTTCATTCAAATTATTTATTTAATTTAACGACAGTTTGTTTGATTTAAAAGTATAGAGTTTGAATATTTTAAAATAAATATGTATTCTTGTACAAACCTGCACTCGGGATTCTGGCAATGAGATTTTAAGTGCCACTTCTTCGCGCATAAATATGTCGGGATATCTCGTCTTACTGAACAGCGATTCGAGAATGTCAAGTTGTGTTCGAGTGAACGTTGTTCTCTCTCTTCGTTGTTTGCGTGGATTAACACCTGAAAGAGCATTAAGAAAATAAATTTGTCATTAAAATTTGTTCATTTTCCTTATTGTCAAAAACATCGCAAGCTTTTATGTCATCTTTAAATGTTTCATTGTTTGACGATGTCGCTGTGAAATTTTGCACATTTTAAAAGAAATTTAATTGGCGTAAAGTGATGAAATTTATTTTTACTTCAATGAATGAAAGAAAGCATCTCACTTTTAATTAAAAGTTAATTCGATTGTGCAACCATCAGCTGTGTGCATTCGCACAATAAACTTTTTTACTTTGTCGCCTCAACTTCGATCGTCGAAAATCAATTAATTTTCATTAAATCTCATTTTCTCTCGGGAATTGTGTCAATAATTCAAATATGGATTTTTGAAGCCCTATTTTAAGCCCGAGGGTCTATAAACACCTTTTTTCTGTACCGACAATCGACATGATCATGTACAAATACATTGGAAATAAAAACTTTTATCCGGAGAGTAAACATTGGTCGGGAACAGATTTTGAAATAAAATTCAATTCAACCCCCTCTTGTTTGCTACAAATAGCAAAATAGTTTTTGTGTTGATGATGAAGAGAAAAAACTGCAATAAGCTTTTCATGGTTGCAACATAAATGATTAAGGCGTGATTTGGAATAAGAATTTTACATTATGTGTCGAACTACATACATCATATAAATATATACATAGCAGTAGAATGAAGGGAGAAAAAAGGAACATAAATTGAATAATGGATCTACATTATAAGTATTTTATTCGCAACTGTTTTAATTTTTTTTCTTTCTCTGGAATGAATGGATTTTTAAAGCACAATAGAAGAAGGCATCCGTGTATTGAAAGGGTATGATATGTCATTCATATGAAAGAAAAAAATGAACGACAGGGAATCGCAGTCAGCCCATGTCACATTTGATTGAGAATTTTAATTTCGTATCTAATAGAAATTTATGACATTTTAAGACCCATTCGGATGTAATAAAAAAACGAATTAATAAAGTTATGGGTTGCAGAAAAAAAATAGAAGAATAAAATGGCAGTTGGTGAAAGAGCGAATGATTTCTTTGAAAAGTTCTAAGTAGCTACTTGAATTTGTGTTAAAATCCCTCATAGAAAATTCTAAGCATTAATAATTCTTTATGTAATGGAGCTCAACATTAGCCAATTCAAAACGATTTTTAATTATCTAATTAAGAGAAAATGAAACAATTTATGTGAATCTTAAAGAGTCATTCTGAAACATTTTTTACAGAACTCCAGAAAATTTACGATGGTGTTTAATTAACCAGAGAAATAAAAATGTAAATTATGAACAAATTGGTCGGATCTCGTGAGTCGTGGGAAAAGTTTTCGAATATAAACAGAAGTTAAAATCACAAAACAAATTTTCACATTGATTTTCCTTACGTCGATTATTTCAGCTGAAATAATTTTACTGCTTTTCCCTCGCATGAAAAATCGTCAATCAATGTTTTTAGATTTTCACCAACAAACAATACCCCAGAGGATGATTTTTCGCATGGTTTTTCATCGTTTGGAAAAAGGAATTTTCATGCGGCACTCAAGTACGCGTGAAAACAGAAACCTAAAGTGATAATTTATGTATTTATTATGCTTGAAGGCCTATTTGTGTGTTTGCTTTCATTGCTTTTTTTAGATTCAATTCTTCCCTTGTTCATCGTGTGATGTTAAGGGAAAATTGTGAGGGTGAAAATTGAAGGCAAAAGTGTTGTAAGAAGTAACAATGTGCCAATGTTTATCAAATCGAGAAGGACGTAATGTATCTAAATTTAATTTATGTTTATCTTGTTACGAAACGGGAAAATGCCTTTTCAATAGGAAAGTAATTCAATTTGGCAAGTTTTGTAAACATTTTCGGCATCAGTCGAGAGGAGAAACAAAAACTTCTAGAGTCAACCACGAAATGATTTTTCTCGGTAGACGATTTCAAGTGATGATAAATATTTACTTTAGCACCAACGTTACTCATGAGATATTTAATTCACTTGCTTGCTGTGAACTATTTATATATGTAAATAGATATAAGAATGAAACATTCTCTACCTCAATTCATTCGAAAGATATTTAATTATAAAATTCAGTATTTGAATTGTCACGTGACTGAAAAAATGTTTAAAAACGAAAGTTTTATTCCTTTATAATGCAATTTAAGATACTAAAAATATCCATTAAAAAGTGACGATTGGTAATAGCTTATTTTGTATGCTGATTGCTCGACACACTTTCTTGTGTAACCAATAACTCGTTTGTTTTTCAACGGAATAAACAAATAGTTAAGTTGTCACTCAATTAAGCACGTGGTGATCATTATTGCTACATGGCATCAAGAAGGTTGGTCAATGTCAATAGATTAAGAAGCCAATTTATCATACAACGATGATATCAAATAACTGCAAGACACTCCAAGAAGGGAATTAAAAAAAACAAATTGAAGATTAACTTTTATGTCTCTTCAGCTTCACGTAATACGCAAGACTACCGAAAAAAAACCTTCAAAATATAACCCAGTAGCTAGTCGGTTACGATAAAAACTATTATTTATCAACATATTAATCTGCATATCTTTGGATAAAATCTCATCGCGGGGGGAATTTCTTGAGTCTTGTGGAACACTCAATGATCAAGAAGAAATTTACATTTTCATTCCTTCTTTGTGTCTCTCTTCTTCTTATGATCTTCCTTATTCCACAATTCTTCGCTTGCACAAGAAGGAATGTCTTCAATTTCGATAATAGCACGTGCCAAGCCATAAAAAATCTTGAACAAAATGTTTCATTCCAAAATGAAATATTCACGAAAGTGTTTTTGAAATGAAATCACTTTTCATAAAAGTTTTTTTATTTCTTCGAGATATCTTAACAACATTCTTAAGCCTTTTTAAGACACAGAAAGTTGAAACTTCACTTAACCGAATCGAAATGAAACAACAACTGCTTCTGAGACCGTGTGCTAGCGCTTTGATTGAATAAATTGTTAAACGTTTTAAGACATTTTTCTTAAGATTTGAGGAGACGACTGAGTATAGCTTCTCATTCTTCCCTAGTTTCTCTTGAATACTTTAATTTGCATACATTAGTACAAATCGATTTTTATGTTTCTATACCAGAAAACATATTAAACTTTTCGATCTCGCTTATAATTTATACCATTAATAAATTTCTTAAATTTAAAATTCAAAAGAAACTTCTCTGCTACCAAAATATTTTCGATTCTGTTCAGCAATCAACTCGCGCCCGCAATAGAATAATTAAGAGAAACGAGAAAGATGTCAGCTCACTATATATATTTTCTCTTGTTGTTGTAAAGTGATCAGCAGAAGCAACATCTTAAACGACTCTTTCTTCCAATACAATTATAATTAATGATCTCTTGTATCGAGCTCGTGAAATTTGCATTAATGATTAACGATCATTTTTTTTGTTTGTGAGTTTCTAAGTGTAATGTTTAAGCCTTCTTTTTATTACATACTGCAACAAAGCGAAAATTAAATAAAAAAATTATTTATTTATGAAAAAAAAAGCAGGCACACAAAGCCACTCGATATGGTATTATGTTTTAGTATGTTTCTTCTGTTTTAGTTTAATAGTCAGCAAGAGAATAAGAGTTAATCTGATTATTTTAAACAGCCTGTGGCGTAATAAAAGTTAATAATGGCAACAATTAAAACCGGGTATCAATTTCATGGTGCCGAAAGCCAAAAACAAAAAAAAAATATAACAACAGGCGAATTACTTCTCGTCGTTGTACGCCAGTGTCATAAAACAGAATAAATATTCGGAAACGATGTGATGAAAAATCATAAAATTAGAGAATTGTGATCGTTAAACGTTCAAGAAATTTTCACAATTTCGTTTTACAACAGAACAACTTTATTTATATGAGTATATTTATCATAAAAATGTTCAAGCTAGAATGTTCACCATTTTGTTAATGAATTTTGATTGCCTGGTGTTTCATATTTACGGGGATGTGCACAAAAAGTAACATTTATCAACCCTCATTGAAAATAAAAATATTGTTACCGAACAACGAGACGACAACGAGAAGGGAAAAAATTCATCAGAGAAAGATTTTTATCGTAGATGTGAAAATGGAAGGAAAATAAAAATAAAAATGAAGTTTGAATTAAATTAAGTTTTTGGTGTGTAAAATTCTAATTTTATAGACGACTCTATATCAAAAATTTGTTTATGGTGCGGAAAAAGTTTTCATTTTCAACTTGCTAATGATAAAAATGTTTCCACTCTCACTTACATAGATATTTTTTGTTGAGAATGAAGCTCACGAAAAACATCAACAAACAAGATATAGAAGAAAAGCAATAACTACGAATTGTAGAAATATAAAAAAGGGGGAAGGCGAAGAGTGTTGTCGAGAAAATGGGAAGATAAACCGCTTATCAGGGTGGAAACATACAAAAAATAACAGAAAACTTTTCAAGAGTATGTATACATTATGAAGCATGCCTTTATGTGTTGTTACTCTTCTCGACTTCTTTCTCGAGTGCTGAGGATGGGAGATGACGAATAATTTTTTCATTCTATTGTGCCTATGAATAGACAGCAGAAAATTTTCTAACATCTTCCGAAGGGTAATATTGAAACTTTGAGCTTTCATATTTTTTATTTTCTTTACGCCTTCTCATTCTTTTAGAATATAAAAAAATTACAACAGAAGGAAAGTCTCTACAAAAACGAATAAGCAACAAATTCATTTTGATTGAAAAAGTTCTTCGAGCAGGAAGAAGGAAAATTTCATTCTCTTATTCTTCTCCTTTTAGAATGAGATGCTCAGAATTCTATTTGAATTAAGAAATGGGAAATAAATTTTGGTGGGAGGTTAAAAAGGTTTTCAGATGATGATTTCTCATGAGAGATGGAAAAATATTTGGCGTAAATTTTTTTATTTCCTTCCGACCAATAAGAAAATGAAGCAGTTTAGGAAAGAAGGAAAGCAAAAGTCATAAAAGAAACCTTCGCCCTCATCATCTAACGATTTCATTTGGAAAAGGAAAACTCAAATGAAGTGGAATTTACAAATCACAAAGCCCCATTGAAATGAACATTCGTTCGCATTATTTACAAAAGAATTAAATATCTTTGTTCTTGAATTTGTTTTTTTATTTGCAAAGAATTATTTTTGTTGTTGAATGCTTCGAGCATAATTTTTGTTCATGCAAGCATAAGGAATTTAGAAACTAGTTAAATGCTTTTTTTATCGTTTGTTTGCCAAATGATCATTGAATAGTGTTTTAGATTTTTTAAAAATATCATTAACTAATTTTGAAGAATGAATAGCTTTAATTTCCGACAACTTCTCTTTGAGAAAAAAAGCCGTAACTTGTAAACATCCCCCACCATTAACCAATTGATTTTGTTCCGCGTTATTGAGCAAAAGAAACTATTAGATTAATTCTGAAGCCTCCGAAAACTATTCATGCCATTCTATTAGTGTTCGATTGTTCTCTTCAATTTTTCTAAACATCTCTAAAACTTTTAAGAGCGGCAAAATGGAGAAAGAAAATTGAAAATTCCCTAAAACAAATATAAGATCGATTGAAAGAATAAAAGTTTCTTTTATGTTATCGACTCTGATTGTACTCAAGCAAGAGAGCGTCACGAAGAAGAGAATTGATAAATCAATAAATTATTTGACACTTTACAATACCGCCTTAATTACTTAGATATTTTACGCGGCTCTCAAGTTTAAGTTTTTTTGTTTCTATTGATGAAACTGGAAACCGCTTCATCTTCTATACTTTTTTCAATTTTTGACAAATGTTTCTCTCAGAAAAAGAAACAAAGACAAAGATTGTTGACATATTGCTCGCAGTTATGTTCACACTCATTGAACATTGATCTGTTATTGTAATATATTTATTTCGGTATCAATGATTGGCATAACAGTAGATTATGTGATTGAGATCCGTGTGAACAGAATTGCAGAATGATCTCACATCTTGCAAAAGTAAGTTCAACATTCACTTCACGGTAGCACGTCGTAAGCAACCACATTCATTAAGCCTCATTATCAACCTACAATGACTTTGAAATATTCTCATTTCGGCTGCCATCTCTGATCTCATTCCGCGCGGTTTAAAATAAAATTATGATTAATATTTTTTTCTTTATCTCGCGTTTTGGGAATCTCGTTTTGCTTCTTAGGTCGTTCTACTCTGCGTCATAGAAATTAAAATGCTTGTTGATTCTTCGCCTCATTAGATATTACACATTTTCGTCAACAAACTTTATAAATAATATTCATATCAAAAATAAATCGTTTTCTGTTGCGCTCTTGTAGAAAATATTTTCACTCGAACGTAAAGAATTAAATATCGATGACGAGGAATGCTTTTAAAATGACATTAAGTATTTTTGTCATGAATAGTCATTCGAGCGGATATCGGTGCCTTTGGCAGATGGAAAAAGGAGAGGAACGGTTGAAAAAGTGTGATTCTGAAGAAATCTTCCCACCGATGTCATGTTGAGAATAAATATCTTGGAATTGAATCATTTCAAGTTCCAATGTTATAAAAGCTTCACACAATTTTGAAATTTCATTTCTCGCAAAGTTCACTGCAAATATAAATTCTCTTTAATTTTCATTAAGTAACAGAAGCCAACAGATGAGAAGCGAGAATGTCTTGAAATGTCCGGTCACAAGATCCAACACAAAGTAAACCAATCAATCAAAGCTGCCGAGGTTGAGAATGATATCAAAAATGAATCGCTTTTTAATGTATCCAAACCAAATGTATCAAAAGAAAATTCCCCGCTTCGAGTGATACAACAGAATGATTTGTTTGCCTTGGCATCGCAACTTCTCTTATTTTTCGGCTTGTTGTTTCGCGTCGTTTTTATTTCATTAAAGCCGTCATATCTTTATCCGAATCTCACAACCCAGCTGTGTGATGTGTGTCTGAGTGTTGGACGCGATAAAGCAAAAAAAAGTAAAATATTTAAAGTGAATAATGTTGAGAAGTCAGAAGAAGCCGAAAAAAAAGGTTTTATATGACCAAATTGAATACTCGCACATGATCTATCATAAATTACGAGCTCTTTCATTTAGCAGAATATTTATCCGTTAAGTTAAGATTCATTTGCTGATTGACTTTGATGAAATCTATGTGGCTACTGGTTTTCGTAACTCGTAACTTTTCTTTCTTTCCCCTTGTCTATGATCAGCGAAAAATTCTCTTCCAAGATCGCCATCTAGTCAAACAATGAATACATTGAATTTTAAATGTTACGGTCTCACGAGAAAAAAAATAAGACTTCATTTTAAATCTCTTTTTACAGTTGATTTGAATTAATTGTTAAGGCATGGGAATATGTCATTATGCGCGTATGATTCATCATGTCTTTCGGATTAATTAAAATTGACAGCTTAATATGTAGCATAAAGCTAATTTGAATGCTTAATTTAAGTATCAGGGAAAATACTATACTAATCAATATAATAATAAAAACTAATAAGTAATAACTTGAAATAATTAAATTTAGAAAACAGGCACTAAAACTTGGAAACAATATTTACCCCACATACCTTGATGGGGGAAGCCAACCGCATCTAAACCATGTGGTAATCCGAAGGGTGCAAGAGACGTCATGGGCATTCCGGGAGGCAAAGGCGGTCCATGACTATGATGTGGATGATGAGGCCCACCGTAGCTATGAGGATGTGGTCCGAGATCTGTTGATTTGAGAAAGCCCGCCATCAGGGCTTCAGTTGAATGCAGCGCCACGGCAATAAACTTAGTTGACTAACTTTAGAAATTAATGTCGTCGCCTTGACGAAATCTGAAAAGAAAGAAAGCAATGTTTATTTAGGTGGATATTTTTTGTCATATTTTCAGTGCAAATTGCCATGATATTTGGATAAACAGCATCACATCACAATGAATGAATGACGACTTTATGCTCATGATGATGGGAATTGCATGCCTTATTTTCGTACATGATTTTAACAATGAACTAAATCAACAGAAATTCTTTCCATTCAAAAAAAAATGTTTTATTTTTGACCCAAAAAAAAGAATTCCTCGATAGTGACAAGGAGACGACAGAGAATGAATCGTTTTTGTGTATCGAAGGAAACAGCAAGCATTAATTGTTTGAACACGTTTAACTTTAAACTTTGTTTTTCTTCTCTCTGCTCTTTCAAAGCTGTTTTGTAATCAACGGAATAATAGAAATTTTAGTTAACCGTAGAGGCAACAGCAGCACAAAAAAAATAGAAGTAATAATTTCAAGCAGACAATATTTATGAAGCTCATTTATAATTTGTTGTGACGCGGTTTGTCCATTAGCTTCGATTATGACATATTTTTGAGGTGAATTTTTTTAACGTAGACAAGCTTTGGATGGTTTGTGCGTTAAGTCACTTTTGGAAAACATGTTTATGAATATTTACAATTTGATACTGAGAAAATTTATTCATTCAATTTCAAAGCCCATTCAAGATAATTTTCTCTCATAAAATTTTTATTTCACAGATTTTTTTTCATTTTTGTATCCTGGTGATAAGAAACATTTATGAATTTCTCAAAGAATTTTATATCGAAAAGCGACGACGTCATTTAAAAATTATTTCCAACTTATCAACGTTATGTAAATCGACTTTAGAAAAAGTAAAAGCGCTTAATTGAATTGAATTGAATTGAATTGATATTAATTTTCAATTTTCATACAGAGTTAAGTGACGACTACGAAAATTAACGATGATCGAACAAAAGATCTGCTAAATACTTTCGATATGCGAAAATTATGTTCGCTTAAGATTGTTACTGACCGAGGAGACTATCAAGCGAATAAAAAAAGATCGAATAAATTTAAGTTTATATGCAGTATATATACCGATTGTCAATTGTATTGTCGACGGTAATTTAATGCAATTAATAATTTATTGTTCCATTATGGTGCCCATTTTCTTTCTCTCATGCACCGTGAACTTTCGTACTGAATGACTTAATGAATACGCGACTGTTCTGATATCAATAGTTATGCTGCTTAGTTCTTAATCCTCTCGTTTCACTTCATTTCTTTTTTAATTGAGAGAGTGAGAGAGAATGATCAAAATGAAAGATGTGGAGTCAACTATTAATTGTTATATTTTTGCATTGCTTATACTTTCATGCTTTTTTTTTCATATACATACTGCTTTTCAAAATTATACGATGATTTTTACTCAATGGAATGCTTTTCTTGTTTGAATGTAAATTTATGCGAATCAAAAAGTGTCATAAATGTGCGTCTTTTATCATAATCGGAGAAATGATTTCAATGTCATTTCATCGTAAAGTTAACGCATTCCACTTTGAGTTGGTTGAAAAACAAAAAAATGGGTGGTCGACCGAGACACAGAAATCGAGAAACCGCAAGCGATGGAAATGAGAATGCTTTTGGTGTCGTCGCCCCATAGATCGCTTATTTGTCGTCGATGCGGGTCTTCTGATCGCATCGACTAAAAGATATTTCCGATTATTGGAAATCTTCTCTCTAAGAAGTTGAAAAACCAATTTAGAAATTTCCAACAGAAATGTATTTTGGTACCGCCATGTTGTCGGTTGAAATTAAGTAACTAGTGGGAGTTCAAGCTTAGATTTCTTTGTATAAACAAAACCAAATTTAGTGCTAGTGAACAGTCGAGACTTGCTAAAGTCATGAATTGATAAATAATTTGTGGAAACGAGACTTCAAATGAATCTTATTTTTTACTGATTTTTTTGTCTCATTCATCTTGAGTCAGGTTGACGATTGGCGAAGTCGTGCAAAAAATATTCGTAATTTTCGTAATTGCACTGGAATTCCTTGAAATCTTTCTCGCTGTTAACTTCTTTTACACTACTGAAAACGTGAGGTAATAGTTTATATCTACCTTACAAACGACATGTGAATGAATGCAATATGGTTGGTCAATGAATGTCACAACAATGCGGTGAAAAAACTTCATTGAAGTGGAAAATAATTACATAGAAATAGATATTACTTTATAAATAACCACACATAAAGCAAACAAAAAAAGTTTAGAAAATTTTTCTATATAGAACTCTGAAAGCATCCTCAGATGGTTGTTTGCTTGACTGGTTGGTGACAAAAATTCTATTCGGCAATGGTCCTTTCATGGATTATTTATTTCAACCTTTCTGTAGTTCGACGAAATATTTTTTCAATTACCGTAGACGAAGCTTGAAGCTTCATGAATCAGTTTTCAGAGATTAATAAATCTGTTGTGGTCGTCTTCTTGTAGGCTAATGATTTTTTTTCTCTTCTTATCTTGCTCGTATGTATTTCCAACAAGGATTATTTTTGCATTTCTCCCTCACACAGCTTTGTTGTTGTGGAAAGGAATGAACAGGAAAGTTTTTCTAGGGCATTCTCAAAGGGACTTAATTTTCAGGCAATTTCTGAAGTTTGAAATTAACATTTCGCAGAATTCCGATATCATTAAAGAGTTCTTCTTAGTGAAGGCGGCAAAATATACAAAGACGAAGCGCAACTGTTTAAATGCCACTAAAAATAACATAAGAAAAATATGATGTGTAAGATTTCTCCTGTTCTTCTTTTGTGGTTTATTTTTTTCCTCGCCTCGCTCCTTCTCTCAAATTTAAAATGAAATTTGAATACTGTCGGCTTGCTTTCTTGTTGATTATTGATACTTCTTCTCTCTCCGTGAGTTACCTGATGAATAATTTAATCATAATTCAAACTATCCAAATGGTATCGGGAATGGGCCACAAATATTTGTGTAACTGAGTCATCAGAGCAACGGAGACACGATACAGCTTTAATGACAACATCATTTCTTATGTTATCGCAGACAAGTTCTTTCTATGCCGTCAACAACCTCTGACTGTACTAAGCAAAAAATATTTAATTCAAGTTAACGATAGAGAAACGAAAAAAAATTGTTTTAATTTTGCACATCTGATGGGTTAATTGTTAACTTGACGTTTACGATCGAGCTTTGTTGGCAATTTTGGTTTATTATGAGATTCACTAACATAAGTTCATTGTGACAGCAAATTTACAACGAGAGTAGACTTTAGAATGTTAAATTTGTGATTTTTTCTTGGAATATGAAGAAAGAGAGAGACGAGGGCGATAACGAATCACACCTGTGAAACATTCTTTTTGACTTCTTCTCTTTCAATGACCGTGGCTGCTGACCGTTCCGCGACAATGAAAAAAGGTATTTCTAGACATTTTTGATTTATTTTATATGATTGAATTGAGCAATGAACACAAGCGGAGGAATTCCTTCTATCTTTGCTTTCAAGTTTTAAGGGGAGAGCCAAGAGATTGAAACAAGAACTTGACATAACAATAACCGCATCAGATAAAATATAAAAATGTTAAATAAAGCAACGAAGAGAAGGAAGAAAAAAATCCATTTGCTGTAAGTTCTTCTGATAAACAAAACTTGTCTTCCAATTTGTTTCGCTTCTGGTATGCAAATTACCAATATCATGTTAATGGACAAAAACCAGGGTTTCTCTTGCTTTATCGCATTTGTTTTGTTTTGTGGAACGATGCGCACCGAAAAGCTTTTGCGATCCAACTTAGGCCTTCGACAAAATGAGAATCGATAGAAGCTAAACATTAATGAATGAAACAAACAAGCGAAATGAAGCGCTCGAAGGTGACAAAACTGATTTAATTAAAAATCTTTTTTTTTCTTAGTCTTTCTTTTCTTCCTTAAAAATCACTTTTATTTAATCTTTGATGTTGCGCAGAAATGACTCCAACATTATTCTTCCGATGAAATTAACCAGTATTGGTGGCATCCGAGTAGATATATTTGATTAAATCACTCGCTTTTATCATGTAAAACGAAATCATTTTTATTCATTTTTGGGCGCGGTAAAAGCATGAAATGTTTTAGAAAATAAAAAGTTATTAATGAACAAAATATTGTTGAGATGAAAAATAAGTATGAGCTCTTTTTAGAAACGGTGGCACCTTCTAAAAGGAGGGATTTCTTGCATGCGATTATACATTTTGCAAGAGAAATGTTGATCACTAGAAGTCGGTGATCTTAGATGGTGTGAAAGAAACGGATTAATATGCTTTGTTGTCATTAACTGATCTTTCTTAACAGTAGCAGATTATTCTATGTTTACCTTTTAATTTATTTCCTTATCCCAGCGAGAATTTTTTTGCTTTAAATCTCCAACACAACTGTTTAACTCAACGCACTCAACCAATCTCCAACCTTATCGGTTGGGAAAATGTATCGCCTTTTTCTTTACATTTCACGACAAGAAATCCAACAGAGATGAAACCAGTTTGATTATGATTAAAATTATTAATATTCCTTTTCATTTCAATATTGGTGCCGGTGGTGTTGCCTGATACGAGGCTCATAAAAACTGTTGTTGACTTCTTCACGGTGTCTTGAAAAGCCGCTTGATTTTGATCAAAAATATTTCCACCTTCTCATTCATATTTTAATTTCGATTCAATTCAACTTTCTGACTTTATTTTTGGCAGCAACATTGAAGATAGAAATGCCGACAAAAATAAATTTTGAATTTTTTTTATCGTTTCTTGAGTTAATTTACGGAATCCGGTACAAGTCACTTAATTGGCATTTTCCTTTTGCAATTGAACAACAAACACAACTTTTTGACATTATTTTAAGAAATGATGATATATGGAAATTGCTGCTTTTCTAAGATTTCAAAAAAAAAATCATCGAAATATTAAGCATTATTGTAACAAAAGTTTTTATAAAACTCAGAAATATCTGCGAAATAAATAAAAATCGAAATGAATGAAAGAAACTTTGCCTCAAAACAAATTGAATAACGAAAATCATCAAACAGAAGCCACAGTTAACCGACTTAACTTTAGCGCGTGAAGAATCGGTTAAATAAATTATTAAAGTCTCATACACAACAATAATTTATAATATTTCGAGATTCTCGTATGGTTGACTAATATCAAAATACAGAAATAAATTTAGATGCTTCTTTTTCCATAACAATATATTGGTTTATGATTTGCAACTGAGTATGAAATTTTGGATTACAGAATAAATCTACTCGTTGTCTAATATTCCTTGAATTCAATAATATTTTTATATTCAAATCTAAGCTTACATATTGCTTCTGGAATAAGCATCTATCGATGCGATTTTGTGTCGCCAACTTTACGAAAAATATTATATTCTTCGTTCTTCTCGAATACATTCCAATTAATCACAATTAACAAATTTAAAAAAGAATCTTTAAGATTGTGTTTAAGCAAAAGAATTCCATCTTTTTCAGATATTTCCTACGGAATGTTATTGTTGATATTTAAACGACGGTGGATTCAAATGAGTGAGTAAATTTATGAAAAAAATTACATCACAGTTGTGGTCTTTTCAATCGTGACGGTTGTTTATATAAATACAAAACTTCTGATATTCTTAATTTCTCTATTTTCCGACTTCGGCATTTCCACTGAGTTTGATATGACATTCCTTTCGTCTGTTAAACGATGTAATTTGTAATAAAATTTATGAGTTCTCGTTCCTAGCTAGGTAGATAGTCTTTTGATCTTTGCTATGATTTAAACAACCAACGTACAGATATGAAAATAAGGAGTATTTAATGATCACTTCTCAGTGGAATGTATTCGTCACAGACATTAAAGGAATAAATTAATTGATTACAGTGGTTAATGCTAATTAATCATGTTGATTTTTTTTTCTCTCGCTCTTTTTTTATTCAGTTGCTTCAATCCCTAAGTATTTATTTAGTAATAAATGCTGAAACATGTTTAAATAAAATTAAGACTGTGAGCTTCATAAAAATTCCAGAATTTAAAAAAGACAGGAGCGAAAGGAAGAGAATTATGATATATGATTGGACAAGATGTCACAGAATGATGAGGAATAATTGACAGACTTTTTTACTTTATTTATTCGTCTTAAATTAGAGGTTGCAAAAAATTTTAGCATAAAAAAATTTGCATTTACATCGTAGCGATCGGCTACTTGGCTTGTCTTTCGCCTACGCTCGGGTTCGCATTAAAAATAAGAACTTAAATTATTGACAGTTCCAGAAGTGGCTCGCGTAAAATCAAAAGAAATTAGCAGCGTTTAGCGGAGGAGCATAAAATAATTAATTTAAAATTAAAATAAATTGAATTTTTATATTTCTCTTGCTTATTTTTTTTCCTGGTGATTTGTAATAAAAATTTTTTATGATCCTTTTAAAGACATCGTACAACTATTGATTTCGAGACTTATTGGAATTTTAATGTAAATTAATTAAAATTTTATATGATTAAGTTGTTGACATCAATTATTTAAGTTTGTGACTCTACATTCATCATAACACTAATGACGCTCACGGAATCGAACTGGCAATTTCAAATTGATCACGGGCTACAAAATTAATATTCCATAACTAACAACACCAATTGGAGTGTTCAATGATGATTACCACCGCTCCACAAAACAGTCCGATTCTCAATTCCTTCCAATAAATAAAAGTAAGTTAAAAAAAGCGAACAAGGCATTTACACGGTGTGAAACGAAATTATGATAAATAGCTGGCATGAAATAATTTTTTTTCTTCTTTCTTTGAAAGTGCTTCAAAAGCATTCAATATTTTTGGAAGTTGAACAAATGCCCACGGTTTCTCATTCTTCCAACTAATAATATAAAATAAAATCTAAAAACTTGATTTCACAGAAGTATGAAGTAATTAATTTTAATTTTCATATTTACTTTCCACATTGTGGAGATCCATTTCGAGAATAACAATAATAATTTTTAAAGTGAAAACATTAATTACGAGTTGGTGGTTGAAGGTTCGAGCTCTATAAGGTCAAATTGAAAAGTTTTTATTTGCTAGCATCAAGCGAGTGCTCAAGCGCCATGGTCAATTTAAGCAATGCAATGGCGAAACTTTTATCCAGAGAGTTTGAACGAAAATTATGGTCAGAAACTTTAAACTGATTTTAATTAATGCTGCTTTTGAACTCACGTAATTATCTAATTAAAATAAAATTCTTTTTTGCGACGCGATTATCGTTCAATATTTTACGGAAACACTTTTTTCTGTTGTGTATGAATTTTTCTTTTCAAATGTTCAGCATATCAAGAAGAATAGTTAGTTATTGTGCGTGACTACGATGGCATGAATTAATTTCATCGCTTTGTTCGACTACTTTTTTTGTCCGAAAATTATTTATTGATTAGTTCACCTTTCGAAAAACAAAAAGAAGTCTGAGAATGATGTTAGCTAGAAGGAAGCTCAATGGGAGCGAAAGACGTTTATTTTCCAGACTTGTGTATAAATTTTTATAAAAAAGAAATCTTTGAAGCTTCTTGATTAGCAATTAATGTGATTTCATGTTTTACTCAAATTGGATTTAAGAGCGACTCATGGGTGGAAGAAAACGAGCGTTTGATTTTGGAAAAAGATTCAGAACTCCCTGAATTTCATTAAGCTAGGGCAACCGTGTAACAACTTTTCGTTATTTCCACTGAGTTTTGCTCATCAGGCAGCTAATATTAAATTGAATAATCATATTTTCATTTTTTCTCTCACTTCCTCATTCACTCTCTTGTTAAACGTAGAGCTCCTTCATGCTTAGAACTGTTGATTGAAAAACCATGTTTACTTAAATTTCCGTGTGCGCGGAAAAAAATATAATCGAGTAATGAAGCAAGTTTGGTTGAATTTAATTCACTGAAGTCAATGAAGAAACTTATGTATGTGGAACTAAAATCAATCAAACTTCTGGAATCAAAAGACTTAGGAACTGTTGAATAAAGAATTAATTTTTTCTTACAGTGACCGTTCGCAATTATGTTAGCATTAGTTAAAATTAAATAAAATCAAATTTCAAGGTATTCTATATTTATATTTCCTTAAAGGTTTGATGTTTTATATATCGTTAGTTGAGACTATAAAATTTCAATTATTGATAAGAAAATTTATTCATCAGCGCACAATGCAACATAGCCTTTAATGAATCATATTTTCACTTCCATTCCAGCTTCATTCCGCTGCTTAAAAGCAAACATATTTCAAAAGATTCGAGATCACAAAAACGACAAAATTTTGACGCATGTCAAAATCTTTCCCCGAAAAACTCTAAAGAAGGAGTAAGAGAAACAAGTTTTATTATTTCTTTACATTTTCGGACCATCATTAATTTATTTCGCTTATCAAAAATGTCTTTTATACTTTATTTATGTTTCTTTTACTTCTTCTTCTCTTGTTTTTTTTTCGATTGAGCTAAAAATTGTATAAACTCATATGAGAGGCTAACAAAGAAAGAATATAAGAAAAAGTTTTAACAGGTACGATTGAACTTATAAATTTACATCGGCCTATAAGTTGAAATTATTTATATCAATCATATCTGCAATATTTATCAATAAGTTTAGTATTTTTTTTAACTTTAAAAGATAATTTCCAACCGAGAAGAGTGCCCATCAGTAATGAATTTATAACTGAAAGCAGATTCGCACAATAATAATTAATCGTTGAGTAATTTTGCGTACCATTCTCATCTCCCACTCTTTAAAATATCTATAACTTGGTAACGAAAATTATTTGTCGCCCAAACAAATCTGAAACGACGGCTCAGATATTCTTAAACGTCCCAACAAAATTGAGAAAAAACAAGAAATCTTCAATTTTCTTATCTTTAAATTTAAACATTTATTATTTTTCTGTTATATATTGAAGAGCGCAAGAGCTAAAAACAACCAAAGAAGTTTCTTAAGTGTCTCTTGCTCTTTGTGATTCTTGACGACGATCACAAGAAGAAAAAAAACTTTTTATTCTTCCTTATCAGCTAACGCGTGTTTATGCTAATTTTCGTAAAAAGCCAGTGAAATTGACTTCGCTGGAGTGAAGAAAGAAGAAACTTTTTGACTGGTAAATTGATTCTCTTAAAAGACTTTATGATCCTAACAAAACGTAGACTACATCACGCTAAGTAGAAACAAGCAAATGTACTGCGAAAAAGTTAAACAACATTATTATGTCATTTTATGGGCTCATATCAATTTGTTAAAACGCAAAATTAGGCTGGCAATGGGAAACGACGATTGAATAGCGCCAATGTTTATAGCTATTGTCTTGAGTTAAACTCGATCAATAAAATAAACTTCGTGAATATTGTCTTAAAAGATCAAGTGAAACAATAATTCGGATAAATAGAATTAACGTTCGTTGATGATCAATGTCGGTGAAAACAAAAATCGCACAGTGATCAATTAAATTTTTTTTAATAATCTTCATAAGTGTTTTCCTTTCAATTTTGTTTTATGATGTTGATTGTCTTTCACTCCTAACATTTAACTAATTTTCTTGCTTCTTCATATTTATTAACGAGGAGAAAATTTCTTACTTCGCTTGTGATAAATTAGACTACTCAAAACGAAAATCGTCTCTTCATGTAATTATGATAACAGGGATTAATTTAATGACATAAACATTTGTTCTTCACTTTTTGGCGACTATCGACAATTTGAATATCGCTGAAAGATTTCCATAAAATTGCCATTAAATCCCTCGCACTATGATAGAAATAATAACTTTATGGTCTTTGAAGTGGTTAAATAAGTATCAAAGAGTCGACATTTGCGATTACAGAATAAAAATAAAAATTTGTTATATGCAACAGTAAATTGTTGAGATTCTTTCGTTTTCCGCCGCTTTTGTCAACAAAATATCGCGACATTACTAATGACGAAAACCCCATCAAAAACATGAGAAACAAATAATTACATATTTACTATTCATAGAGATAAGGAAAATGGAATAGTAATGATGCATGAACTTGTCATTCTTATAGACATTCTTTTCTATCCAACTATTTCTTTCGGGACTACAACTTCTTATCTTTAAAATGCTTTTTTCTGTTCCATTTGAAGACGTTTTAAAATTCTGTTGTAGACATGGAACGACAAACGTTCTTCAATCATTCGATTTTTAGGCTTGTCGATAATTTTTTGTAGTCTGATCGGTTTTTCTTGATTTCAATTAGCACTGATTTATGATCGTAGTAAAGTTGTCCACTAATTTTTCAATGTGATGCTTTGTATATCATTTGGCAAGCTAAATAATTGCTGCATGAGACTTGAAAAAGCTTGTTGTACTCACCAGTTGATAGATTGTTGATTTAAGTTCCGCTATTGATTCCAGCAGAAGATTTTTTTAATTGCACAAACTTCTTTTTGTTGATTATATTTTGTCAAAAATTGCGAAATAGAGATTTATGTGAGCACTTGCAAAAATATGTTTTATCCTAAGTTTTTCGTTTTCTTCAATTGTTTTTATTCACTTGATTTAAATTTCTTTTGTATTTATTATTCTTCCGTTCATTAATTAAACGCACTGTTATGAAATATTTACTGCACTCGTTAAATTCAGAGTGTCTTCACTTCCGAAAAATTGAACGTAAATAAAAACAAAGAAACAAAAAGTTTTCTCCTCAATAATCCTTTTCGCACATGTCTTAATCAGGCTAAAGGTGAGGACGAAAGAGATCGGAGCACCGTTGCAATAAAACGTAAAGCACAAGAAAATTATTACACACTACACTCAGAGACTTATCGAGATGAATCAAATGGAACGACTAAGTCGAAAAACAAACTACACTTAACAATATTCCATAAAAGAATGACCTCATGAATCCGAAAAAAAATATGAGTCGCTGCTTCAAAACGAAACAGAAGTGAAGATCGAAGCAGTAATGTATTGAAAAGGGAGAGCACGAGGATTTTTGCGTTTTTCATTGGTGATGTGAAGATATGTTTTTCTCTTTCACTCCAACTTGTAGCTAGGCAGTCGTGTGTCAAATTCGAGAAAGATGTGTTTGTGAAAAGTAAAAAGCATTCGAAGGGGATTTTTTATGATGTTTTACTTCTCAAATTTTTCGCCTCTTGTTGCTTATTTTTCTGGTTTTAAAAATACATTTATACCCCTGCTGATATTCGCAGAGTAATGCCTACTAACACATTCAAAGCATTTATAAAAATTTTCTTTAAAGCTACGTTTTGAGGATGAAAAAACAATGCTACGTTTGGAAATACTGTTGCTGTACACAAGAGAATTATGTAGACACGAAAGTTTTTCCAATGAATTAATGTAATTAAGAATTGAAATTAAAAGCTTCGGTCGCGTCCATATTATGAAAACCATTTTCAATTAATTACATTTCTGAGGATCAAGGATTTCTCTTTATTTCGTTCTCCAATTGTTGCTGTTAATGATGAATTAAAGTTGTTTACAATATTATTGATTTGAAACAATATTTTTAATTAATACTCTCACACTTTGTATTTTAAAGTAAATAAAATGTTTCTGTTCTAAACATTGGATTATTCCACAATATCCAATTATTGATTTTCATACTTTTGTGAAATAAAGAATTCTTTTTGAAGTAGTCTCAATTTAGGTCATCTAAAATTAATACCTAATAAGAAATAAATAAATGAATGAAATGCAAGTTTACTCTAAATTAACAATAGTTTCACAAAATTATGTCTAATGATGATTGAAATATTGTTTGGTTTCATGAATGCATTACAAGTCCAATAAATGAAATTATTTTTAAGGGTTTGACGACCACAAGGTCCATGCATAAAACTCTTTTAACTTTAATAAGTTCTTGTAAACGATGCAGGGAGCAGAAAAAAAATGATATACGGAGATGTAGGAATTTTTTTTCAAGTTGAAACTCAATGAATCTATAGTGCTTATTTAGTCCCTGATTAACTTCTAAAACTGGTCAGTTTACAACTTTAGCAAAAAGGTTCTTATTGAATATTCTTTTCTTTCTAAACAATCCGAACCGAGCGCATTACAGTAAGTTTACAGAATTAGCATGAAAGTTTGTTGGATACAAACAAGATATTTTTCACCAATATTTTGATCCTTAATCTGCCATGCTCAAAGATGAATGTTAGAGCTACCGTTTTGTGGATTTTTTTTCTTGCACTTTTTAAAATTACCTGACAGCGATAGCCTTGCAAAATACTTTCTCTTTCTCTCTCGAACAGATTTAGGGTGTTAGAAGTTTGAGGCAATTAAAGAAATATTTCTGAAAGAATTGTACAGTTGTCAAGGTTCCAATGAATTTTACTTTATTTTTGCAATGGATTAAACAATGATGGAACTCAATTTAAAACTAATTCCAGAAGCTATGAAATGTTGACCTTTGTTCAAAAATATCTGAAAAATTCAATGAGAAAAAGAAATATATATATCTAGAAGGTATAAGTTGAATTTGAGCGAACATTATCTACTAGCAATATCACAAGCTGTCAATACATTCTTAAGATTTGTTAGGAACATTTCGTAAGTTTTTGTCTTGCGCAATTCTCAAAGTATATCTTCCCACACCGTTCTTTTATTTTGATTTCTTTTATGTAGTCATGCCATGCTCCAAATAATTTCGTTTTACCCAAGCCTAGATTATGACCTTTCATGTCGAAGCATTTAATTGAAAGCAATTCTTCATTAAATCATGTGAATGGAAAGAAAAAGAACCCGAGAAAGGCAGAAGAAAAAAAAATTGATACAATTTCAATCAAATTTCAAGGATCATTTCTAACAATTGTTAATATTTCTTTTCCATTTCAAATCGGAAGAAAAAGGATGCAAAAAAAAGTAAAAAATGTTCCTTTGTCTGACCATTCGGATACTATTAAAAGATACGTGCTTTGTCCAAACATCAAGTCGCTTTCGATAATTTATTTGACAATCGTGCAGTCTTTTCATTTGTTACTTCACTTAAGAAGGATATTGATACATTTAGAAAAATAAAATCCTTCCTGTTTCCATCAAAAAGTTTAATGTAAATTTAATTTTATGTTCTATAAAAATTTCTTTTAAAAAATCAAATTATGAATTGTTTTTGAACGTTAGTTCTGATAAGATAATTTTTACAAAGTTCACGGAAAAGTAAATCAAACATTAAATAGCTATATACATACCTGAAATGTTTAGTCTAAAATAACATCAAAAAGTTAATTTATTTCAACCAGAGCTATAAAATTTCATTCACTCTTTGGTGAAATTATCTATATTATTGTTTTATTGGATTCTTTTAACATGGTTGGAGTCAATTGGTAAACCGTTACAAACCATTAAGAAACTTTACCATTTTTATTTGTAATCACATCATTCGTGTTTTCTTAACCCTTTCGAAGGTAGAAAATAATGATGTTAATAAATATTAAAAACGCCCACCGCACTAAGATTTGTTTTCAAAGGACAACTTAAAACATTGGAAACAGTAACCCTTGAAGATCTTGGATGAATTTAATAGCCCATTTTGGCGACATCTTTCGCCTTGAAATTTATTAACTTTCTTTGAATATTTCTTAAAACTTCTGACTGGGACATCAAACGTATTAAAATTTCCTGTTGTGATAATCCCACCACAATCTCAGGATAAGAATGCCTTTTACTTTTCTGCATTTTTACTTCTTATCACCAATTTTGTTTTCCTTTTAATTTCGGTTTAGAACAATGATTCCACCCACTAACTTGAAGATCCTGCTGTCTTCCGACGATTCATATATTTAGATCTTTTTAAAATTCATTTGCATTTTAAAATTCAATTTAGGTTTGAAAGTATCCATTAACATTCACTTTAATGATATTTTTGTAGATTCATTGGAAACTGGTATTTATATATCACTAAAAGTTGAGGGAAGGAGTTAAGAAGGAACGACTATTTGTTCTTGGAAAATCAATTCTGTTTCATTCAATATTTAATTGTTTGTGTAGTAATTTCTCTATCATTAAAAAAGCTTTAAAATGTAGAGAAATCTTTCAAACAGTGTCAAACACTGCAGTGTCTAGAAATGACACAATCATCATTTTGTCAAATAAAAAAATTCAATCCTAATTCAACAATTAATCACATCAATGCAATTGAGTTGACAAAAAATAGGCTCTCGTCTTTGTAACACCCCGCAAATAGGATCAAAGAATCAGACACGATTGAATCAACTGAAGTCGAAAACATAATTTTCCTGATTTTACTTGCTCAAATACGCATAATCTTTTAAATGCATAATAACATGTATAAGACGCCCAATAATAAAATATATTTAAGTATCATAACCTAGCACAATTTTCCTTCTTTTTCTTTAACACAGTTTTATTCTTCGTCACAAGAGGAACACAACATTATCAAATTACCATAATGCGAAGATTAAACAACACAGAAAAAAGCTCAAATATATACATCGTAAAACTTACATTTTTTTATCTTATTTCTTCTGATCTTTTCCTCTCGTTCCTAAAATATGTGTGTGTGAGTGTGTCATCATAAATCTTTGGCACACTTTGAGAGGGCATAAAGACACCTCAGTAATCATGTGCTTAAGTAAATTGGACGAAAATCCAAAGAGATTATTCACTTGAAGGCTTCGTGGAAAAATATTTATTCCATGGTTGAATATTTGCTCACACTTCTTTACAAATTGAACTACAAGATCAGCTTGAAAACGATTTTTTGATGGTAAAATTCCAAATTTCATGGCATGAAGAGTAAAATTTTAAGTTCAAGTTTAATGAAAATTTCACTATTAAAATGTCAAAAGAAAAAGCAGAAAAATGAATTCCAGTAGCAGAAAAAATGTAAAGCCAATATATGAAAATATTTCTTGCAACACTCGACAAAGGTCACATGAAAATGAAATCTATCCGATTAAAAGGACTTATCATGATGATTATATAGCCGTAGTTATTCCTTATAATTCTTCTCCGCTTTCACCCCATTCTCAGCTTGCATTCGAAGCTGGTAAAGAAGAAGTAAAAAACGATTTTAAGTGTTCTTGAAGAAAAGGATTTAAATCTTTAGTTGTTAACGAATGAACATGCGGACTTGCAAACAACCACTACCAGCCGTTTCATGTCCTTGAATCTTAAGGGATTAAAATCTCTTGTAGTTCAACTGTTCACATATCTAATCAATATTGAGGTTGTTATGAATAATGTTAGGAGCAAGCGATATGTTTAATAATAAAATCTTATTTTTTTTGTTGCCATAATGGAAAAAGGATTAAGAACTATAAAACGGTTCTGATTAATTTACCTTGAGTGTTCTCTTTAGGCGATTATAGACTATAAGCTCTCATAGTCTCCTAATAAAACATTAATGTTTGTTTTTCTAACAATTTTTGTGTTCGCGTAATACAAATATAAATAAATAAGTGAATTAAAGTTAAAAGTGTCATGTCTCTTAAATTAAAGGGAGAGCAAGGATTTTCAAATTCTTTAGATAAATGTTTAATGATTTTAAGTGACAAATTCAAAGCGCAGAGAACATGAGAATTCATATTTATTGATGGGAAGTTACAAAATTAGTGTCATAATCTTTGACGTTTTGTTCAAGTTAAAAGTAATTTCATTTCTCCAATTTCATAATCAAAAATGAAAATCTTTAGTTTCAACAACAAGAGATTAATGTCGAGCGATTTGCTCGAAAAAGTTTTATTCGGATATGGCCGATTTTTTCATGTTCCACTCTGCTAATCATCAAAATGAAGCAATTGTTTCCAATACAGTGATTACTCGAAAGATTATTAATTAATCAGGCGAATCTAAGATGTTTAAATATGCATGATTTCAATGTTTTGTTTCTGTTGTTTACGTGCTTTTAAAAATGTGGTTTCTTTAATCATCAGTTGCAGTCATTTTTCAAGATTTTCCTCTCCGCAGTTAACCAAACATGATTGGAGACGAAGTTTGAAAATCTTTACGAGCCCAAAACGAAAAAAAAGAGAAAAGATCAAACGAAAGAACAACAAATTGTTAAATATTTTGATTTGTAGCAGAAGCTTATAAATTGATTTATGATTCGTGAGAAATGTGGAGCTTTGGTTGCTTTTAATTACCTTAATTAGTGTCAAAAAATATCGAGCCGATCATTAATAATGTTTTTGTTTATCGTAAAGTTTGATCTTGAAAAGTTCCGCAATATATGGCAATGAGTTTAGAATATATATTTAAAATGTAAACCTAAGACTAATACGATTCAAATTTATCCTAACATATATGTATGTACAAATATATGAAAATATTAAAAATCAATCTTCTGTCTCGCCCTACATCACGTCACACACGTTTTGATTCAAATTTCACAATTCGTTTTCAACTAAATCAACTCCAATGCAATTTAGTTGGAGACATTTTAATGTTGAAAGAATCGTGGCCCTCAAAAAATTCCAAGAACTTTGACAGGTTTCTTGATAAAGATGTCAAAATTTTCATTCTCGCCGTTTCTTGTTCGTTGTCGTTGCTGTTCGTTTGTGCTGCTTTGCTTTTTGACAAAGACAAACCTTTTACCTATTGATTGATAGAGAAATAGAATTTTCGACTAATTTGTCAAGTTTTTGTCTTGTTATCTCCGATCGGCGTTCGAAGTTTAATGTTAATGGCTTTTCTTTTCAATAAAATTAATTTAAGCCTCATATGAGTCACATTTAGAATTTTTAACACTTTAACAGCTTTTAATTATACTTTGATAGTGGTATGTCTCGAAACAATGAATCCTTAGAATGACTGCGCAGTGAGATTTTATTATTTCGTCATTCATTCATTCATATTTGTTTACGAACATTTCAAAATTTATAAAACTTTATTTTTTATTCCATCTCACATGCTGTCAATCTGTCACAAATGTCTAATAGAAGAATAACATTTACAAACAAATAATTTTATAAAAGAAATATTTTCTTAAACTAAGAATTGTCATATATGAAAACAAACTTATGCTTTGAAGGCAGCATGGCACAATGATGGTCTAAGGTAAAAAGAAAAAATAAAAGCGATACAACCAATTGTCGTTCGTTTTCTTTAAGTCCTAATATGACACATAATTATGGTAGGTACATGTTTTCATAAAGTTGTCTACAATTTATTCAAGTAATTTCAGAATCTTTTTCCATCATATTACAAATAATGTTCATTGATGAATTTCTCGAATAGTTGCAAATCAAACACAACTAAAAGTTGTTAAGTGGTATTGTTGAAGAATCGATAATATCACATGAATTTTGAAAACACAATCACTCCTTTAAAATCGTTAGTAATGATTAAAATAGTATTAAAAACTCTGAACGACTTTGTATTGCTTGACCTGAAAAGTGTTGCACTTTATTATAATCTGAACGTCACACTTTCAAGTGATTATCCATGATTAGTGAGTGTCAAAATACGTGATTTTAGATTGAGAAAAAAGAGTCACAATGTCAAAGGAGAGAAAATAATACAATAAATAAAATATTAAAAGTTTATTTATGTACGATGAAAAGTTTGCTGTTTTCGCATAAGCCTAGGCAATACCAAAAAATTACGTTTATTGTCTCGATACTTCCTTTTATATATTTCCATCTTTTTCAATGTCTAACGACTTTATAATAAATTATTAAATAGCTAACTTTACTCTCGCTTACAAAAGGTATTAAAATAATAAAAAAAGCTTATAAAAATCATCAGCCGTTTATAGTTTTTTGTTGTTCAATGTGATGCCATCTGTAAAATTTTCCTGACTCCCTTTTTTATTTTAAATACGTGAATAGATGCTACATTCAACCAATAAGCTGAGCGAATATTTTTTATTTATTTCATTTAGTTTATTCGAAATATAGTATGAAAGGGAATTATATATGTATCACTTGCTTTCAATTTCATTATAGAATTTTATAGTTTGATTGTGAACATAAGAATTGATTTGACTAATAATTTTTTAAATATCATTGAAACTTTCGAGATTGGATTTCTGGAGGGACGTAAAATTTTATATATTCTTATGGTTGGTTTAGCTACCTTTAGCTGAAAATCATCTTGAAAATGCACGCAAAAAAAATGTTTTAATATAATTTTGCACATAACTAGATTCGAAGCGATGAAGCGAAAACGTTGAGTGTTTTCACTTAACGTCGACACTATGTGTGCAAAAGTTTTCAAATGTGAAGCCTGTCTTAAATTTCATCTTTTGGTATTTACATTCAATGTACAAACAATGCCTCAAGGATCATCAAAGATAATTTGATGAAAAGAAAACTCTAACAAACAGATGATGATAGTTTTTTGATGAGGATAGTAGAGAAATAATCTGCTGAAAACTTTTTTCTTACCTTTGAAGAGTACCGGCAATAAGAAATGTAAACACACCAGAAAATAAAACGTTTCCAAATTAATTGAGCAGTACTTTGAAAAAAAAACCTAAAAATAAATTATTTTAAATTCAATTTCATCACAGCTGATGGGCAAAGTATATTCAATTAAATGAAAACAGTTTTTCGACTGAATGAATTTTGTTTCAACAAACCTCACTGTCACAGCAGCAAAAGCAGGTGAAATGAACTTTAATAAATAAATTTGACGGCATCAAAAAATGAAATTATTTTGATTTAAATCCACGATGTAAACTGTAACAAAAACGTTAGTTTCCTTTTCGGTCTTTATATAGAAGCCAACCAATTCAAAGGCATCCTCTTTCCGATCGCCGATAAAATAAATGACACATTCTCTCTCATTCATTGATCAGTTATGAGTTGAATACCTAGCGATGCGGTATGTTAAAGGTTTTCTTTGAATAAATATCAAAAAATAAAGAAATCCCTTTGTATTTGTTTGAATATTTCAAATTTACCTTAAAAAAGGAAAAGAATTCGTTTTGAAGCAAATGAATGTCCTTTTGTTGTTCTGCAACCATTAAATTAATGTAATAAAAAAGCAACATTCAGTTAAGGATACAATGAAAAATGTTTTCAGGAAATTCTTGTCTAATTAAGAAGGATAAATTGATTGGATTGGTTGCAGGTTGTCGTAATGAAATTCTTTTTTTTTTAATTAAATTATTCTTTCCTTATATTCAGTCATTTCATTTATTTGAAATTTAATTTTTAATTATCTACGTAATATTTCTCTTAAGCTTCACTTCCATAGAATGAGAATTTCATTTAAAAAACACTGCGAAAATGTTGACATGTGCACAAAGATAACTTGAGATCACCTACTGTGGTTTTGTTTTGGTTGCATCACCTTCATATCATCTGTGCTGTTGTCTGTTCAGTTGAAACTACATCTCAATTATTTATGCTGTTTTGAGTCCATTAGATGCTTAGAGATTCTTATAAATATCAATCAGATATTCTGATATGAAACCTCTTTCACTGAACAATGTAGGGTTTGTGTTGCTGCATTGATATGAAATATGAACCCGGTGGAGGGTCGGTAAGTTCTCTTCAAATTATTCGCATGAGTAAAGTCACGTCTGTAACATTCGGAAGCAAATCACCTTGTGATACAAAAGTTATTCATTTTCCTGCGGTTTTGAATGACTGAAAATGTTCATTTTTTGAAGTGTAGGCTTGATGTAAACATTTGGTTAAATCGCCATCCCTTGAGTATTTGATTTTGCATTTGCATGAATGATTTTAAGCTTCATGAATAAGGAAAAGTTGTTATTAATTTTTGATTAGTTTTGACGGATGTTATATGAAAGTGTACAATTTTAATTTTATTTTTAGATAAATTGTTGCATCTCGTGTAGTGAAACGTCATAACTGCTGTTACATTTGTGAAATGTTCCACATAGGAAGAAGGGTTTGCTATGTTTATTTTTATGATAATCTTCAAGGATTTTCATGCTCTGTAGCTACTAATCACATGCCAAAGTGTTGAAGGTATCTGGACGGCTTCAAGACTGGGAAGAGTTGTTGAAAAGTCTCAGTTGAAATATTTCATGTAAGTTGCAACCTGTCATACGTAATGATTTGCAGAATCGTAAAATAACTTTATGACATGTTAAAAGAAATAAAATGATACTTTACGTCGACCCACCATAGATAATCTCATTTAAATAATTTAATTAAATTCATAAATTATAAACCTACATATGCATATGAAAAAAGTTCATCTTGAGAGCTTCCTCAGATTCCCTTGTGATGACGGTGAAGAAGTTAGTGCATATTCAGCTTTCAGTGGTGCCATGCGGCGCTCATTAAAATTCAAATTTAATACAACAACATTGATATCTAGACAACTTTTACCATCAGAGTTATGAAGGAACATTTACTTTTTCTCGAAAACTAACCGAAGCAAAATCTCCAGCAGCGAAATCTAATAAAAATAAAATAAAATTTGGTAGGTAATTTTAAATTCAACACTTCACAATTCTGAAAAAAGCAAATGAAATGATATAAAAGAAAGACGGGCCCATATCATTCTGTGCAAAAAAAAAGGTTCTTTCGCTGTGATGAGGGAAAGAAAGAAAAAAACAAAAAGAAAGAATTTTGATATATTCATATTACAGGACAAATTCTTAAATTACGTGACACATAATTAAAGCTTTATTTTAGTACGGTTTTATTTGTTACACAAAAGAAATTTTTAATAAAAAATTCAAAAGTGAAAAATATTTTCTTACAATTTATAAAATCAGATGATGTGACAAAAGCTAAAATTTTCATTTCCAATGTCGTTTCGCTTGCGCATATGCCACAAAAGAAAGAGTGGCCGACCGGCTCAAAGCCCATTTTAACCTGCAAACAAAGGCAAATCACTGGACCTGGGTGCGAAGACAACGACAACGCTCAGAGATTCTTTATAATCGTTTTGTGGAACAAACAGAAGCGGGTTCTTAGCATTCCGACGACATATAATTTATGATCTTTAATGGGACCATAATTTAAGAAAAGAAAAAAGTTGATTTCATTACAGAGAGCGAGAAAAAGAGTCAGAAAAATATTTACTTTCGGGTTGTCTGAGATCAGATATGGTTTTATTCATGTAGATTTTTATCTGCTCCATCAGACACCACTGTGATAACTAAAAATGATATTAATAATTTTTTTAACTAATTTTATTCAAATTGGAAACAACATAAAAATGTTTCAATATTCGGTAGCTGATTTTGTTTTGTGGATTTTTCATTTTGGTGACTTCTTCGTTTTTGAGAAACGAGAATAAATAAAAAATGATATCAAGAACCTGTGTACGAGAAATATACAGCGTTAGAATGTGTAAAAGAAAGAGATCAACTCCTATGTTGTTATTTCTGCTGTTATTGTCCACAAAAAGCAAGTTCAAAAGACCCGCAATCAAGCTCTTTTATCATTTGTAATATGATCGTAAAATAAAATTATAATAAATGAGGCATAACAAAAGTAAGACAGAACAGTTGCGATTTAGGCTTTCGGCAGAAAAGCTTTGAAAGTTCTTTAATTATAGCTTGCTTCTTCTCTTTTCATTATAAATATAATCATAAGATTGACATTTGATGACTGAGCCTTTAAATTACTACACAATCATGTCCTTCTTTTTCTTTATTTTGCAAAGCTGAAACCTTTGAAAAAAAAATTGTTTAGCACACTTCAGGATTCATATTAATTCATCTAATTCCATTGCATTATGAAATGAATGCACTACTTCACGCCTAAGGTTTCGTTAACTATTAGATACTCGAATGTTTAGATTTTTTCTGAAACAAATTATCAATGAAAATTTTCAAATTTTACTTCAAACTTCTCTATTTAAATTTATGCTTCATTTCTCTTAGATCTCTTAAATTAAAATCGTAAAAGAATTAAAAATTTTCCCATGAACAGCAAGCAAGAAGCAGTCGATCGAATTTAATTAATTAAACCTTCCTTAATAAAATCACGAATATTTACAGTTAATTATTCCCCATTCGTGTCTTCACAAGTACAACAAAGAAGCATAATCAATCAATGGCATATGTTTGACTATTCACTAGAATGCCGCAAAAGAGAAAACAGACTACTCAAGCACAATTCCAGTGAGAAAACCAACAAACAAGAAGCTTTCATTGTTGTGCTTGAAGATGCTCTCAAACAGTAGTTGAAAAAAGTTATTTAAGCTTCTATTGAGCGAATCGGTAATTAAGTAATTTACAGCTCAAATTAAGTTTCGGATTGAGAAGTTTTTTTTTTCTTTCTTTTCTCATATTTTCAGTTTTATTTGTTCATTTGAAGAATTCTATAGAGAAGAAATGATGAATTTTCTTTGATATTCAACAGAAGGAAATTTCGCTTTCTAAATGAATCATTACTTAATTTTTGAAGTTTTCTCAAGGCAAAGCCGCGCAAATTGACTTTTAATCTGTCATATTCGTGATATGTACTCGTGAATAATCCATCACGACAACTTTTGCTCTACAACTTGCAATATAGTCTTCTAACAAATTCAATAAATTATTATGACATATTTATTAGCTCTGGTTTTTGTTCATGATCTATTTAGAGTGATTTGAATTAGGCATTTGGATATTTCTTTTGTTTGAAATTAAGTTCATTGGTGGCGTCCTAATAAATATCATTACAAATATAGTTTCCAATGAATTGGCCTCCGTTTTTTATTATGAAGTCGAATTCCTAAAAACTTCGATCCGGAAATACCTAATTTTACGAGTTTTTTTTGCGTGATCAACTGGAATTATTGCCATACGATTTGAATTCTCACTCCTTGTGGTCTGATCTTGATGCATCTCATAAGTAACACAATATAATTTTACAGGAATGCCATAAAATTATAATTTGTTATCATCATTATTAGCCATTTTGTTTAATCGCATCCCACTTGGCATGTTGACTTAATCCACATTCAAATTAATTCATTAAGCTTTGTTCCTTTCGATAGACACGCGGCAACAATGACGAAAGTTGATAACCGCATAGCCTCTAATGATTAAAAAGAATTATGGATTAATTATCAAGCGAACGTGTTGGTATGTTTGTTTATTTGATTTAAAAAGAATGCCCTTTAAAGCGCTTCTTAACGATTCGGTTCATCTTCAACGGCCACCTTTAGTTGATAACTCATGGATTCTAAAGAATTAGAAATGAAGAAGACAAAAAATCCGTTTAATGAATTTTTTTGGCTTTGGCTACTGTTTGACGCCGAAAAGAAGAAAATGAAGCTTCTTTGTACCACAAAAGGATGAAGCAGCTTGGAATTTAGAGGCATATTAAATTGAAAAAGAACTCTTACGAACTCACATATACAGATACTCAGAACATATCGCAAGTCAATGCGCAAGAGAATCGAACGAGAAGAAAGAAGAAAATTATAATATATGAGATAATGCTACAATAACAATGATACTAAATGTGTTATAAATTATCTCGTATTCAACTTATTCTTGGTGGAGAGAAGCGATGGGTGTTTTAATTTATAGCTGTTTATGGGGCAGCGCTAACCAAATGGATGGACAGAAAAAAATTATTACATTTTTGTGTGCAATAAAATGTTGGAGATTTTTTTTTTGTTTTATTATTTTTTTATGTCTTCTGATGAAAAAAATATGTAGAATGTAAAAGTAGATAATCAAGAATAGAAAGAGAAGCGATTTTTTTTCAGGGGCTTCAAATGTAGAAGAGAGCATGTATGAAGGAAGTTTTTAGCTAAAATTGAATGATTATTTTAAACGAAGATTAAGAGTAATGGTGAGATTGTATGAATGCTTCAGGTGTTCTTTGAAGAGTTAGTCTTTCTATTCTGAAATGAAGCACTCTTACATAAATACTCTCAATTTGGAGGTTTTCGAAAAAAATCAAATAAAATTTATTAAACTGTTAAAAAATGCGAAAATAATTATAATTTCTCCAAGAGCTACCGAAACGTCATTGTAATGTATTTCAAAGCCTCGACCGATCATCAACATTTTAGAAAGCTACCGACAGCTTCTGTAAATCGAATTTCTGTGTTAATTACGAAATGAGTTAAATCAAGCATAAAAACCCGAAAGATCTGGTAATTCTGAAAATGCTTAATGTTTGATTGGAATTAAATCGTAATACTGAATTTTTGAAGTTACTTCATCTGTAATTAAAATATTAATTCCTTTGGGCTTCGTTTGCCGATGTTTAAGTTTCCTTTGCATAAATAAATATTTGATGGGAGCATATGTGTTGGATATGAGAGAGAAATGGGAATGAATGATAAAATATTAAAAAGTAATTTCCTTTCAATCATTATACGGTCGGAAGACGAAAGCAAACATCTTGAGCTTCACTTTAAGAAAGTTTATGGGATTCATGGAGGGAACAAGAAAGAAAAGAAACCTTTTTTTATGATTCGCTTTTCTTTCGAAAGTTCATCGACAATGATTGTTAATGATTTTTTTACACGTTTCATTTGCTTCTTCGGTAGATCATTACCCGAAGCAAGAGCATGAAAAGATTTTAAGCCAATTTTAACGCTAAAGTGGATCATCAATCAAAATTGTTTTCTTTATGATTCTTTTTAGCCTTTCACATGAAAGAACCATTAAAGCGCTTTTAAATGGTGCTTGTAAAGTCAGGGATAACAAAATCGTGATTTCCTTTTTCATTCTCCGCTAATATTATCGCAACAAAGCATCAAGCTCTGCGTTTTTCGTTCATAAAGTTTTTCTCCTGAAAATCAGCACTTCATCGTCTTGTGCGCGTGAGCGACCATCACTCTGAAAATTTTATAGCTGAATTTTCGCTTTAATTACTATTAATTTCGACATTGTGGTTTCAATGGGAAATATTTTTCCTATATTGAAAAGCGTCAAAAAAGTAGCATTAATCGTATTGTAATTCTGGATGTTAAAGTAGTCATGAAATTAATGCTGTGCCGCAATGACTTTATTTATAAGCAACGCGCCCAACGTCTATTAGCAAAAGATTCTTTTTATTGCTCTCTTAAATTCTAGACGTGATCCATAATTTATTTTATAGCACGATTTTGTTGCGATAATGACGATGTCGTCGACGACTCTGGAGCCGCGCGCGCGGCGAAAAAGAAAAACTCTTGACTTTGAATTTCAAATTTTCAATGGCGCTATCATAAAATTATAATATTTTTCAAGTCATTTGCTTGCTTGGTGATCCTAATGGTAAAGCAAATGCTTTGAATTCTGATTTTGGAATAAGAAACTTAGTTTTAGGAGTGTTAAGCTTAACAAAATAATTATATTAGTAAAATAAATGTTTGATGTTTCTTGCTGGTAGTTTTGTTGAATACTTAGAATGTTTTTGGCTGGGTAGAGGCAAAAATTCGTTATCGTATGCTTCAAATTCTAATATTCGACTTTTGAATAATTTATTTTGATTACAAACCGAAAGCAACAAAGATCATCAGAATCATTCATGTGACGTAGAATTATTTATGCGTGTGATATAAATTTAACTTCTACTAGAAGGTTTTTTGCTTTTAACTGTTGTCAGCTCATATTTCGGGTATGAAAAATAAACATGGCAGATGGTTGTGTTTGATATTGGTCGTGTTGATTCCAATAGAAGGGTGGAGACGAACAGAGAGAAACGATCATGAAAATTTATGTTGACGAGAGTAAGATGGAGAATGAACGTTCTGAGAGTGAAACGAGTATAAATGTAGACGGTTGGAAGTTGATTCGTTACAAACGAAATTTTCATTTTAGTTTTTCAAAAAAATATTCACTCAATTAAAAATATTTCCATTAACTTTCTGGGAATTTAATAAAAATCTAATTCAAAATTTGACTAAAATGGAAATTTCAATTATTTACCTATTTTGTTCTCTTTTTTGTTTGATACGACAGTAGCTTTTGTGCATGTGAAAAAAATATGCTGCAAATGTTCTAAGAGTTTTACTCTTTTTCATTTCTTGAATAATTTCATTAAACATATTTACTGAAAAATTAAAAAACATAGATAATAAAAATCACACAGCTTTCTCATTTTAACAAATAAATCATCACAAAAATGAAGAAAGTTTATTCGATAAACATTTTTTTATTTTTTAAAATCCGAATGCTTAATCAGCGTAATACTTAACTGAAATAATAACTTTTATATTCTTAATGAAGATGGCGCTGTCTACACAGTGAAGAATATATTTCAAGCATCTATTCGTTAAAAAAAATATATCCAGGCAATTTATTTAATTTAAATTATTTTATCTGCTAATTTATTTAAAAATTCGTGCTTAAAGGCTATCTTCATTCCTTTTGAATGAAGCTCGATCGAATTTGTTTTCATTTTTAAATCAAGGTTTACAAAAAGCCTTTGTACTTCAAAACAATTCAAAACATAATACAAGATTATATTTTTAAAAGCTCATTGGGAAATTAAACAATCAGAGAAATGTTGAATTCAGATGAATTATTATAAAACTGAAGTAAAAAAAATCAACAATTAGTCGTTTAAGCATTTAGAACATTTCGAAATTTAAATATAAATTTAAAAAGATTGAATACTTATTAATGTATTAATTTTAATGTTCCTTTTAAGAAAGGTGTTATTTATTCAACTATTGCATTATTATGACAAATTATTGGGATTCCTGTTTTTAAGAATTTATTTCTTTTTTTTTTGTTTATAAGATGTTATCTCTTGTGAACAACCTATTAATATATTATTATTAAGAGGCATATAGGAAATTTATGTAATCACAGATGCCTACTGGAACGATTATTTTCTGAAGAAAAAGATTTCACTGTATCAAATTCGACATTGCATGAACAAGCTACTCGAAGGACAAAAAGTTTTGTTTTCAAAGCTCTACATAACTAAACAAATAAATAACATAAGTGAACAGAATAAATCACTCTATTGTTTTCAATAGGTGTAAGATATAATGACATTTTATTGTACGGTTAATGGTTCACAAAATCCCGACATCGTGCAATAAATAAGCCATTAAAGGTTGTAAATTAAAAATTTACATTCGAAACTTTTTCTTTTCTTTAATCCCCACCCAGAGTGTTTTTGGCCTTTCTTCTTCCCCCTAAAGACTTTATTCAGACTGAAACTTTTTTTTTTTCCTCGGAACTTTACCTTTGCCAGCCTTCTTTAAAGAAAGTTTTTAATTTTTCTCAAGAAACAGAATAGTTTAAACTTATTGAAACGCTTGCCTTATTGACATTTCCAAAGGGAAATTGGAAAACTTTTTTTAAAAGGTTGTTCTAAGTCATTTGAAAAAAGTGAAAAAGGACTCGGATTAAAATAAAAGAAATAACAATAGCAATTACCGGAGAAATTTATATTTCCTAAAATGGAGTGAAATTTTTGTAAGGATTAAATCTTTAAAAGGAAGTTGTTGCGAAGGAAATTAAATTGATTCTTTTGTGATAAAAATATTTTCTCCGTTTCTATCTTAGCTTACTTCGATTTCTTTTCTGGTCTGATCCTTTGAGAATTCGAATCCATCATATCTTTCCTTCTTTGATCGCTTGTTTCAATTTTAAGAAAATTTTATTGGTAAATTTTTTTTTCAAAACAAAGTTTTTATCATTTCATTCGCCTTTTCTCATTCTTAAGCGATGCGTGTTTTTAAAACTCGTGTTTAGAGCGCGCTTTTGGAGAAGCTTAAGCGACAATAAATGAAATAAAAGACAAACACACACAACGATAAAGTCTTATGGACTTTCAAATAGCAAAGAAATAAAAGAAAAGCAAAAGGAAGAAAACTTTCCCGTTTTATTCAATTTACATAAATTTCTTTTTTAATGTTGTCACAAACGTAGAAGAAAAAAGTTGTTGGAAAATAAATAAATGTATTACGTTGTATGGCTTAAAAACTTTTCGCTTTACTTTAGTATCCTTGCGACATGTTTTTGTGTTAGCTTTGAAATTGTTGAATATGGTTTTTGTTGAAGAAAATCAAGGAAATTAGTATGAAGAGGTAGCATTAGAAAACTACTTTGACACTTCAAGGAAGCAACAACGAAATAATAAATAATAAAGTTTAACACTCATTTGGCTCGTAACCCTCTAGATAGTACGTAGTTACGTAATGCAATCTACATGTGAGAATGTTTGGTTAATGTTTAAAACGATGTACTTGCAAGCATGAACTACAATAACAGTTTTGCTCAAAATACTCCATTTCGTCACATAAGTAAAAGCTTAATAGAATGTTAAATAAATCTAAGGCAAACGAATTAAGTTCTACAATTCAGTAAGAGAATGAATATCTTACAATTATAAATACTAAAAACTTGAACATTAAATAAACAAGAAATCAAGAGATTCTCAAGAGATGAAACGGGAAAAGCTATTTTAAACATGGAAATCGTAATTTCCTGAAATGAATATCTTATAAATATTCTAGGATTTACTTTGCTGATTCTACAAACAATTAGCGGTCAGATTAAATTGGAAAGGAATGACATTGAGATTGAAATTGAATGTTCTTCTTCTGCTTTACTAATAAACTAATATCTGAAGTCTCAAAGCGAATATTTTCACCGTAACTGCACTGAAAATGTGTTTAGGATGCTTCATGTCATTTCATTTTATAGCTTTTTACGCAACCTTTGTGATATTTGCAAAGTTGAGATCTCTTCATTATTCCAACAGACGACAGTGAGAGGATACCAGATAGCAGACTTTGACATCATACCCATACCCACACTCACTTCAACATCGTAAATCGTCAAATATTCATCATAAAAATATTTCTTTTTCTCAAATTCTTTGAAGAAGATGAAAAAGAAGACGAAAATTTCAATAACAAAAGAATAAAAAAAGACCTGTAGTTAAAGTATTTTGAATAGCTATAAACCAGAAAACTATTCATTTTATTCAGGCATTCTTCGGGCTAGCGTCAATGTCGTTAAAGTTTATTGTCGTCATCTTATTGAAGCTGAACAGAAAGGAAGGAAGAAAAGGGTTGTTCTTACTTTTCAATTCACCAGCTATAAAATATGTTTATAGTTTTTCTTTCTTTTTCACTTCAGTGGGCATTTTCATCCTGTAGGGTAAGAAAATCATGAAAATTTTACAAATAAAAGGTAACATAATCATTTTTTAGTAGCTTTATTAACTTTACTTAAGTTAAGCCACCTTTTAACTCAACGATTCCTATTCTTGTGATAAAATTTATAAACGATCCCCTTATGTTCATTTATAGCTACCGCAGGAAGAAATTTGTGTAAAAATCGATGAAATTTTGTGGAACTTTTAGCTGTCGGCCATCACGCATATAATATGAATTAGAGTTGAAATCTGAAAGTTTAAAAAGTTTAATTTTTTGTAAAACCAAATTCCATGCTGAAATATTTATTTTAATTAAATTTTCTTGTGTTCTGTTTTTATTATTTATCGGTTAATTTTTTTTTTTTTTAGTTTCTGTGATCAAAGATCTGATAATTTCTTTTTATCGTCATTCAAAATCAGAGACCTGAGTGGGCTGTTTATTTTTCAGTTTTCCAAAAAAACTTTTTTGTCTAAGCGATGAAGAAGGGAAACTTTAATTTTTCATTCTGTTAGGGTCAAAATCATAAATTAAATAGTTCAAATTCTTTATGAAATTCCTTTTAAGCTTACTCTATTTACTTGAATCTTATTCCAACATCCTCTTCTCCTATGGAAAGGTTTAAATATCAGCAAATGAATATTATTATGAAATATAAGTAACAGAATATTTAATATGACTTAAATAAAAAAATTATGCTTTCTATTTATACGATGATGATGATGAAGTTGTGACCAACTTGAAAGAAAATTGACCTCAAATTTTGTTTAAACAAGCGAAACTCAATTTCTCTGATGCATGTATTAGCTAAATTTATAGAGATTTTAAAAAGCTTAAGCTTTGTTAAATATCTCATGCCCAGTCAAAAGTGGAGGGTTATTGCATATTTATGATCAGAAGCGATAGTGAAAATGTATTCAAAATTCCACTGTTTTAATTTTACGAAAGAAACTGTTGCGTGTTCATGGCACAACAATTCTTTCGTGAATGTCTAAAATGCTTCCTCGCCAACCACAAAACATAGCAGTGAACAGCCCCATTGTTGCTCATAATCGGAGCAAAAATCAGAAGAGATATTTTGCCCTCGTCTGCTTCGTCTACGTTCGGAATTTAATAACACGCTTGGATGAGCAAAAGTTTTTTTTATGTTTTCTTCTTCACTTTAGAAATTTATTATTTATGTAGATATTCATGTTGTTTTACTTTTTTTCTCTTCGAAGCAAGAATGTTCGCAGTATACATTTGAGTTGATGAGGAAGAAATTTCAGGTTCGCTCATCAGCAAATCGATAAATTCATGAAGCTTATGAAGTTAATATTCTGTTGCTTCGCATCGCATTCAATGGCACTTTATGAAAGTTTCAAATTGGAAAATATTCGGTACAGTGACAAGTCAGTTATGAAAAAAAAAATTAACAAAGGGAACTTCACAAAACTTAAATCTAGCGAAACTTTGCCTTTGAAGTTTTCCCGTTAATATGTCGTGGAAAAACAATGTTTTGTTGATAAAAAGTTAGAACTCTTTCGACGAGACTTCTGGAATTCTATTGACACAAACCCTGTGAAAAGAACCAACTCAAACATTTGTTTTGGATTTAATTTATTTCTTATGAACTGGAATACTTTGAAGAAAATCTAACAAAAGCAAGAAATCTTCTTCTTTTCATGCGAATGTTTTATGTGGCAAAAGATGCTGTACATCGTAGTGCTTTAGCCGGCTGCCTCTGAATGATGCTTCGAAAAGCACTAATGCTTTTGGAATTTACCTTGTGCTTTTTTCTCAATGGTGCTTTTGCCGTCCAATTTTTTCTTAATGAACAACCGCTTGACGTTTCAGAAGAAGCTTAAGAATATTTTTTTGAGAACAAAGCACAAAACTTTTATTCAATGGACGAAATAAAAATCTTTAGAGTGAGACACTCAAGACTGTCCGTTAATGAGTTAATATATTCTGTTCTTATAAGTAACACCTTTCAAAAATACTACAGCTTAAGCATCAACTGTAACGTGCTTTAAGTATCATTCTAATCTTTCATCTTAACATTAACATGCATAGCATATCATCTGTGCAAATCGAGCTCGATGTCGTCAAGAGATATTGAATTTATCACATTTCATAAATCAGTGATGAATGTTGATGTTGAAAAGAAGAAACGATAGATAGACGATTGATGTTGTTCTTACTGAATCTTTCACGTTCTTTTTCTTCAAAAGCAATCAAATTGAAATATCAAAGCACAAATCACATCGAACCAAAATTTGTGTGGATTTGAACACCACCAACTCAGGAGAAAAAGGATTCATGTTCTTTCATCACATTTGAGACTCCCAGCGGGTGAAAATCATCTGAGAAATTTCTTCATGTTTTTATTTACCAATGACACAGGATAAGTTTTAAGTCACGAAATATTTTTTCTGTGCTTATTGGATATAAATAATTTAGCGAAAATGTTGTAATCTTGTAAAATTTAAAATTCAACTATTTTTTGTCGAGCTTTCACTAAAGAGTAAAAAATCGAATCTTTTTAGATCAATTGATTATGCGTATTTCATTTTAAGCTCTTTTCAAATTTTGGAAAATCAAGAATGAGCACGAGAATGAGCACTCGTTTCATGAAGCCTTTGACTTGAAAACTTTAAAGAAAAATTTGTGGGTTGCTTTCAGTTTATGCTGTGGGTTTGCTTTTCTTGTTATTTTCTTCATGTTCTTCGCCATCATGGCTTTGGTAACAAATTAAACAGTTAACAAAATTTGAGTTGTGGTTATGTTTCCTGAGTTATACAATTAATTGAATTTGGTATTTATTTATTTATTTATTATAGCAAAGAATTTTCTTTCTATTTACATATTCGTAAATTTTTGAAGACTTTCTTCTCTCTTAATATGAATAGAATTCTATGAAGTTTTTCTTCTATGCTTTCAAGTGGGAGAAAGAAAGCTAAGAGGGTAAATAGCAATGAAAATAAACACAACTTAAAAACGTTCTGCAACATTGATGAAATTTCTCGTATAATTTGATGTTATAAAAATTTGTGCAAGCTTCATTTTGATCAAAGATAAGTGTCAATTGGAGTAAAATTTGAATTTTCTCATTTTACTTCAAAATTCTCATTTTCATAAACTGAGTGCAGAGTGTTGGAAAAATAATTCAATATTTTCATTAATCTTTCAACCAGAGAGGTTGTAAGTGAAGATTGAAGGGATTCGCGCAAGCTGCTTCTTGAAATGTTCCAGTCACTTTAAGTTGGCGAAGTTGGTTCGTTTTATGTATTTATAATTTATGCAAATATTGAAATGAAAGCAAAGCAGTCACTCTTTAATCTTTTCATAATTTAATTAAAAAGAGTTTTCTATAAACTTTTATAAGCTTCTTGCCTTTCTGATGACGAGAAGTCGAAAAAGATAATTAAATTGAAAATAAATTGGAATAACGATTAAAAGCTTTTGAATATGAAAATGTCGAGGATTTTAGGATTAAAAGAAATTAGTTTTTAGTGGTTTTCAATTTTAATATGAAATTTCAGAGCCATTGATGTAAATAAGATATTAAGCGAAACCTCAAACTGACTAGAATACTTCAATTCTCAGAAGCATGAAGAAATATTTAAAATTTAATCAGAGAATCGCCCAGGAGGGTAAATTTATTAATTTCAATATGATCTTTAAAAAGTTTACATTCAGTCTGTAAGGATTTAAAATAGTTTTGAACTTGAAAATACTTTCACTCATTTTGCGACTCCAATGGTGCCCTTAAAGCTGAAGAAGAAGCTTTTTAATGTTTTAGCTTACTCGAAGTTCTTAAAAAGAAAAAGAAATCTTTTTATGCATGCTTAGGATAATTTAAACAACTCGCTCATTAAATTGTCTAATCTTCTATTTGGAAACTTTTTCTAAAATATTTCTCTCTGTTGCACTATTGCCATTGAATCATAATCTCAGGAAATTTATTTAAATCGCAACAACTAAATTTCATTTCATTTCTTATCACCAAAAACTTGTTGCAACTTTACTTAGAAGATTTTCTCTGATTTTAATTGAAGAAAAGTAACCGATGCAGAATTGAAATGTGATAAACCAGGAAGAACCAAAGTTAGAGATGTTGGAATTTTATTCAATAAACCGATTCTTAAAGTAAAACTTGAAGAAAAGAATCGTTGGTGATGAAACTTTAGTGGAAAATTGAAAAACTATTTTCCGTTATTACCTCGTTTATGTGGAGATTTCCATGAGTCAATTTTACCATCATTATGAATGTAAAAAGATGTTCCCGTCTGAAAATCAAATCTATAGCGATCCATGCTAACTCCAAAAAGTTGATCAATCATATTTGGTATCACAGAAGCTGAAATTTATGTAGAAAATAATGTTTTAAACTGAGTAAAAATGATAGACATTTCAAACGGAGCTTGCTTCCAGGAGTGCAACCGATTAATACTTTTTTCTCCACAAACTTTAACAACAATTTAAAAGTTAAAATATTATTGACATTACAGCATACATTAATATAGTTAGTAACAAGCATACTCAGTTCAACATTTACTCATTTGACAACATTTTTACATAAAATATTAAAACAGTTTACTTAAATTAAACATATAAATGTACATAAATTGTTAAATTTTTCTTTTATACACTGCGACTCTTGGGAAATCTCCTGTATACGCAGTCTAAATAACTAAATAAATAAAAACGATTCTTTATTTTTTTACTTCTAATCTAATATTATTCACATAGTTGTCACTGTTAACATCATGTTCACTACCTTTCGTTAAACATTCCGTGAATAATGCTGTCACAGCAAGAAGTAATCCCGATATAATAAAACTTTTTATTTTCATTTTCATTTCAAACTTCACTTATTACAAACTGCCTATTTATTCAATTGAAATTTAATTATTGAGAATAATTTTCAAATTTTTAATCACGTGTCAAAGTTCAGGAAACTAGTTTTAATCACGTAGTAGGAAGCTGAAAATGTTTAGAGATTATTTCTTGTCGATGTTCACTTGAACGCGTGAGAACGTTAACTACATTAATTTTAGGTTCCACAGCTTTGAGCTAAATACGTAAAATGTTTTAGTTGTCTTCGATTTTTCTTTTGTTATTCCCTTTAATAGTTATAATATTTCGTATGTAACGTATAGCTTAACCACAGAACGACCGAATATTTAAACTAATTGTCAGTCTTTACCGCTCATAAATCGCGTCAACAAATTATTTGTAAACAATTCATGACTGAGAGAGTGTTGTCGAATAAATTTTCTTCGTTGTCATGTTCGTTTGGAATATTATTTGGCGTATAAAAGTTGTAGCGTGTGAATGACTTTGTCAATTTGTCCTAATGTAAATATATGTCTGTATTTTTTATTCATTATGATTTGGCGTTTTAAGGACTTATCATAGTTAAATTCATGAATAAATATTTATAATAAAAATTAAAAACGAAAATAACAAAAATTTCAAAATTATAAAGCACAAAATTTTACAAGGGAAGCTTTAAAGCTTTTCGAAAGCTCATTTGTTTAAGCATGTAGATCATGTGTGAATTTTAAAGCTTTTATCCTTTTCATGTAGTACTCTTCACAAATAGCAAACATTTATATTTTGCATCTCTCAAAAATTCGCAGCACCATTCATGGATTTAAAATAAATAAAAAAGACATCAAAGTTGATTCGTATTTTGAATGGAAATGGGAATATTCTTTTGTTCTTTTCATGGGAACTATGCATGCAGTTGTTGTTTTTTTTAATGCGACGATACGCTTGCAATAAACCGTCCATTAGCGTCAATGGTATCTCGATGTGTACGGAATTCATCTGTAAACCTTTTTTTCAAAATGTTACTTTCATTAGCAAAAACTAAATAAAAATTATAGGACAAACACTTAAATGGATTTCAAAGGCAAGCATGATTTCCCTTGGGGAATGAAAGTTTTTGTTTGCAGAAAAATCCCAGAAGATGAGTAATGTTTAAAAGGAAACTAAATAAGATGTAATTAAAATTTCTAGTAAAGTATGCTGCTGCGAACGAGACAATCAGAATAAAAGTTTAAGTGTTGTTTTAAAAAGATTTGACGATAAAAATGTTTAATAAATAAATAATTCTAAAGAATAATTTACAAAACATAGAGGCAATAGACGTAAACTATGTGTGCAACATTTATTCTGATTCTATTTATGTCTGTTGGAGTCAAAATATTCAACAGTTAATTCTCATATCATAATTGTCAACATGAGCCAAATATGGTCCAGTCTCATTGGAAATTCATCTTGTTTTCCCTTTATTCAGATTTCAGATTATGCAAAAACCAACCGACACCATTAGAAAACATGATGATGGCCAAAGAAAATCTTTCGTTGAATAATTTATTATCGTGAGAATCCGTTGATGACACGAGTGGCTGACATGGCTGGATGAAAAATGAAACACACGTTTTTTGGAGTTATTTCCAGATTACTTTCAGCAGCTCGGCCCCATAAATATTTGGATACTTTTATAATATCACTAAGTGCGACGGAAAATTAACATATTTAATGTCAGTTATGCTGGTGATGAGATTTCCTTAGGGCTCCTGCTCATTTATTTTTTAAAATTACTTGATGTGAATTTTTTTAAAGGTTTTACTCAAATATTAGTACAGAGCATGCTGTTGAAATTTCAAATGCATTTATATTTCTTTTCATGAAATTCTTTTGAGGTTGTCAACAAGCATGCCAACTTATTTAAAAGCATGCTTATAAGAATCATGTTTGTTGATGCCGCGGAGAATTTTATTTGTTTTTAATTTTATGATTTGTCTGTCCTTTAATATAACAATGTTTCGTTGATTACTCGTCACCACTTCTTTCAACAAGCTTTTGATATCGTTGAATAATAGGCAAAAAATGGAAAAGATTAAACAATGATGAATGCAGTATGCATGAGAAGCAGTAAACTTAAAGTGGTTTTGAAATTCACTTGAAACTGAGTGGTGTCTACTGTCTAGAATAAACTTCCATGCATAAATTTATGATTTGTTCATTCATTAGAAGGAGAGATGCAGAAGAGCTCTAAATTTTATGTATTGAATCAGTTATAAGTTCTGTTTGTTCAGCAGAAATGAGATTTGACTGTCTGAGAGGAAAATCATGTCATTGACTTTTGATGAGTGTGATAAATCAGAGCATAAAACTCATTTATGCATAAATTGTGAACAAAGAAAATTAAGCAAATGTAATCTACGTACAACTAAACGTATCCGACGACTTGTTACACATTTATAAAGCATTGTATGTAATTATGTTGGAAGCAAAAACAGAATCCCTAAAGTTTTAAAAGGAAACGATGTTTGACATTGAGTTTTTAGGTTTAAATTAATTGTTTTTGAAACTACATATAGAAAATAATAAAAAAGTAGTGGAACAAAACTTCCATTAACACAAGAGATTATATGTAATATTAAAAAATTCTACCTCAACTACATTTATCATCATTCTTTTAATCCTTTTATAATTCTCGTAAACAAAAACAATCATAAATATCCATCATTTATCAAAAAAAATTTATCAACTCATTAAAATCAAAATGCGTATGATTCCATCAATTATTTAACATTAAATTTGTACTTAAAGTAAAATGTTTGCATTGTTTCTTGTATTTATTTTGTGCATGCATAGATATGATTTTCACATGAGATACAAAAGCCAATAAAAAATTACAGTAATTAAATTCTGAAAAAATAATTGATAATAATCAAGTTGATCCATTCATTTAAACATTAATTAAATTACTCATTTCATATGGAAAATTCATTAATCACGAAATTGAAATCCTTTAAATCCAGTTGGATGGTACTCATATTACATTTTATATCACACCATCAAATGTCGCGATCATAAATCAAAATCTTTATACGAGGAGTCATGCACAGAATCAAAATCAATAAATCTCATGGCTGAAAGTAATCTTTGTTTATTATATTTCATTTGAGATATGTATTAAAAGAAACCAAAAGCATAAATTAAATCACATTCTGTAACGTATGGGAGAATGCAAGTGATAAATAAAAACATTGCTCTTAATTCCAAAATACCCTGGACCTTCATTCTTCGCCCTTCTGCCCATTCTACATACGTCGCTCCAAAAGGAAACATAATAAAAAATTATTGTAAAAGTGTTTTTCATTGTTGAAAAAATGAAAATATAACTTGAAATGAAAAGAAAGCTGACAAGAAAACTGATGTTGCATAAAAAAAGAAAAGAGAAAAAACAATGCTGAAAAGGAACTCAACCCGTAAATTTTATTACAGAAATCTTTTGATGTCAGTATGAAACACGTAGTTCTTTTGTGTTTAAGAGTAATTTACACGCTGTGTATGAATGTTCATGATATATCAGATTCTCGTTGCTGTAAATCTGTGAATGATTTGATGAGTCGTGCTTCGGGACAATGAAGTTTTCAAAATTAGGTTTATTTACTTTCTGTTGTGATTTTAATTTCATTTAATTTTTGGATAATAAATAATGTTTTCTAACGAAAAATTCTTCAAGGAAAATCATAGAACCAATTTACATAATCTCATATTTAATGCAAACTTTCACGCTCAATTCATATACTTTAAGAATCAACCATCGCATTCTCTTCATTGTTTGCTATCGCATTACATTGATACATATTTGAATTCGTACAAAAATATGTGAAAAGCTATTAAACATGTTTGTATTTTAGCTTATGTAATGAGTTCGAATGCTTAAACACTAAAGACAAATATTTACTTTTTTTTGTTTGATTTTATCCTATTAAAGTGGAGCGAAAGCTTTTGAAAATTGTTTCCTTTGCAGCTTCTCACAGAGCTTTTGTTTTATCCATCTCTTGATGTTTTTATTGCAGACATAAAATTTCTCTTCTTGAATTTTTTTTTCTATTACATTATACAGTAACAGTTTATGTGATGATTTTAAAAGTATTATCACCACCCACTGTAATCAATAAAACCATTTAAAACTACTTTTAACAAAACTATTTTCAAAATTTTAATGTTTCTATCAATGATGATGTTGAACAAAGATAAATAAATAAAGGATCTAGGGATGAGAAAAGTTTTCAAATATAACCTGACAGATGCTTTTAACTTTTGCTTTGTGGATCTTTCCTGCTTGATGTATATTTGTTTTGATTTTTGCCAACTCATTGACTTCATTTTACGATGTTAACGTCAATGCGGATACATGTGAAAGCGATCATCATCATCATCTCTCCTTTGGCGAGCATACACAAAAATCAATTTGTTATTTGAGTTATTGGAACGAGTACTTGTTGGAAAAGGAAGCTTAGGGTGGCGTGGCGGTTGAAGGAAGAATTATTTTCTCATCGTTAAGGCAGCAGCTCTTTTTTTCTAGCAACATCATGTTGCAAAATACTTTTTGATTGTTGTTATTGAATTTATTTTCACTTATGATCCGTCATTTCAATGAGACGTTCTTCGAAGATAAAAGTTATAAGGGAAGGGTGAAGTTAATGATCCAAATAATTACTTTATTAAACGTTTTGACACTTTCCTGGTCCACCTTTTCATTGGAGTATGTAATTTGATTTCCATATAATTCAATAACGTAGTACTAACACAAAGTACTCAACATTTAACGCTTTTAAAACTTTATTCATTCACATTTCCTTACAATTGTCCTTAAGGCAAGTTGTACAACAGCTTTTCTTCTTTTATCATCTACTCACTTAAAACCTTAAATCGTTAACAAGTTCCAAGAAAATTTCTGAAAACGAGAAAACTTTCAAGACTCACAAAGTGGGGTAATAACTCACCTAATTAATTTATTAAAACAGGAAATTTTTGTATTTCTTTTATGTTTAGCTACTTTTGTAAATATATATTTCTATACACGTAAAAAACAAGCAACGCTGTGATTTTCTTGCTGAAAATTCAGTTACTAAGAGACTTACTTAAGACAAAAAGGCAAAAATGAGGGCATTTCGGTCGAATGGACAACGATAATAGAGCCCAATGTTTTTTTTTATTATACTTGAATAATTTATGAAAAAGATCTTTGCTCAAGCGGACCTTTTAATGTGTTTTATTATCCATGAAAAGTTTTGAAGGCAAAGACCAAAACTTTTCCTTTTTTTTGGCCTTTTATGTGCGTCGACATGAAAAACTTTTAGATTTAACGATTTTCATCCAGACTTTCTCGTGTCTTAATAGTTTCGCCATGATAAGGCTACTCAAGGACTTACAAATTGTAGAAATTCGAAAGAAATTAAAGTTTTTTCTTGCAGTCATCATCAATTGCATGTTAACACTATTCATTCGTTAAATATCTGTTGAGAGCTTCACTACCAATAAATTTACTTATTTTGCATAGAAAAATTAAAGGTGTTGTTTGAGAAATATGTCACACTCTTTGAATCCTTTCAAATTTCATCGAAAATAGAGCCACAACCGTCCCAATAAAATTTCACGAGGTTACAAGTCCTGAATTATTTATGAACGTAAATTTTTTTTTTGTTACTCAATGCCAAAGGCAATTAATAGCATTCACTAACATACATTAAAAAGTTTCCGAAAGGGCGTAGAGAAAGCTTTCAAAACCATCATTTAGTTTATCAAAAAAGTTCAGTAGTTTAATCCCAAACCATGTCAAATAAAAAAAAACTTTGTTGACCAATTAATGTATTTTGTGTAAAAAATGTTTGCATTCCGTTTCAATATTTTATTATTTGCAAAACCATAAATTTTATTTGCAGCTTTTCTATCATTCTATTACTGTTGGATTGGATGTACGGTACGTGAATATTAGATACCCACCATGATCATAAAATAAATAAAAAATCATCTACACAAAGTAAGAACGATAGTTGTGCTTGAATAAAGGTTATAAATAGTTCATGAATCCAGTAACTTATTCTTGAGAATTCAATTGTTATTTAAATGTTTGCGGGTCTACGTATACATAAATAATAACTCAGTTATATTTGATGGAAATACTTAGTTTGAGTGTTTGAAACTTACTGTTTCGTCAATACTTTAGCTATGAAACTAGACACGAATTTTTGAGTTCATAAATAAAGGTCGTGTCTCGCTTTGTCCCTTTTCTTGTAGTCATATCACTTGCTTATTCTTCATCGATGTTCATTTTCATTGTTTTTTTTTCTAGTAATTGAGCAAAATACAATTAAAAATAAAATAAATTTGTAACTTCAGCCGTCAATTTTTTTAAAAACATTTTTGTTTGTTCTATTTGATATCTTTGCGTTACCTACTGTTTTTAAATATTTTTTCTTAAGGATTCGATCTATATCTGATTCCTGCTGAGCACTCAATCAAAAGGGAAACTTTTTCAGAACGATTTCCAAGCCATAAGATATCAATATCAGATTGCTGGAGAATTCTCAACTTAAAAAAGTATCAAGCATCGAATGATGTTTCTTTTTAAAAGATATTCCTATTTTACGGTCAACTGGATGTTAAATAAAAGTTTTGTAATCTAAGAAAATTTATGAGAACGATTGAAAGATAAAATCTTTGAGAATAATCGAAAGCAAAACTGAGTTACAGATTATACAAAATAAAATTTCTTTTCGCTTCACATCAAGGAATGTTAAGTTGGGAAATCTCAAAGCAAAGCTTCCTTACATCGCCTACATGGAAAAACACATATATAAATACATACCTTCGTTTACCAATTTTATCTTCCAAGAAACCTTTTTTTCAATCGAAACATTCTTTATATGATGAGTTTCCTCTCTATCGATTTCACGAATAAATTCTTTTGTATACAATGTCAACATGATACTTCAAAATTTTCAATATGATTTTTCATAAGATTTACATGAAAAACAATGTTATGTTACTTGTTTTTCAACAAAATACTATTAGAAATGAAAAATATGTTCCTCATGTTTATGTCTTTGTTTCTCATTGAACAAAACTCCTACATCTGGAGATATTCATAATAAACCTTAAATATTTTTAAGACACTCCTACTCTCAAATGAATAAAACGAACGCATCACAGTAAAGGAAGAAATATTTTTATTTTCTTTGATCAAAAACATCATAAAAGAAAATTGGTTTAGAAAACATTTTACTTTCCCGAAGCGGATGATTGAAAGCATCCAATTCTCGGAAATTGAACTCAAAGCACGATTAGACTAGAACACGAAGCATTAAGAGTGAGTGATTTTTCACAATTTTGCATGACTTTTATTTGTACAACTTTGCCGTTGCTAGAAAATCAGTGCGGTATGCTTTAAAACAGAACAAAATATCAAGGGAATCGTCTCTTTAATGACCTTACCATAAGGCTTAACAAACAGAGAAAAGTTTTCAATTACTCTACGGAGATTTTTGTACAAAACTTCTAACATTATTTCACAATGTGCTTTTGTTTTACAAGGAGTATTCAACGATGTTTTTCAACGGTGTGTGATAGTGAATGAAAAATCTTTAGAAACTCTCTTCAACTTACAAATGTCTCATTGGCTTTAGAGTTATAAAAAAAACTTTTTCGTGGTATTCAAGTTGAACAGAATTACGAAATACAAAATCTACAACATTACATTATTCGAATTGGAAACTTGACTGTCGTTGAAGCTAAGCAATAACTTTTCCATGGAAATCTTCAAATACCATTTCGCGAAAATGTTAAGGTATCGTTTTCCTAAGTTACTTTCCCTTTTTTTCTTCTTCCATCGCTTCACAATCTTTTACAAAGTCGGAAACAATAAAAGCTCATAAAATTATATATCAAACACATTAAATTTCTTTTCAGTTTTCTCTTCTCTGTTTCGCTTCTCTCACACTTTTTGATAAGATTTATGGTTAAAAAAATTAAACACAATTATTTCTTGTAGGCAAAGAGGAAAGCTAAACAGGTCTTTTATATTACATATATATTATATATAACAGATGAAAATTGGTGTGAAAATTGTAAATAATGATTGTAATATTTTTCATGTTTTATTTCGAATTTCTGGCACACCTACGCAGTTATGTGCTTAACCATCTTTCTATCCTAAGCAATTAAATGTTAATCACAGGAAGCGCAGAAAATGGAAGGGAAGCTTATTCGTGAGATAAGATATCTCCTGTTAAGAAAGAAAAACGAATCATTAAGGTGTACATGTATTGTGAGAATCATTTTTCAAAGGAAAAATTCAATTAATTTTTTGTGGTTACTAATAGTCATCATCCTTGTCGTAATCAAAGGATTTTAAAGGAAGCTGCTGGCATTAGCAACGAGGCTTATTATTCTTTTTAATAAAATTCAAATGTCAAAGCTAATGCTGACCTTTACTTTATCAAATTTGACATTTTACACCCACGCAGAAATGACCAAAATGTCAATTTATTTACATTATAAAATTAGGAGTAAGTGAAATTTTCATATTAAATTTTGAATAAGATATAAAGAAGTTAGATTTAGACTTATACCGCTCATCAGGCTATAACATCTTCATTTAATTAGCTTCATTATTGGGATAATTTAATTGTGTTTTGGGTAATGATCCCAAATATTCCCTGCGTAAAATATTCGTGTGAACTAAATTTTGTATGATACTGATAAAGTCATCAGATCGTTTCCATTCACTTAACTAGAAAAAAAGTCCACGCTTTCAATTAATGGACATAGAATGGATTACACTGAGAAGTTTGGGTTGAAAATATTGAAAAGATTTAAAGAATGAAAACAGGTCTTATCCTGAAGAATAAAAAAGCTAAAGATTCACCATATAATGAGAAGAAGGAAAAGGTTTCAGATCTAAACTCTCCCTCAACATTTTCATATCTTATGAATCCCTTTCAAACGCAAATTGACACCCAATTGGACCCTCGACAGCTCCTTTTTCAATCCCAAAATCTTACCTCGCAAAAATGCAAAATTTTCTTATGAGTTAATTGATAAGTTTCTCGCTTTTGGGTTCTCGGACCGAAAAGGAAATGAACAGAAAATAAGCTAAGAAGTGTAATAGGAAAGAAAAGTTATTTTATACCTGCGTTTACTTTGTTCCCTTTTATATTAAATGAAAACTTTGAGGTTTCCTTATTGGCGTTGAAGAAAACATTTTGTTGCTAAAGTTTTGCTGAACAAAGCAAAAGTAAGTTTGTGTTAACAAAATTTCACGTTCATTAGATATTTCCTTACGTATCATAGAGAATTTTGTTCCACTATTAGCTTACATCAGCACAAAAGTTTAGTGTTGGAACTTGTTTTTGCTGTAAATATTTCACTCATCAGATAACGTGACAAGAGAGAAAATTTTGCATAATTATGTTTAAAATTATACTGCTTTAAGTTTAATGTATGTGTAGGCTTTTTGTACCCCAATCAAGTGTAGTAATTCAATATTCTGACAGATTACATTCGATAATTTATTGTGTTTTGAATTAAGGTTTAATGTGTTGTTTATGTATGACGGAAATTGGATCTGCACTTCTTTTATAGTTGAAATTTTGAAAGATAAACAGACTTTTAACTTTGACATATAAGAGCATCATAAATTATCTTCTATATTTAATGATTTCTGATATGAGGAAAATTAATGATATTCATTTCTCTTCCTTGTCAATATTACAAACCTCATTGAAACCAGGCAGTGAAACAAAAGGAAGCTCAATTGGAATACTTTGAAATAAAACATTGCTCATCCAAAATGTCTTAGTGAAAAAAAAAATTATGAATTGGAGAGTTTTTGAAAAAAAAAACTTTAAGAAGCTTTTTAGTTTCTCAGCATTTCCTTGTCGTTTACGATCAATAAACTACTCTTGAAAGTAATAAAAATATGACAGCTACTGTGACGATTCTTTTTTTATTTCAAAGTGCTATGGTGTGCTCTCACACACATAGTTTATAATGTTATTTTATATAAAAAAAATTCACATGAGCATTGAAATCTTTATTCGGTTCAAGTTGAGGACTTTGAATGACTTGAAAGAAAAAAAGTGTTTTAAAATATGAATATTTTATAAGTTACTTTTTTAAGAGAAATTGACAAACAATATTGAAAGCACTGGAATGTGTTTGTGTTTGTAGTGCTCTCTGATTGTCATGGTGAAAATGATGGTTCATAAGGATTTCCATATATTCGTTATCCCTTTTTTTCTTTTCACGAAATATGTAAACATGAGATGAGAAAATGTTGATGGATAAAAAAAATGCTGTGTTCACTCTTCCGACTTTTTGAAGGAAAACGCATGAGCATCACCGCAATATGTTCATTCCAAAGCATAAACCTATTATGACTATAATAAAACAGTGATAATATGTCAACATTTTTGGAGAGATAAGAAAAGAAAAAAGGATAGCATCTCATGAATAAGTAGACGATTTTCCTTACCTTTTCTTGAATTTTCAATGGGCTTCTGGATTTTATTCCTTCGTCTCTTCTTTTTCTTGTATCAGAAGAACAGTAAATGTCACAAAGATCATACGTCAAAGTTTATATATCATAGTCTCGAAGAGAGGAAATGGAGATTTTTTTATCTTAAAAAACTTCAACGATTTTCTAACAGAAGGAAAATCTAAGTTGCTTCTTTAAGCTTTTTTCTCAATGATGATAAACTTGAAACTTAAGCTTTATGTAAAGTAAGATAATATGAAGACTTAAGAGCTTCTTTAAAACTTCGACAATAGGGACATCTGAAAATAAAGTGAGAAAAATCACAAACAAAAGCATTTATGTTCAAATTTTTTTGATTTATTAAATCAAATTCTTGGAAAAGAAATGTATCATATATAAAAGAATAATTTCAATAGTATTGTACAAACACATGAGAAATTTTACAGTTTAGCAAACTAACATTCAAAAGCATATCAAATTTCTACATATCATAATCTTATGAGAAAATTAAATAATTTTTCAATTGGTGTTCTTACTGACACAAACTTTCTTAAATTGTAGAAAATTTAAAATTTTTCTTTGAAATTGCACATCACTTTTTTTCTTTTTATTCAATTTTCCCATTCATATCGACAAACTGATTCTTGTAAAAGAACAAAGCTTGGCGAGATTTTAATAAATTTTGTTTCTATATTCGACAAAAACTTTATTCAAAGCGCTTTTAATTATTTTATAATCATCGTTGATTAAATGTTTTCTGTTTTTGTTTGGCTAGATATATAACATTTTTGCTTCTCATCAAAATATGACGCGATGTGGCAATCTTAAATACATATGTAAGAAAAATTTTATTTATGTAATACTAAAACTAACTAAATCAAAACTTATTTTTTATTTTACCATCTTCATGTATATATGTATGTATGCATGTACATAAGACTTTTTTTTCTTATTGATTTGTTTTCTTTCTTGTTTTAAAACTACATCAGTCAAAAAAATTTATTGATTTTCTTTTTATAATTCAGATAATTTTATTTTCCACTTTTCTATCATCAGAAAGCGAAGTTTAAGAGTACTCCTGGGATGTGTTTTTCGAGTGGAAAACGAGAAGATCTGCTTGGAAGATTTTCCTTCTTTTCCGTTAAATTTAACGTCAAGAAGAACTGGAAATTGTGATATTGTTATAAATGCGTACAAAGTTCGATTGTTCAGATTTGATGTTGTGATATTTTAATTCCTCTTGCTTATACATATGTGAAAAAAATTTAATAAATTATTTTTTTTAGAAACAGAAATGAAAAATGCCAAACCAAGCAATTACAATTCAGAAAATGTTTGAGCATTTTTTTTCTAATCTTCGATTGAAGAAGAATGATAAGCGGAATTTTTATTTGAATAGAAAACCTCACATGATTTTCAATGATATTTCTTGAATGATATCGAAACGAGAGTCATGAATAATTGATTAAAATCAAACGAAAAAAAAAATCAGATTCATTACTAGTGGATAAAGATCATTTCACAATCAATAGCAGGATTTATGATAAAGAGATGACGATAGTCGAGAAAGATGAAGTAAAACTTGAAATTAATTTTTTCTTAAAGTGTTAAACGTTTATCGAAGATTTTATATTTCTACTATAGCTCAGGCATTTTAAATACAATACTTCGTCACTAATTCTTCTTAGAAAGTAAAATTGAATTCATGTACGCTTAAATAGTTAAATTAAAGCAGCAAATGACAAAACGGTTTTATCTGTTTTTCAGCACGTAAAGCAATTTTTGATTTTATTAATAAATGGATTTCTTTTTGTATTATTTAAGGCCACATTTAATTTAATAAATCTCATTTTTTCTTCTGTTCTTAGTCAGTTTTTTTTTCATATTAAGTGGGATGAAAAAATGTTAATCCTTGGATTTTCCACTCACGCTTTAAAGACGAATTTACGTAACTGGATTTCCATATCAAAATTCTGGATTAACGTAAATATGGAAAAGTTAAAAATGTAATTTCTGGTAATGTACATGTTAAATTGTTGGAGGATGAGCTTAACTTGCGACAGGTCAAATTGAAATGAAAACCCAAGTGGATCGCTAAGGATTTCGACTGTGACGTTTCAAAGCATTTATAGTGACATCACGACTTTTTTTAATATATTTGCCTACTCAAATGTCTGGCTACAACATGACCATCCACAAATTAAATAAATTTCCTTCCTAATATGTTTTAGACATGCGTCGCTAAAGCGCCAAGTTTCGCATTTGCAGGAATAAATTGTCCACTTGGACTTGGCGTTTGGCTAGCTGTTGAACCGAGATTTGCTCCGATTCCCACAATGCTACCACCACCATTAATATTTGAGATCGTTGTTGATGATGAGAAGCTACTGTTGCTATTGCTTCCCCGTGTTCCTGAATACGGTGGCGGAGCAGGTGTCACAGCATGATTAGCTGTGTTTGATGAGACCAGCGGCGAATGTAGTTGCTGCTTTAAATATGGATTTCCATATGTTGCAGCATATCTTGGATCAACATTAAGCAATGACTGATCTGTTTATAACAACAATAATTACATATCGGGTTTTATTTAATTTAAACTTCATAATAACTTACTATTCGTCATGCCGTTTGGTATTGAAGACATGCTTATAGGAAGTCCATTGTACGAACGATCCAGCGGTCGATTTCTGGTTAAACTATAAGTACCATTCGTTATCGATCCGGTTGTTATGCCAACAATCGAAGCAGAAGTTATAGTAGGTGCTGCGGTTGATGTGCTCATGATTAAATGATTTGACAAGCTTGTATGTGTTGGCTTGACATGATTCAATGTAAGGCTAGGCGGAGGTGTGTAATCACGACTGTAGTCAACATAAGGAATGTAACCATTGTTATTAACTCCAATTTTCGTGGTTTGCAAATGTCCAAAAGAGTCGGTAAAGTCACCCGAATACCTGCAATTGAAACATGATAAAAGATTAAGATTAACATGTTGCATAACTGAGAGGCGATTAAAATTTTATATATATATTTATACATGTATCTTAAAGATGTTCGTAAGCAGTAGAAAATTCTTACCTGAAATCAGGAATTGGACCAGCTAATGACACTCCAAATGTATTTAATGGAATCTTCGTTGCACTTAGTTCGTTGGCTGAACATGTTTCTAAGTATTCATTTTCTCGATTTATTTTCATATCACTTTTATTCGACGAGCAATCGCTCTCTTTGCATCCTTTTCCCATATAGTTATGTTCAGGTATGACATCAGCTGGCGGTAGCTTCTTTTTTGTCTTTTTTTTGCACATGAAACAAGCTAGCATAATTATGATTAAAAATATGGAAAGTATAACGGCACCGAACCACAGGAAGAATAGACGAGAGTTATCTGTAATGTATGAAAGAATGCATGAGAATTAATGTTAAATTATGATAATTTCAGAGTCTCTAATGGTATCATAAATCCTGAAGATATAATGGAGAAGCTAACTATGCATGAATGCACTTTTAAAAACGAGAAAACTCTTTTCTATGTACATGTAAACCATCCACGCTTCAAGCATAATAAGTTTTCTCCAAAAATAACAAAAATCATGAAATTGTTCAGCATGACATTGGAACTTACATTTGCTTTCGCCATTTAATTCAATTTCTTGGATGTCATAACCACAGTCATTTATAACGGTACAGTTATAGCGGCTAAAATGCTTAGCTGAACTTTTTCGAATGATTAAGGTTGACTTGATGCCAAATGCAAGTTGGTCTTCTCGTATATCGAAATCATCCTCGAAAGTACTGTTGATTTCTCTTCCATTGATTGTCCAACCAACATGTCGAGCTTTTGGAATTGAAAATGCGATACATTCAATTCGAACACCTTCACCCGGTGTCCCAAATTGTCGGCGGGAAGAAGTAATTGTCGGTGGACCTTTGAGGTAAACTGTGGCTGTTTCACCAATATCAGGAAATCCGGGAACAGATGCTTTACACAAATACCTTCCAATTGTCTCCTTGGATACGATAATTGTTAGATTTGGTGACGTGCTGACAACCTGTTGCATGGAAAATCAAATAAAAGGTTTAAAACATTCAAATGAACTTTTAAAGTTTGAAAGAATAAAAAAGAAAGAAAGATAGAAAAAAAAAGAAAGCGAACCTGATTTCTTCTTACCCGATCAAGGCCGTCAAAAATCCACACAATTTCTGGTATTGGATTACCATCAACATCACATGTTAATGTCTCAACACTTCCTTCATCAGCTTCTACTGATTTCGGCCGAATTTTAAAGGTTGGACCGTAACTGATATCAAGCGTCTCACTATCCATACTCTTACCGACAACATTTGAAACTTCACATTTGACAATTGAGTCATGGAACTCTCGAGTAATGTTTGGAATAATGAGTTCGGTGGAATGATCACCGTTGATTTTGTTATCATTAATATACCATTTGAAGAAAACTTCATTTGGATTTGCTTCAGCATGACATGCCAAGCGAACTTCAGCTCCCTCTTGGATTCTTCCATTTGCTAATGTACCACTAATCACTGACACTGTCACCTTTGGTGCAAACTTCACTTCAAGTTTCAGTCTTGCAGATTTGTATGTTCTGTCTGCTGTGTTCTGAGCTTGACAGGTAATGGTTGTGTTGTGATGATCCTTTTTGGGAATAAATTTAAGTATCGAACGAGCCTCGAAAAGCTTCGAATTTTCCATCTGTTGATGAAGATACTCAATTCCTTCTTTAATAACATTGCCAAATCCATCGATCCAAATAATTTCTGCTGCCGGTTTTCCTCCTTTTGAAACACATTCAAGCTCAATTTCACGATCTTCAGTTGTGAGAATATGGCTTCCTTGTGTAATTTTGGGATTGTCTGGTGGCACGAGTATCGTGAGTTTTGCTTTTCGTGATCTTATTGGAGGCGTTCCTAAGAAAATGAAAATAAAATTTCAAATTTAATTCCACAATCTTTCATAAATATTGTGTAAGAACTTACTTCTTCCCGGACCAACTTGACATTGATAAGTAGCATCGTCATCAAGCATAACGGGGAAAATATCGAGTGAAAAATCGCCTTCTTCATCACTTCCTACCATTGAGTAACGCTCAAAACCACTGAGATTACGATGTTCACCAAGACCGAAGTCATCTTTGGTCCATTGCAATTGTCCTTGCTTTGCCACAATACGACATGGCAATGTCACTCTCGAACCAACAACTGCTGTTTGATCTTGTGGCTCCATAGCAAAACGTTGACCGAATCTTTCATGATTATTACCATTGTTTTGTCGAGATATTGCAATGGCGAATGAGTCTAACAATATTGTTATATGCAACGTAAAAAACAAGACACGAGTAATTGAGAACATTTTACTATCACGAGTATATTCGGTTTGGTTTTAAGCATATTTCTTTTCTACTAGAAAAGAAAAATAAACGAGACCACACACGATGTCAAATGAAGGCTCTTTGTATATGTGTGTGTATGTGTGGGCTAATGTAATCTACGTGCAGGGATTTAATGAAATTTCTGATGTCCTATTAACTGCATTCTTTCATGACTTGGGTAGAATTCTTTTGTTATGAAGTCGAATATGCTTTCTGAAAATATATGTTGAAAAGAAAGAGAAAATTTAATTATTAGACATCTAATTACAACATTCTACTCGAATGAACTTGTGTAAAATTTTTGGTGAGCTTTGACTTGCTCAAGGGTTGAAAAATATTACAGAATTTCTATGATGAAGCACACACATAAACTTTTCATGCTCAATTAATTAGAAATCATATCTTAAGCCTTAAAGCAATTTCCTCAAAAATATTCTTATAGTATTTTGATGTCAAAATTTTCAAACATTTCCTTCATGTTCAATAAATTCTAATTAGAAAGTTCTATTGAAATTCTCTCGAGAAATTCTGTCAGTGAAATATTCATTAAATTTAATTTGAACATTTATTCAATTCATTAAGATAATCCTATTTTGTCACATTGAAAAGTACTTTACTTCAAATTGCTATTAATTTGTATGCCATTAACTGATTATAGTCTTGAAAGTTCAGCATAATCGTCGTGATTTCTGACGACTAAAATCTTTCGTCTCATAATTTTGCACGTCGCTTTGGCACATTAATTTATCATGCACGTTCGTTGAACGTTTTAGGAATTTAATCTCAAAAAGCTTTTCTTTTACTTTTTATTTTGCATTTGCTTCCATTTTCTCACAAAGAATTTTCCCTTCAAATTTTTTTACAAATTCTTTCATCCGGCTCTATGAAAATCCCCATTCTGATGCTTCTACGCACATCAAGAAAAGAAACGTTTATAAATGTTTACCCTGTAAAGGTTATATCTTAGGAAAAGCTCAAAATTAAGGAAAGTATGTGAGAGTTAGGAGCTTGGGGGAAAAAGGCTTAGACGGGACTTGGAATGTGTGCAGAATTGAAAGACAAGAAGATGTGAAAAGGAGAAAAATATCATTTACCGTATTTGCACGTTTTTCAAATAACACAAAACGGAGGAAAATACTACATAATCGTGAACAATCAAAGTATCATCAATCATGAGGGTATACGGAAACATTCAGAGAACGGGATTCACATATCAACAGCAACAGAAAAATCAAAAACAGTTCACAGAATGAGATGAAAACGAGGAAAATAGAATCGCACAAAAAACGCTTCGAGGACTTTTTCGAGGACATGAAAAGAATTATTCATTTGAGCTTTTTCGTATAGGCTTTAACAGCATTATGTTTTCCTTTTACATCTTCACTGCTGTGTGTCGCTGGATTCTTAAATGAATTTTTATTTTTTTCTTCATTCAATTTTTTAAAGTTAAATTTGAGTTGCAGGTGGTTTATGTAGTATGTAAGATTAAACAATCTTGCAAATATTTTCCAAAAATTAAGAAACTTGAATGAAATTGTACAATGTCTGCCCTATTATTGAAATAATTTCTAAATTTTATGGAGAAAATGCAAAGAATTTTTATTGTTACGAATTCATTTTTTTTCTCATAACCCTTGAAAGTTATTGAAATGAAAATAAAAAAGTAAGAAACGAAAAATATAAACAAAGCCATTTCTCCAAATCACATCACCTGGAAAACAACAAGAAAATTCAAATGGAAAAGAAAATTCTTTTCTGCATTATTTCATCTCTTAAATTGCTTGGAGTTATTTTTTCTTTATTTCGTTCACATCGAAGCACATTACAGTTCAAATTTTCTCCTTAGCTGAACTTGATGTGAACCATATTCTGCATAAGTTGCAAGGATATGTTTGGTAAAGAGAAATAAAATGGAAGAACACTCGTGAGAATGTCAGGAACAAAAACTTTAGATAAGCATCTTTTGACATAGATTCGATAGCTCTTGTTCACAATTTTAAGATAAAAGTGTTGGAAACACCAAACAAATAAAATCATGAGAATAACAATTGAGAAGAATGAAGAAGAAAAAAAATTACTGACAAAATAAGAAAGTCGGTAAATGCGATATTTTCCAATCTCAATTACTACAAATATCTACTTGCAGTTCACACTCAGCGATTACGATTCTAGGAAGTAAATGCAGTATAAAATAATTTTTTATGTTTGCATTCCACTTAGGAGAAAAGCAAAAAAAAGTGAAAAGATTTTACGACTTTTAATTTTTGTTTCTGTTCTGGAAAAGCTTTTTGCTGATGGAAAACTTTTAGGTGCAATTACTACACCTTGGTTTATAAGAAATGATTATTAGTTTTGTTCCCAAGACTTTTCATTGTGATATGAAAGTAGCGCCTTAAGAAAAACAGCAAATAAACGAGGGAGAAAAGTGATAACAAACTTCCTTAAGAAAATTTCTCACATGCACTCTTCTTTCCAAATAATAAACTCTCTTTGCCATAATTAACTTCACTGCATTCTTTATGCTTAATTGCGAGATTAAATTTTCTCCTTCGAAGCGAAAGATCTTCTTCATATGGAAATGCTTTTCTTTTCGACCCATTTCTCATGTTGAAGGGAAAAGAATAAACTTTATCGCTCAACAAACTACTTGCAATTTTGCTGTGTGAAGGTTGTCGTTGTCTCGCATATTCAACTCTGCATTGGTGATGAAAGAAAATTGTAGAATGAAAGAAGGAAAAACTTTATAAAGGGAAACTTTTATGCGGCAAACAATCATAAATAAAATAAAAATATAAAAATAATAAAATTTTTATTTCATGAAGAACGGAAGAGAATCGAGTTGTTGTGGAAAGTGAACGAGTCGAGTAAAGAGAAATGAACGTACCAGGTGCCTCCATTATACAATAAATTATTTGTTAAAACTTCAGTTCCAGCTTTTCTTACAATACACAAGAAATAATTTTTAGTTGGCTTGTCCTTTACTGAAAAATAATTTCTCTCTTTATCTTCTACTTCTACAAGTTTCATAAAATATTCAAATATAAAATAAAAATATTTTGCGAAGTTGACTTAAAGAAATCTTAAACATGTTATGAGGTGGCGAACATTTCTCTAGAGCTTTATAAAAGTTCAAATATTTTCATACTGTAAGGATCTGCATTTGGCTTTTTATGCTTGCGGAAATTTATGAATATTTCGTGAATGCTTTTAAACAGAATAAAGATGAAGGAGAAGGAAAGAGAAGCTCAATCGGTTTAAAATTTTATTGAATATAAATCCTACGCTCATTGATCTCCTCGGAGGTTCATTTCATTCATATTTAAAATTATTTCTGTTTATCTTGACTTAAAATGCGTGCGCGTTACGAAATCATTAAATGAAAATTCAGTAAATCTTGTTAAAATTAATTAAAATTTATGAGACTTGACAGTGGGGAGGAAAGAAAGATTAGAAATAGAAACGACGTTGAGCTTTATACCAAAATTGCCATGAAACTAATCATTTTCTCTTTATTATCGTCCCTAGGATTTTTGTTCTTTGTCATTTTTTCGCGGGCGTTTCGTTTTTTTGCTTGCTTCCCTTGACAGTTTCCGGAGTCAAAGCTTAATGAAATGTTTAATAATTCAATGAAGGGAGAAAGAACAAAAATCCATTTGCGAGCTTGAAAACGAATTTATGTCCGCGCGGTATACGATGAAGTAAAGTAAAGGAGAAGTTGAACATCTTAAAAAGCATTCCAAGGAGAAAGCGAATGTAATGTCAGCAATTTAACATGCTCCATAAATACACATTAGCTTCAATGCCGTCACTAAATTTATCTCTCGATATAATTTGTAAAAATATCACATAGGAAAGCTATGGTTCTCATGCTTTCAATGAATGAATTGTTGTTAACTGCATTGGCAAGCAGCGCACATGAGTAATGCTGACGATAAAATCCGTGTCAGTTTGAGTTGACCTAATAAGACTGCTCTTTCTATTCTATTCAATTTTTTTTCGAAGCTATCACGATGTAAACATTCTTTATGAATGTTGCTCAACTCTGAAATGGAAGATTTCTGTTGAAATCTGATTTAATGTTTACACGTTCCCACAAGAACATTCCTATGCGCTTCACTTGCCATATATCTTTTCCAAAATTTTTTTTTATCAGATTTTACTTGAAAATCGAATAGACAACAAATTGCAACACATTTAATTGAAAATCATTGTGTAATTTCGTAAATAGATATTACTATGCGAAAAATCTCGTTATTCAACTACGTGAAAAGTTCAAAAAATGAGCAAACAAAAAAATCGTTTTTGTGAACTTCACTCACTAAAATGAATAAGTTAAAGCAGCTTTGGCATGCATATATTGGGTAAATATTTCATTTTAAACGATGAATAATAAAAAAGCGACGAAAGAATTTTCATTATTCGCTGCAAGCATGTACGCGATGTTGTAGGAAATGATAAATTTCCTTTATTCCCTGCCTCGGTTTATTTTCCGCGTCCCTCACGAAAATAGTTCGTCTGCTTTTCTGTAAAAGAAATCCCAACAGCAGATTTTTCAGTCTCACGAAACAATTTTTCTTTTTCTTTTTCCTTTGTCTCTGAGGAAAAGAAATTTCTCGCTTGCTTCGTTGCGTGTGCAAAGACTTCTTCGTTTTCCATTCATGACTCGTCTTGCGAATAAATAAATCAATCAATTCTCTCTTATGGAGGAAAAGTTCAACACAGAATTTTAAAAACCGAGAAAGGCTTAAGGCATAAAATATCCTCTCATGTGTCTTTCACTATTCTAAATATTTATTCCTTTTTTTCAAACAGTCAAAAGTACGAGTAGATATGAATTATTCTATAGACTTGAGGTTTTTTTTTTCTTTCAACTTAAGTCATCTCATTTCGAAAGCGTCAATTCTTCAGTCAATCAAATAACTTTTTCATGAGCTTTCATCATTTTTAAACCATGAAAAAAAATCTTCGTTCAATTTCATGCTAGAGTGTCATTCGTCTAATGGTTTCGTAATGATTTATAAATTGTTTGAAATGAAGTGTGTGGTTTTGCTTTCTTTATCTATACGAGGGATTTTTTTATTGCGGAGCTTATTCGTCACTTTATTGTGATGAAAGATTCTAACCATCATCTTAAGCACTAGGATGTGAGTAAAAAAAAGGTCCAAAGCGAAGAAAAAATCTATTCGATTTGATTGATGCTTACGGCCTTTCTCGTCATCGTCGACGTTGTCATCGTAGTCTAAGTCTTTTCCACATTCAATGAAAATTGTTCCTAAGAACGGTACTGATACGCTTGGGTTGTATTATGAAATAAATTTGAAAGCATAAAACGTTGTGAGTGTAAACATATAATGAACGTTTTCTTCTTCGTGATCTTGAGGAAGTGGAAAAGTTTGAATGAGGAAAGAAAAGCGATGAAATTTTTCTTTAAAGAACAGATATGTGGAATTAATGATCCAGAATAATGGAACTTGAGAAAGAAGCTTTCACTTGAATCAAATTTTGTTGGTAAGAAGCAAACCTAATGGTTTTCTTTTCGATTTTTTACCTTACTTATGAGCAGTGATGTTGTCGATGGCGATGTAAATATTGAGAATATTGAGAATCTTTTAAGTTTCAATTTATCGCAGATATATTTATTAAAATCTTTTTTACCTTTTTAAACCTGACTAAAGCATAATTTTTATTTTAAAAGTTTTGAGAAAATAAATTTTCAGGCATTGATTTAGTTCATTTATCGAAACTTTCGAGTTTCCAACTTTTGTTCATTTGTTTGTAGACGTTTAAGAAAGCAATTCCATTAAGGAAGATTAAACTTTTGAACGATTTTTGAACATTTCTTACTCCTAACTTTTACTCATTCAAAGACAAGGAGTGAAAAATAATCCACTTTTAAAAGTAGACTTCTTCAAAAACCACACACTCGGCGTTCCTTTTACAAAAACAACAATTTCATATTCAAATGCAATCTTCAGCTGCGAACACATTGAGTAGATTCCCTCGTCTAAAAACCCTCAAACAAATCAAAAGGCGCTGGAGTCATCATGATTTTATCTCGAAGAAAATTGCTTGCTGCAAAAGGCGGAGAGATAACGGAACAGCACAATAAAATAATAAATACTATTGTTTTATAACATAAACATTCTGCAGTGAGGGACATACATTTCTCACTCAGCGACAAGGATGTTTCACAAATTTATTGTTATTGCTCCACTTTCATGCGAAGGAAGAAATAAAACTTCAAATATTTACTCGAAAGCTGCAGTCATTTTGATGAATTCGTAGTTAAGGTTCTTGGTCTCATTTACAAACGAAAACAAAGATTTAAGACCAACATACTTATATATAAAATCCATAGATTCAATGGCTAGAGCAGAATGTGACAATTATTGACTTAGTTGAATTATATCATTTTATTTTGTTCGCAAAATTATATTTACATGTAAATTTTCAACAAAAAAAAAACTCTTCAGTGATACATAAAGACCATTATGAAATTAATTTACTCCAACAATTCATTATGCCAATTGAATGATTGAAATATTTAACATGATTTAGTCATTGGCTATTTGGTTTTCATGTTTTGATTGTTTACTCAAAAGTAAAATTCGCTCAATATGCTGAATTTAGAAATTAACCCGCTTATTAAAATTTATTGATACTTTTTATCACTGTAGAATTTCTTTGTACTTATTATTTAATTAAATTGACGATGTGGTCAAGATGACTTGAATTTAATGTCTTAAAAGACAAATTTAAATGTCTCTTAAACTACCGATAATTATTAGTTGTGGGTAAAACGATTTAATTAAATCTTGAAGCTACTTTGGACTATGCTCTACCTCTCTACAAAGTTCTAAGCCATAAAAATAAAAAATAGCTGAGAAAATTAAGTTCGAAAGTAGTGGTCGATAATTGAACGCGATTTCGAGGTGGTCGATAATTAGCCAACTACCATATCTTTTAGACGAATTTCATTCCTTATTCGCCTCTCGAATTTTCAAAGTCGTAAATTCTTTTGACAATAATTCTGCAAATTGAACAGCAGAAGCATCAACATGCGATAAATGCCAATTTATAGGACGACAGATAACATTTTGAAAGCAGAAGCAGATCTTATTCGTTCTGAGAAAATCTTCTTAAAGCCTCTTCATATCAAATCTTATCCTTTTGAAATGCGAAAATCTCAAGACATACGAATTTCCATCCTCCTTCTCATTCTTTAAGCTTGTTTCTCATGACCCGAAATTTTATTTCTTTAAGTTATATTTCTCACGCAGCCAACAAAAACGAAAAAAAATAAAAGGAAGAAAAGTTTTTCATCTGGTAGCAAGATGGGGAAAGTGTGAAATAGAATAAGAACAATAATGATGATACACATTTATGATAAAATTATGCGAAAATAATACAAACACATAAATTATGTGCTTCTCGTATGAACACGTTCAAGGCGATGCTGAATGAAGAAATATGTTTGCCGTTCATGCTCTCAGCTTCTCAACGACGCATTGTGTGCCTTGCCGTTTCTATCAAAGCACTTTTTTACTTCCCTTCTGCTCTCGTGCTCGTCCCACATACAGTTTTTTAGCCTTAATAATAATTCAGGAAAAACATAAAATTTGTACGATGTAAAGGAACCGCACGCAACATAAGATGTCGTCCATTATCTTTGGAATGGGAAGGCTTCAACAATTACGTGACAATGATTTATTATAAGTTATAATTTCAATAAAATATTATTTATGGTCATCTTAATTTATAAACACATCTATGACGATACTTTGGAACTTTCCCTTCTAAGCAAATTCTTTTGTATTCGTTCATGTTGTTTAAGCAAAAATATCTGAAAAAAAAACCTTTAGTCATCTCCTTTAGAAAATTGATATGAAAGAAGAATTAACCGTAAAATTCTTATCATCAAGAGGAAAGAAATCTTTCAATTTCATTTACGATCTCCACATTAAACTTAATCTTAAGACTGCCGGTTTGTTTTAATGAGAAAATGAAAAGGGAAAAAAGGACAAGAATTGACAATGGAAAGTACATGAATTTATGCTAAATTTGAAGACTTCATGTTTTACTTTGTTGCCTTTTAATGAATAAGAACGAAGCATCAAATAGCTTGAGCCTTAAAGCGAGGATTTCAGAGAAGAAAAAAATGTTTCAAAGATAAAAATTACTTTGTTTATTGAAACAAGGGAAGCAAAGAATATCATTCTTTTACGAAATTTGCTTATATTAGAATTGTCATAATATACCACCCATCATTTCTTCCTACGTTTCGGATAACAAGCTGACAAAAATCATAAAGACACGTGCGAGTTTGTTTTTATTATTTCGATGAAAGGTAAAAAGTTATAAAAGCTCGCTGTTAGCGTAACATGCAACTTTGTTGCTTCTATTCATTAGCTTTGCTCACAACTTCTGATTCATATATATTGAAGACTAATCGACAGTTAATGATATTTCACCTCGAAAGAAAATAAAAAAAAGAAATTCTTCGGGCTGTTGTTGGTGTTTGTGCTTTCCGAAATCTAACCAACGATTGCTGATTAATATTTTCATTGCTCTTTAGTGTTGTTTTTTAACGCTTGTTTTTTGTTGCTATTTCTCGTGAATGCTTACGCATAATAAATTTCGCATTCCGCTTCATTAGCATCGAACAGGAGTGAGTTAGAGCGTATAACAATTATTACACGGTTTCTCTTTGCCTTTTTTTTTTTCATTTGAGTCAACACTTTCTTCTTCCTTTATCTTTTGATTTATCAATAAAAACGAGGCATAAAAATCGTGGAAGTTACTTGAATGAAGTCTTTAATTGTATAAAGGTGGAAAATCAATATAAAAATTAAGTTTCAAGGGAGAACTGAATGACTCATACTATGAGTCAGCACATGTTAGGGAGGAAAAGTAAATATTTCAAAAGACTTGTGAAATATTTTCTATTTTTACAGCAACGACGTCGCTTGTTGAAGACATCGTCCTTTAAACAACTTATGCAAGAATATTAAAATCTTACGCAGCAAATCGTGAAATATTTTAAATATCTCGAGGATAGAAAAGAGCGCTTTGAAATTTCTTCAACGCTAAGTACTTCAAATATATACGCAGTATTACTCCTTCGTCATTATCGTGTATTTACATGAATATTTTCATGGCTTCTTTCAACGCTAGTCCTTTATAAATGAGAAGAAAAGCAGTCAAGAAAAATGAATGAAAATGAAACTTAAACAAACTGTAAAATGAGTCGTTTTCAACACTTAAAATGTACTTTCAGCTTATGCATTGAAGCCTTTAAACTATTGATTAAAAGTTCTTTTTGCAATGTCTCATATTTACTTCAAGTCAAAGTTAGGTTTAGAAGAATTTTTCTGACATCATTAAATTGGATAATGCAGTCATTACAAAAATACAATGATGAAAAAAAAGAGAACAAAAGATACCAAATTAGGAATTCAATCCGGACGAGTCTGGTGTGACACTGCCAGAAAATACTTAAGTTTCTTACAAAAATTTCTCATTATTTCTTTGTTAATAACACTATAGAATAAAAGGAGAGTGAAAAAGTAGTTAAGTTCAAGCTTAAGATTTTCCCATTAATTTTCAAGAGCAGCTGGCGAAAGACGAGTGGAAAAGCTTTCATTTATATTCTAGAAGCTTATCGGTTTCTCATGAATTTTCCTAGATTATCGATTGTTCTTCTTTAAGTTTTGTCTACAACGAATATTCAGCTAAAGAGATAAAGCAGCAGCAATTATTGTCCTACGAACTTTAGTTAGGTGGGAGGATTTCTGTCATATGTTATATTTTGGAGATTATATAAAATGCCGATTATGCAAATAGAGTTAAGGTCTTTGAGAAAGCGAAAAGATAAAGTTTGAAGTGTCGTTTTAGAAAAGAAATTCAAAGTTGAGTTCATTGTAATGATTTTACCTATAGAAGTTAAATACTTATAATGTTAAGTCTTGTGAGATTTAAATTTTAATATATTTAAGCTCTCGAATAGAAATCTTTGGCAAAGTTTCAATTACGTTGATCTGTTCAAATTCTCGTCACGACAATGTTTATTTCGAAAGAAATTATAAAATTTGATTAAACTCTGTAAGGAGAAGACATTCAAAGCAGTAATACCATGAGACTCATTAAAAAAAGTATTTAAATTTGTTAAGTAAACACTTGAGTATCTTCAAGTGATCTTTTTTCAAATGATGAAGTATTTTCCTTCAATTCTTTCCATTCATCCCTTGTTATGTTCAAGAGAGTAAATGAGATAAATAAGAAGCTATTTTAATTTAATGAGATATCTACTCGGACAGTATTCAACTTGAAACGAGGTAATCGGAATTAAATTTCTGAAATTTCATTACACTTGAATTTTTTATGAATCAGCGTTTTTCCATTCATAACAAGACAACTTACGAATTTTTTTATATAATTACCATAATGAATAAGGAAATAATTTTATTCCACCTTTCAACCCCAAAAGTTGCATCATCAAATTATTTCTTTCAGCTTTTTTATTTTCAATTCTTCGAAACGTGACTAAACGAGTAAATTTGTAAATTTAATGAACTTAACTCCCTTATTTACTCATGTCTCGTTCTAAATGAAATTCATACAAATGCAATAAGACTTGAAAGTTTTTGAAAGAGTGCAATGAATGAGTCACTACAACACGCATCCAAACATTCTTGACAATTGTTGGGGGAGAAATATGAGTTGGAAGACGAGAAATAAGCCGAATATTTTTCCAATTTCCTCAATTGTAGCTGAAGTTGAAAAGAAATTCGTCATCAAGGGAGAACTCGAGTATATTTAAAGGATCGGTTTGTGTTGATAACAACATAGGAAAAGAATTGCCATGTGAGCTGGGAAAAGCTGGATTGGGGAGGGGAATAATTGCTCTATGAGTCATAATTCATTTGAACTTCACCCTACTGCTACTCGACAGTATTATTCAGCTGTAAGCGTCTGATAGGAAGGAAAGGCAAAAAAGAAAATTAATTGGAAGTTTATTGTTAATATCACAAATAAAAATTCTATCAGGTTGAGAGAAAAAAAATCGATTTTTCACTGCTGTTGGTTCTTCTCAAACTTACTTATTTAGCTCGTGAATGAAAAAGATGAAAAAAAAAAATCAGCGGGTCGATCGAAGGGCTTCATTTGGAAATTTTTGATGTTGAATTCCTGATAAGGCTATTAAGGGAAGTTTGGTCGTTAAATAGAACACAAATTTGTATCAAATTAATTCCATCCGTCAAGAGAAATTTTCGTCTTCTTTCGCTCTAAATCAAAAATTAATTAAAATTGAAGAAACATGACATCTTTGAATAATAATTGAATTAGTAAAAAAGTATGGACAGCAAAAGGAAGAAGAAATAAACAGCAGGGAAATTGTTTAATTTCTAGAAGAATAAATCTAATAACATCTGATGACTTTTGAAGTGATAAAATGGAAAGTTATTGGATTAAAAAAAGTATTCTAATGGAAAATTCAATTTCTATTCAATGTTGAAGGCGAATTCAAAACATTATTCAATGTGAAAGCAAAATAAAAGAAAATCACAATTTCTTCGAACAAACGACAAAAAAATTCAATTCAAATATTTTCACTGTTATTGTATTTTGCTTTCTTTGATAAGAAAGAAATAATTATCTAATTTCTTTTTCTCCATTTATATTTCATACTTCTAACTGATGGAATTATAAGTGTTCTGAAAATTTATTAAAAGGTTTCACTTTTGAACTTTGAAATGAAATTTTCAGACAAAAATCAAGGTAAGTAAGAATTAATTTAAGAATAGAATCTATTTGATGTTTCTCCTATTTGAATGCGTTCTTGAAAAAGCTTATGTATAAAGCCACATGAGACCTAATAACGATATAGTCCCCAAAGCTGTCATGAAATTCAAGCCTACTTAGAAACTGAATTTTCATTGTATTCTCGTTACTTCGACAGCTCTAAAAAAGTGATTTCAATTTGGTGATATCTATCCGTGCTTCAAATGTGATTTTTGACGCCTTTCGGTATGGCGCACGATAACAATTAAGAACAAATTAAATATAAATCGGAGACATGATGGCACTTTTATGAAAATAACATTAATTTTTTATCCTCGCTTCTTGTTCTCTCATTCCCTTCACCGGAGAAATATTCTCGTTCGCTAAACATGTTTTTGATTTATGGAAACGTTTAATTAATTTTTTCTTTTATTGTTTCTGTTTTATTTTAATATCAGAATGATGGAGCGGTGAAGTGGAAAAAAGAGAGGAAAAAAAATTTTTTAATGCCTTAAAGTCATTCAAACTCGAGCTTTATGCTTTTACCCTGCAAACAAATTTATGCTTTAACCGTGGAAATATTGTTCAAGCTCACGATCCACTTCAGACTTTTTATCGTACATATATTCTAAAATATCTGAACACTTCAAGTTTGAATAGAAAAAAATTCTTTTCGAAGGAAAATTCTACTCAAGAGTCTAAGTCGGAACTAATATTGCTTCCGATCATGTTACGCTCGAGTGGAAGGAAGTAGAAATTGAAAATTTACTGCATTTCTTGTCGAAAGAAAAGAAGTAAAGCCAAATTCGTACAAACATTTCTCAATATACGCTATTGAATGTTGCACTTTATTTATGCATGTTCAAATACGACGTGTACTCGTAATTAAACGTATTTTTCGCAACAATTTCTTCAGAATGTAAATATTATTTAGTTTTCGGATTTTTTCAGATAACTTACCTTCAGTCCCTGGAAATTAGTTTCAATGTCGAAATATTTCTGAAACGAAAATTAAAAAAGATTTTCTGTTAGTCTACGAAGATTTCTCTTATGGTTGAGTTCACAGTATATTTAGAATCTTTCTTCAAGATTTCTCGAAACGAACTAAAAAGTGAAAAATTTTCACTGTCATGTTTTATATTTGTGCTGCCAGAAATGTGTACAAGAAACTTTTAATTAAAATGTTTGATGCTTTTTCCTTTTACTTCTTCATTCTTTGATGCTTTTGACTCAAATGTGAGAATTTAAGTTGACTTTTGAACTTTTCTCCATTCTATTATTAAGCTTTTTGCCAAATGTGAAAACAAACAGATTAAAATCTTCATTCAACTGACAATTTTTCCTACTGGGTTCAATAATAAGTATTTTCTGCAATCGTCAAATGTTTCACATGCAATCGAAAGCAACTAATGGCTTACTCTTTTTTTCTATTTTTTATAAATCTAGGAAAGCATTTCAACTGCATAAGACGAATCGAAAGAAAAGGAAAAATTATTTCATGAAATGCGAAATGATTCATAGGAAAAATATTGAACGAGCGAACATTCGTCTGATTTTATAACAACAATCAAATTGCATTTGACACAATTTGTTAATTCCAAGACACATGAAACAAATTTTTATCTTTCGTCTTGGTCTCACAAACCTTTTATAAGCTTTTTATCTTCTATTATTTTCAACTAGAGATTTGATCTTTCAAATTAGTTTTTCCTTTTGTAGAAGGTATAAACGAGAATTTGCTTCATGAGATAAAAATCCATTAAGTTGCAAAATTTTTCATCATATACATTTGTAAGTAGACAAGCTGTATGTGAATAGCGTCTAGTCATTGTTATTTTAATAAATTGCACAATAAAGCATATACATACACTTGTAGTGTCTGCTTTGGAACGTCACATTCCGTTTCTATTTCCGACATTATTTTCCTTTCAAACATCTTCTCATTTATTTGTGGCACCACAAAAGTTATTAAATATGTTTGGGCTCGACATCGAGGCCAGCAGAACAAATAAATTTTCTCGACAGTAAAAGAAGGTTATCGGAAAATTTCATATTCTTGGAGAAGTTTCGATGTCTGTGTCTTTTGCTGGCACAATTGTACAATGTAGAATTTTCATCAAAAGTATATCTAGAAACGGTGAATGAAGGAAAACAACAAATGAGCAAAAATTCTTTTTTTGGCACAAATTCACTTGACTACGAGACGATGACGCATCTTTCACTAGACGACGACTTTTTTTTGTAACTTCTCCCCTTCACATACCAGACGATAATTTCACAAAGTTGCATCATGTTCTTCCTGTCTTCTCATTCACATGTCACAGATCGCATCAAAGTTTTATAGCGAGCACAATTTGCGTGTTTTAAAACTCTCGATGCATTACGATGAAAGAAATAAAAATGAAAACTCAGACGGAAATATATCGTGTTTTGTAAATTTTTAAAAAGAAAAAAGTTTCATTAACTAGCTGTTTTGTCTTTCCAATATAATATGCGCTATAAGTTCAATCTGATTACAATATCGCTCTCCTTATTTATTTAACAGAATTGCAGCTGGAAAATTTTTGGGAATAAGATTAAACTGAATATTTCAAAATGAGATCAGGAAATGTTTCTAAATAGTTCTATAGATTAATAGATTAAAATTGGCTTTTGTTTCTCTTTGTCTCGATGATCTTATTCACCCTCTGAAACTGAAATCTGAAAAGTGCTGAGGTGTGGTTGCTTCCATTGTTCCATTAAGAACTTTATTATTTTTCTACTCTTTTGACTCTAGAAATGATCTCTTGTCTGTATAATTTCTAAAATTAAATCAAGAACAAGATGAAAAAATGCATTTCATGTTGTTGAGAACTGGTTTTTGGTTTCAAAAGATGACTTTAAAATTGACTTCTGTTCTAAAAGTTTCCTGTCTATTTAAACTCATTTCTCACTTTTTCTTCCATGTGAGTTGAATGCAAAGCCAAGATTGTGCCAGAGTTACGTGCGTGTAATTGTTTTACAGTGAGAAATAAATAATATATAATCAGAATAAAAAGTAGCTGATTAATGGAAGGTTGAAATAATCTTGGAAGGCAGTAGCAAGTCTCTCTTCAACTTTTGCTACTAACGCTAGTTATCGCCAATAAAACATCTGCGCTCGCACTTCAACAACTTTTTATCATTCAAATTCGTATTTTGAAAACTCCGTGGAGAAAACAACAAGCATGAAAACAAGAACATCGAGAATGTTAAATACAAATAAATGTATAACTGAAGTCGTATGCGTGATGCGGACTTCAATTTGTATGTCTTTATTGAAATTGCTCTTGATTCTCCTTTTTCTGAACAATTTTTTTTCTTGATTGCTAAAAATAAAAAAAATCTTTGCAAGCAACACTGAAGTAGCAATTTCGTGACTTTTTAGCCATTTGGTTTTCTTATATGTAAGTATTTAATGATTGATGTTCTGTTTTTCCTTGTTTTCTTTTTCTCTTTTTGATACTTTTAAGTTTCAACTTCCAAAAAAACCCTTGCAGTCGTCTTTTAATACCGAATAAAATGAACATTAATTTTTGCAATTTTTAATGCCTTAAGAGAGCAAAATACTTTAAAAGGAACAGTAAGGAATTATTGATTTTTTATATTTTTACAATGCCATTTAAGTATGTTTCGTTGCTCTTTTCTTTTTATGTATTCGCACTAAGCTGATAACTGTTTAACGTAAGCAAAGTAAAAATAAAACTTTGTGATTTTTGAACGAGAAAATCGTGAGAAACCGCGACAGGTGTATTTGTCTTCGTTCTTCCTTGATATAATTTGGATTAAAATGAAGGTATTTATGAATCAACGTATATGTAACATTCTTTTTTAATTCTTCTTTTTCATATTTTCGTTAGCCGGTGTCTCATTTGAATCCTGAATTAACACATAATGAAACGAAATAAAAGAAACATCAAGAACATTGAGCATATTAAGTTTTGAATTTTACGTATGAATTAAAGAAGATATCATTAATATTCAATTAAGGAAACATAATAGCAGCTTTGGTTTTAGGATTGAAGGAAAGATTTTTACACAAAGCGTTGGGGATTGTAAATGTAGATTAAGGTATTTCGACGCTTTTACTCTTTTAATAATTGAAGTCACATTCTTCATGTTATTATTGCGGTTTAACTTTGTATAAAGCGGTAACATGTAAAGTTTATTGATTTGGAAAAATTTCAGGTCTCAGATTATTGGATTTTGTCTTGTTTTCAACTTGAGAATTTAATGTGACAATGAAAGCATTTTCATTATTTTTTTACAATTTCAAGTTAAGATGATTGATTAACTTTCTAATGTACGCATTATAAAAATAAACATAATTAGCAAAGATTATTTTGTGCATAAACGAGAGGTTGAAATAAAGAGAAGATTAATGAATTCCTTTTGGATAAATGATTAATGAAATAAAGTTTTTATCAATGAAATCTTTTCCTCCTGGGTTTTGTCATTTCCTATTGTTTATTAATTTAATTTTCCGATATCACGAACGATTTATAAAAATATTTTCAACATGATGTCAAAAGGAAGAAGACTCTGTAGTAGTTAATAGAACAAAGGAATTTGATGATTCTTAAATCAATTTACGTTTACCTGAAAGTCTATATTTGATTGAAAATCCATTTTAAAACAAAGAAAATCACCGCTTTCCCATGTAATTGACCATTAGAATGATGGCATGCATATCTGAACAATACATGAAAGATTACGTTTCAAAACATATCCGTAATTATCCCTAATTTTGTGAGTTTTTCGTTCGTTCATCACGAAGAACCTTTTTCTGAACATTGATATTCGATAATCATTTCTACTCCGTGTTACTATAATTCATAACATAAAACCCGAGAAGATTCAACACGCGGTGCTATTTGTTTTTCAATTGTGAGACTCAGATTTGTGATGATAAAGTGGGAGGAACAACGAACGAAGAAATGAATGAATCCCAAGTAATCCCAAAGCCATCGGTAAATAAGCGATAATTTGAAACTCTTTCTATATATTATTGGAGTTAATGGTGAATTGAGGTGAATCAGAGAAATTTTTGATTTCCTGTCGATGATGCGAAGAAGCCGTAAATTCAAGATTTAATCAGCAGGTAAAAATGATGAATTTAACGCCAAAGCCAAGTAAAATGTCCATTAACAACTCCACAAAGGATTCGAAACCGAAGTTCGGCAAAATTCAAGTTAAAAGGAGAAACATAACGATTGCTTGTTAAAAAATGATTTAGAGGTTTTCAACTTAAAGTTTTTATTGACTATTGGAAACGTCAAATGCATTATTGAGGAACAAATGTTTTCAATTAAATAATTTCGATCATACTTATGCAGTAATTCAGCGTCTCCTATTGCTGCAGAGTGTCTCTGAAACTGTGCAAATTTTATTTAAAATTTTAGAGATTATTTGGGATATAAATAATTTGAAGTGATTTTTCTTTTTCACATCTCTGTCTAAGCAGATTTGATAGAAATTTTTAATTGAATCTTAAATTGCGACATGAAATGTGTTAAAGATTTACATTTTTTCATCAATCCATTTCGATGTTAAGAACGACATAAACCTTTTAAGCGCCATTTCGAGTGTTCACAAATTGTGAATCTTCGATGTTGCTTTGCAATGTTTCGAATTTCTCTTATAAATATTTCTTATATTCCTTTAAGCAATAAATAGACTTGAATTTGAAGCCTATGGCATTGTCAAAGATTGTGACAAGATTAGTGTCGTAAAGTCAAATATGTGCTTTAAATGGCAATCGAAATCGTTTTTGTTATTTTATTTCGAATTTCTATCTTTGGCGTTCTCTTTTACTACTCACTTGCGTAAAGCCGAGCATTAATCGATGTATGCGTGTTTATCAAAGCTCACAACCGAATAGATGGAAAGCAAAAATGTATAAATGATTTATCGAATCGACATTCAGCATCAGATTTAATGACAATTTATGTGTTTTAAAATAAATAAAACCATTTATAATCGAATTCAAAGACGCTTTTGGTCGTTTTGTAATTTTCTTCCGAATTGTTTCTCTCTTTTTATTATTTTTCCACTTTCGTCAGATTGGAATTTAATTTACCTGCTGTAAGATGCTTTTGATTTATTTTATCGTAAAAACGACGAAACGCGGCGCGCGATACTTTTAAGCTATTTCATGTTGTGCATTGATAAATTATGATTTTTGGGATGGGAGATTCCGGTTTCCCATCAAGGAGAAGGAGAAGAAGAAACAAAAGTCGTTACTAATTGCCTCACCTTCGTTTCCATAATAAATTGCTTTCCGATAGCGCATAACTGAAAATTCAGTTATAAATTTTTACGAGCTTTTATGCTTCTTTTTCTTCATCATCATTGTCATCATCGTCATCATTCACTGTTTGCATTATGAATTGTTTATTATCGCGTTTTTTATATCACTCGAAAAATCTCGATAATCTGAAAACAAACGAAGCTGCTAAGCAAATGTTAAACTCAATTGCTGATGAAAAAAATTATTGGAAAGCACATGAGAATTTATCGGTGCTGGTTGGATCAGATGGTTTGTTGTATAAGCACAAACATGTAACGAAAAATCTGCTTTGTTTAGACACGTAAAATGTGAATCGTCTACCGCGATGAAAATTTTATGTAAATCAGCACAAAATTCAAGAGCTAGATTCTAAATTCTTTCAGAATGTAAACAGCGAGACGAGAGAATCTGATGATCTGAAAGTTGCACTGACACTTGAGCGCGAATAAATAATGGAGAAAAAATGGAAATTTTTCGTAAGAAATAACACATTAATATGAATAAAATATCAAACATCAGTTCGATGAATATTAATGTAATTGATTTGCATATTTCGAACATTATTGTTATTTTTCTGTATCGCTTAGACTTCGCTTTTCTGGAGCACGAAATTTAAGATCATTTTGTGGTTGTCCGGCATCTTCTACATCTCCAACGATAATCGAGCCCACAATTTATTTCAATACTTTTCTCTTTATTGAACTTCACTTCCTTTTTCAAATTCTCTTTTCATTTTATGTCTTTGAAAGTAATGAATGTTAATAAGATGAACGTCGTCATCTTGAAAAGAAATATGGGTCGCAGTTGGTTTTATGACAGGAACAACATTAACTGTTTCTCACTCTCAGCTCTCAATCAAATACAGGATGTATATCTTGTACCTTTTTTTATGAGCAACACCCCTAGTAATAATTATCTGAAATGGTCACATCTTCGGTTGTTAATAAAACTCAAAAATCTGGGAAATAAAAATTTCGATGTCGTCTAGATATATATTTGTCTTAATACCAAACAATATTTCGACAAATCCGAATCTCTAAGCCTTTTAAAAAGTGTCAGCATCATTAATTTAGCATTAGTAATCGCTAATTAATTATCAAACAAAACAAAAACCATGTCCCCGCAATTAAAAATCATCAGATTCGCTACGGGTGACAAATTAACCGTGGAAATTAATTAGAATTTAATTTTCGGGTTTTAACGATTTGATAAATCAATTTTTGATAGAATATATGATTAGTAATTCACTGTTCTTAGAAGCGTTGGCGTAACGTTTTTATGTTTTTTTATTAAAATCTTCCCTGCTTGAGATGGGTGTCTAATATTTAACCAACAGCAGTCACAAACAAGAGATCAAAGTTTGTTCATTGCTTTTTAGATTTTTGCCTTCAAAAGTTAATTTAATAAAATCTGAAAAACTTAATTTGCTTGTATTTGAAGTGCATGATGAACTTGCTTGCATAAATTCATCAAAAACTTTATTTTCACAGTCATTTATGTATTCACCTTTGAAATTTTAAATTCGATTACATTTTTTACTGTATGGAGCGGCGACTTTTGCAATCATAGTTTTTTTTTTATTTATTATCAAACTCTTTTTAAACCAATGATAGTTTATTACGTTAACTGAGTACATCCATAATTTATGGTATTAAAAAATCCCGACTATGGGTTTACAACATGAACAACTTTAAAAAAAACTAACATTCGAAAGTGCTTTAAAACGAGCTGAACAGCAGTTCTGCAGCGGGTGAAAAGAACCCTATGTCGTTGAATATTGAGAAACTTTTAATAAAACTTCACTGAAAATACATCAAAGTCATGCACGCAATTTTTATGTTTCTGTATCATTAGTTTTGATAGATTTTGATTAACTACACGAACAGTTTTAATTTGACTTAAAACATTGAAAATATTAGAGAAGTTTTATTCATTGAAAAATGAATTCATCATTTGATATCTAACTTAATCCGCCAATCTTATCATGGTTATTCTATATTTAATTATTGAATGAGTAAAGAGATTTAATTATTAGATATTCAAACATTGTGATGAATAAAAGACATGTCATTCAAACGAAATTTGGTTTGATGTTTTGCATTAATAAATTATTCTTCGAAGTTTGAACTAATAATTAAAATGAGCGTTCTAAAGATATTACGTTGTTATACTATTTTGCACCTTTGGGTTTGGATTATTGCATTGCAATTTTTCATGGCAAGTAGATAGATAGAATTTATTCAAGTTTTTAACTATTTTACGCATTAATTGATGAATGTCAATTGCAGGCGGACAATTTTTTTCATGGATTCAATGGAATTAAAAGCAAAAAGCATTATGAACTTCTGTTGCTAATGGCGTTGTTTTATCTCTGTTTTCAAATGGTTCTGAAATCTGCAAAGTACTTTCTGATTAATTCGAACCACAAAATGGATGTACGAGATAGAAATAAAATTCCCACTACCTAATGGAATTCCATTAATTAGATTAAATTAAACATCATGTACAGCAAATGTGTCAGAATTAAAAGGCAAACTTTAAGGTGCTAGTTGAAAATGGACACAGATTATTCAGCATTTAGAATTTTGATTGCAGTAGTTAGTATAAATTAAAAGTCAAATAAATGACTACTTTAAGGTAAATAAGAATACAGTGAAACTTTGATAAGCCAATGGCTCAAGGTGCATCGGTTTATCGATTCATCGGTTTATCGAAGTAATTTCCAATATAAATTTGATTCAAGGGGGACAAAAAATATCGGTTTATCGAGGAATATCGGCTTATCGAAGTAACGGCTTATCAAAATTCCACTGCATCTGAGTTTCAATGAAAGTCTTCCTTCAATTTCACGATGAACATTTTTATTGGTCAAATTTTAATTTGGTAGTTTTCCTTTGAATGAAACTCCAAGAACATAAATTCAAATTAAAATAACAAATCAAAAATATATATTCAAAAAGTAATTTAATTAGCCTGAAGAAATTACTTAAATTGTTTTTAAATACGACACACAAATGAACTTAATTTAAAAATCAAGTCAGATTGAAAGATATCATGTCGTTTTCTTTTTTTTCCTTGAATAATTAAAACCAAATCAACAATCTCTGTTCACTTCCTGTTGCTGTATCAACGTCAATCTTTCGATAAATGAATGTTGCTTCTCGTTACGCTATGTCACTGTTCATTCGAAAAGTGAAAAACTCCCTGAATCAAAGGATGGAATGAAGAAAGTAAACAAAAAAAACTTATTTGATTCCTTGTGAAGGGAAAACACATGTCAATGTTGAAAATAATTTGAGTGACATGATCAGACATTGTTTGCTGGGGGGAGGCTACCAAGATTTACGAGAAGGAAAGTAAGCCGCCGTAAATCCCGATTTGAAGATTTATTTTTACTTTTACAATACATGAAATGATGAATAACTTCTGGAGTGAATGAAAAAGATTTTCAACATCTTTCATGTGTGTCGAGAAAAATTGGAATTTCCTTTAAAAATGTTTACAGAACTTTCGTCTCCGTTTTTTCTCCTTCTCTTTCTTCGAATTGTTTTCTGTTGTGTGTGCAACGTCAATCAACAATAATTGTCTGAGAAATAGTTGATTGACAACGAGATGAAATATTTTCTACCGAAAATCCTTTTCAGTCTTTAGAAAAGGTGTGAAGAAAATTTTTGAGCATGCGACAAGAAAGGAAAATTTTCTGTGAAATGTTTCGATAAAAGCGGCAGCAAGGGAAACGACATTCCATTATATCAATGAGAAAAACAGGCATTAAATAAGGTGTCTGCATGCTTATTACCAACAACGTATGCCGACAAAATTTTTGAGACATATCTCGTTAAAATGTCAATTCGTTAATGCGACGAATAAAATATTTTTTTTATGGTGATGGCGTTTAAAGCCTCAAAATGTCATCAAATTGAATGCGATTTAATTTTTCAAAATGACCAAACTATATACATAGGTAGTTTTCAATGTATTTACTCCTGCTTATGCTATGTGATTAAACGATTTGATTTAATCATTCGCCGTTAAGTTTTCACTATTTTTTCACTCATTCTAAGGCTGAACAGCTTTTCATTAAGAAATAAAATAATATCTCTGATCTGGAACTATCATCGTTTTTTAATTAAAAGTTAAAATTTTTAATGTCTAAATTTTTTTTCTTGCAACATAAAAAATAAAAAGAGGGTCAAAGGATCGTAAAATGTTTAATAATCATGAAAAAGAAAAAACAATTAAAAGCAGTAACACGAAGAAATTGAATTAGAAGTTTTATTCCCAAATTATCGTTGTCGTTAGAAATTAATTATATATTTGGTGAAGATAATGAAACAGAGGAGACTCGCGAATAACAAACGAATAAAAAATTGCGAAAATTTCATTTCCTCGCTTCGAAAGCTACATACTAAAATTTGTAAAATGAAATAAATGAAATTGAAAAGAACGAGAACAAAAAGCATCTTCGCTTTGTTTAATTGAATTTTATTGAATTTCTTCTCAAATCGAAAGTCATTGGAAATTTGTACTTTAAACAGTCGAATACCACATGATAAATTTGAATTCCCAACCATTCTCATTCGCGTGGTTGCTTCAAAAGCAGAACGAACAGAAGCGCGGTAAAACTCCAAGATAATAAGAACAAGGCTGTCCACAATATAAATGAGAAATTCATCATCCGAGATGAAAAAGAAGAATCGACTAAGAAAAAATACGAGAATTAAATAAAAAAATTGTGTGGATTATAAATAAAATAAAAAATATAAAAAGAAGCAAATGTTAAAATGTATCATCCGTTTCATTTCTTATTCTTCCATTCCAACATCTAATTTCTGTTTTCTCGCTTCTTTTTTTATGTATTTAATGCTTACGAATAGCAATGGCAAAATAAAAGGGCAAGGATGCTGCTTGCTTGTCTTTAATTAAAGAGAAAAAGATGATGAATATTCGGAGCGTTTAATTTCAGGACGGAAGCAGAGAAAAAGAGAACAAATATCTAAATGAATTCATTTCAATGGGTTAAAGATGACCCCAGTCAACAAAAGAGTTGTGAAGGTCGGATGTGTTTATTTATTTGTTGACTTGATTGCTGCTTTTGACGTAAAATAATTTAAAACCCAATAATTAAAGCTTGATTTAGTGAAGCGTCAAGGTATATGAAAGAAGAATAAGAAAAATTGCCAAATTAGTGATCGCATTCCCGCTGGGCGAGTGAGTGGTAAAAATTTAAATTGTGAAATTGTTAAATAAATATTTCTTTTACTCGTTTTGGCATTATTTATGCGTTTGTTTATTTAAGTTTTCAACAGCGCCTGAAATCTTTTTTTTTTTCAAATGATCAAGAAATGATGCTGCAACTTCGAAATACGTCACTTCATTCTGCTGGATGTTAGCTGCTTTACTGTAATTAATTTGTCAATGCAGTTCTCTCTGTTTTACTCACATCCCAATCAATTTACTCGTTCAGTATATTCATTATTGGCTTTCCTGGATGTGGTATTACAATGCCTGTGAGAAACACATAAATTATGCACATCAATTGATTTCAATTGGATTTTCAATTTTAGTTTTTAGCTCATGAAGCTTTAATTTGTTAAAGCACGGGGAAAGTGATAATTGTGTAAATAAGCAATCCAACTAAACGAATTGCAAATATTTACTGAATTTAATTATACCTCAAGAGAATGATTTGTAGCCTGAAGACTTGATTTTCATTTCTTAAGGATAAAAAATATTGTTAAGTAATTCAAATTTAACATCGATTATAATAAATAACACAAACTGCATTCTGACAGTCTTGAACTTCAGAACTATTTTCCATTCTTCCTGCAAAGATAAAATGCATAAATTATAATAAAAGTAAAAAAAATTAACAGAAAATTATCTGAATAATAAAGCTCTTAGTGTCGGTCACGACACTCAAAAGTTACTTTTATACTTTTCACTATTTAATTTTCCAAGTATTCAGATTTTTCCCGGTGGCTCCGCAGCAAGCAAATGATTATTGTTTTCATTTTTAATTCCGACAAGAAAGGAGAACAAAATGCCATAAAATGTCATCAGTGTCATCGTAAATAATATAAAATGTATTGAAATAATATTCACAAGCACCGCACTGTTGTTTTCATGTCATTGATATTTTTCATGATAGTGTGGGGGTGGCACAACATTATACCATTTCAAGAATTGAGTGAGAAATGTCGATCTTATTTCTATATTATCGAAGTTGCTTTGAAAAAGTGAGAAAATTTATCTTAGCTAGTCTAGCGATGTGATAATTTTGGGTTATATTTCGAAGTTGGAACGATTTTAAACTATGTCAATATGTGTCAATAATGCGATAACTTCAACTTACATTTGTTATTTTTCTTCGTCGACTGTTTGCCATCACATGTTTTAAATTTTCATCGATTATTTTTCTATGTGCTATGGTACAACCCTAACTTGAACATCAGTGAATACATTGGAAAAAGAATATTATGAAAATGTGGTAGCAAATAAACAAAAACTATTCAAATATGGTTATTTTTATTCGTGGTTATTCATTTACGTTTTAAGTTAAAACAGAAAGAAATGTAAAACCTTATGTTCTGTGTTTTTAACTATTATTTCATTGCAGTTGTCATTTGCGTACTCTCAATTCTTTCCAATAAATCTTAAATTTTATTATTCTTGTTTAAAGCCGACCTTAGAAGTTTAAGAGTGCGAAGGTGTTGATAGTCGATTCAGTTTCTGAGAAAATATTTTTTCTTTTATTGTAAGTTATCATGCGAATTACACAAATTTTCTGTTAAAATGGTGAAGCAAAAAAGCTAATCGAAAAAGAAATTTATGATGTTTTGCGAAACTTTATCTAAATTCACATAAATTTATTTTAAGTCGCGAGTTTGTTACAATTGCATGCAAACAATCAATTGAGACAGTGGTGGCGGCGCTTAGGTATTTAATTGAGCCAAAACTTTAATTAATTGAATAATTTGATGATAACAAGAATCCGTCGTGTTATTTCTACGTCATTCTCTTTTCCATTATAAAAATTTCGCTTTTTCATGTGGAATGTCGAGTAAAATACACAAAAGGCACGAGAAAAATGTGTTTGTATGTTTAATGAAAAAAAAAACTATTTTGTACTACAAATTATGTTTTTGAATGATATTATGAAAAGAAAAAAAAATTAACATAATTTGAATAACAAACGAGCTTGAGACTTGGGGTGAGACGGTAAAAGAACGACAAGCAAACAAACAAGGTAATGACAGTCGAGAAACTATTTTGTCGCTTTTGTATGTTAAAAAAATGAGTTCGTGGTCATTTGATGCGAACTGTTAAATGAAGAGGTGAATACCATGAATTAAACCTTTTTTTGTTGTTCAAGTTGCAATGATACATGGGCAATCAGATTTCATGACACATCCCATGCACATTCAGTTTAAATCATACAGAAATTAGTAGAAAGTTTAACAACAGAATAATTTCAAAAGATTTTTTTCTTTGTAAACCATGCCGCATATTTAAATCTTTCCCACTTCATTTCTATTCAATAAACAAATTGCTGAGAAACGAGACGAAAATATTATTCTGTCAAAGAAATAAAAGATGAGTTTTTTCTCTTACATTTGAGTGAAGAATGAGCAAAGGACAAGAAAAGCTGTGCAAAGAATGTTGAACATGAAAAATTATCACGCATACTTTACGCATCTGTTGACTTGACATCGAAGACAAAAAAGGACGTTGACACTAGCAAACAACCGACTTGGTGCCGATGTTCATTATAATAATGATTGTGATGATATGTTGTTGTTCAATGGATGTAAGCGGATGATAACATGAACTGAAAGTTATATTTCTATATATAATATAATTATGTACCTGATTGTACAGCATGTAGTTTTCGATCTCAATAACATCGTGAACAATTAAGTCACATTCTGGTTGTTATTATTACTGTTTATTCAGTATCAATATCAAAATCATCAAATTTATCAGTGCGATGTTAAGTAAGAAAAAGAATAAAAACTGAGAAATTTACAGAATAGTACAAACCACAATGTCGTAATGATTTTAATGACATTTGGAAGCGAAAACAAAAGGAAAAAAATCGCATGGTAAATAACACAACAGTTGTGAACAAACATGAATGTAAGAAAGCAACAAAAGCGTTACTAATATTATAATTTGACAATTTCGTTTATCGTTTCATTATGCGATGGGAAAAAACAAGAACAAAACTGTGGAATGTTTTTAAAATATAAAAAAAATAATGTGAGGGAGAGAGCAACGAAAACGACGAAAAGCATACGATGAGAAATTGTAAGAAGATGAAATTGAATTCGGTTTCAGTTCCCATCATCGAAAGGTAAAAAAGAATCAACGATTTAATGAATTTGTCGCCAAACGATTTAACGATGCCTCATTTTCATTTGGAAATGATTTTTCCACATCAAATTTCCGCGAGTTGTTTCCTCCAACACTCTAATCTGTTTCCATCACGTTTCGTAATGAATGAAAAATACTATCATCATCATCGAGTATAATTTACATTTTAATTGTTGGGTGAAAATGAGTAACGAAAGAAAAAAAGAAATTCATAAAATGAAAACTATTTATTCAGATGGCTGGCTGCATATCAAACTCTGTATCTGCTATAGAGGGAATAAGCGGCAGCAATAAAACCGTGATCACTCACTCGAAGATATAGTTAAATTGAATTAACAGTTAAACACAAACCACTCAATTACGCTATTTGAGAACTGAGACCCGCTAGCAAAACTGAGTGTTTTTCTTATTGCTTGCTCTGTGAAACAAACAGATGAATTGATTGATTGATCACAGGAACATGAATCAAGAGCTTTTGTCAAACGTTCGACATTCAATCAAAATGTATTAGAAATGATGTGGGCAAGAGCTCAATATCAAGAGAAACATTTCTCTATGCCAATAAAAAGCAATTTTTCTCATGGCAAAGACAAGGCATCGAAGCAATAAAACCAGAAATTGCCTTTTGGTTAATTGTCCGAGCATAAAATATGTTATTAAAAAATTTATTAATTTCCTGCGTCATTCAACTTGGAAGAGCAATTACATTAAGAATCAAGAGAATGTTCCTTTATGTATGTAAACATATGAACACGCATGTATCCAGCACACATATGCACACATACTAAAGCTCTTTTATTACCTTTTATATATATCTGCTTTAATAACATGAGATAAATCATTTAAAAATGAGACAGAAAGCAGTTCCATTTTTGCGTATTAAAATTCATCAATGCCAATACAATTACATCAATAAACATCGGTGGACGACAATGATCTGAAGCAGCAATGTCTTCAAATGTTTCATATCTACTTATTATTTTCTGGATATTTTTCGAACATTTTCTCTTTTTATTTTTGATTTAATGTCGCCACACACAGATCATCTTTTACATATTATAATGATGCTAAAAGTCTCGATGATGATGATGATGTATTGTGTTATTCCTATGCTAATATTTATGTTTATTATTTATGTTAAACCGAGAATACATACCAAAAGCAAAGCATTTAAATATAAATAGAGCACATTTAGATCTCATATAATGCAAATATGATGATGCTTTGGCATTTCAAGGCTCTTTTGTCGACTAAATCTGTCTGTATCTCAAAGAAGGAAAGAAGGAGCTAAAGTAGTCTAGGCAACCGAATCAATAAAGCGAATAAACAAATATTTAATTTTATGCTATTATTCTTTCATCTCAAACTCCTGGTTTTAAACACTCAGAAAACCTTGAAGCAATAAAATATTAAATTTTAAATCCTTTTTCTCGTTCCACCCACAATTCCAATAGATAAACAAAAAGCGAGAAATGAGAATTTATTCACCTTCTTTGATTTCTTACTTTGAAATCAAAGCATAAACAAGCATAATACAGCACAACAGCAGACCAGAAACAAGCAGAAAATTCTACATTTACACACAGAAACTGAGTTGGATGAAAGATGAAGAAAAGTAAGAAGATTGTGAGGTTTGTTGAGAAGACGTATAAGACGTGAAACTGTCGCATTTTCTGTATTAAAAAGGATGTTATAAACCTGTCAGAACGAAGCTCCGCAATAGACAGAAGAAATAACCGCAAAACGGCTTTTCTTACGGCAAAAGAGTGGAAGAAACAAAGATGTAAGAAGAGGCTTGCAATATCTCATAAATATGTATTCATAATGTTAAGGAGTTTCGTAATAATTGGGAGGAAAATGTCATGAGACGTGGTACATGATAGTAATCGAAAGCCAAGAAGAAAGACTTCAAAACTTTATGATTGGTCGGTGTTGATCACAAACTTCAAGTGTACTTGCAGTAACAACTTCAACTTCTTATTAATGTTTCTCGTAAATGTAAATTTATGAATGCGAAATTAACAATACAAAGCGTCTACTGCTACTACTGCCCTCAAGCACTGTATATTGTCGCTGACACTTAGAGCTAACATGCAGTGTTTCTTCGCGATATCTTCATCCACATTTTCTTTTTAATTCCCTTTGCTCTTCTTGTGTAATTTTGAGATGCTGCTCGTTGCTCAACATAAAACAGCACCGACATGAAAGTGCAATGTCTCTAGATGGCTTTTTGTCATGTTGCTTTTGTTCTGTTGATGAAAATATTCTCATTCACATGAACTGAGCGCATGTTATAGAATGTAAATATTTAATAATTCAAGAAGTAAAGTCGACAATATTTCTCTCAACAGCAAAGCCGCGATAAGATTTTATGATGAAAATTTTGTACTTTTCGGCTTATGGTTTTGTTTGTTGAAAGAAAAAGTTTTGACCTATTTTCGGTTTTCATAATTTATATTTTTTTTGTTAAATAACGTTAGGGGAATTTAATAGTAAATGAGAAGATGTGATGATTCCGGAATTTCATCAATTTACAAATGATTAATGCATATTTCTTTCAATCAAAAAAAATGTTGCAATAAGAACTGTGAATGCCATTCAAAAGCAATTCTTTTAATCTCCAAAATATGTGCATACAGTAAATGACATTGCAAAAAGGAAACGAATCCATTTGGGGATTAAGTTTAAAATCATTTTCAACAAAATCAGATTAAACCTTAAAATGGAATTTGTTTCTATTTCAAAGCTTTAATGCAACGATTGCAATAAAAGATTCGTAAAATTTCTATCAGCATTGTGTAATTTCCAATCATGGACTTTAAATCCATAAAATGATTTTTATATCGTCCGAGCATTAATTTTGTATCAGGTTCTTGCCAGCTGGCTTTAAAAAGCATCTCAACAAATTGTTTCTGAATAATGCAACTTGTAATTCCATTGCAATTAGCGTCTGTACTTATCTTTTTGCATTTCTTATACCACGTCTTGGCTTTTATTTTCCATCCACTGAACAAAGATATGCGAAGATCGGAGACATAGTACATAAAGTGACTTCTTCTGCAGCAAATTACTTGCAATGCGAAAAGAAGCGTCGTTTGTTTGAAAGCAAGAAAAAAGAAGAAACACGCAAAAACTCATCGACTGAAGCACTTTAAAAGAGAGAACGGTGATTTCAGAAAAGTGTGACCACCTGCATGATCTCGTCCAATCACAACAAAGAGGGATCAAGTGATTTCTCTTTTACGCAAGGTTCCTTCTTTTACGATATGTTGAACTCTTACAAGTCGATTTTAAGTGCCTTGTGATGTTGAGATTGTTATGCTGCTTCATTTATTGAACAAGAAGTGAAACAGAAAATTGATCTGGAAACCTGTTTTTGAGGTTCAAGTCATTTATACAATTTTAGTGCCTTAATTCTCGTTCCTTTTTTTTGAAAAATAAAAACAGAAAAAGTTTGGTAATATAAACATCAACATAAATGATATGATCTTAAAATATTCTTGTGGTTGATGTATTAAAAATATGTAGATATTATGTATATTTCTTGGTTATCGCATTCATTTCAGGGGCAAGATTTTAAGGGAAAACTTATATTTACCACCCGGTAGATCTACGAGTGTTAATGAAGATGTTGTTCAGGAAAGATTAAATTTTTTTATTTTTATTCGCTGGGTTTGACTTCATTTTATGTGTACCTTAAAAGTAAAAACCCTTTCATTAAGACAATCAACAAGAAATTGAGAAACTTGAATACGATAAAATTTCAACATTACGTCTTTCGTCAGGTTGTTGGTAATTCAATAGTCGTTCGGTTGACTTTTTTTTTCTTTTGCTTACTTTTTAAAGGAATAAAAAAAACTGCAGCATCTTAAATTTCATCAAAACAAGACACATGAAATATTTTTTTTCTTTCGCTTTGTGGCTTTATGAGCCTTGAAAAATTGTGGTAATAATCAGGTTCTTCTACATAATCATTTCGTCTCTTGTTACTTCTTTTATGACTGGATACTTGTCGAAGCATTGAAACCCTTCGTAAAGTTATTTTTGCGGATTGATCTTGTTTATTTCTTGGAATTACACAAACACCAGAGCAATTCAGAAGTTCTTTTGATTTGATTTTTTCGATAATGTTTGAAGAAAATAACAAAATAAACATGAACGATTTGAATCTTAACATGTTAATCGCAATATTCTTAATCGTATGAGTTTTTATTCTCTTTCTTTTCAAAAATCTTGCTCACTTTTTTTGAGACAATTCAATTCTAGCGATGGACATTGAAGCTGATTGCTGGGGATAATGTTCAGATTTTTCAAACGAGATTTAAAATAATTTTCTCTCGTTTTTAGAAGAATAACATCAGCAAGAAAGCAAGCAGAAAAGAAAAAAAAACAATTTGCATATAAATATTTACCTCGTTCGTATCTTTTGCCACTGCACTTGGTTGTCTCTGTCACTGAATGAAGTAAGATGTTCCTTTGTTTGTGGCTATCTTGTATGAAACCTGAAATAATGAAGAAGAAGAGAGAAATCTTATTATGCGCATCCTTGTTGTTGAATTAAAAATGAAGAATTACGATTAAATAAAACACTCGCTCTTAAGAGAAGAGAACTCTTGTATGTGTTAAGAAGCGAGAAAGAAAACAAAGTTCAGTGAACATCTTGGCTTGACAATTACTAAGTAATCTTAAAATAAACTGTTGGAAGACGCAGCTGAGCTTGTTTGATTTCAAATCAACACCAAAAGTTTATTTCATTGGTTTTTAATTAAATTCTCACTGAAACTCAAAGATTCCTGTTACTATCGTGAAGTGAATTTTGCGACACGATAAAACATTTATTTCCACGACTTGACGTTGCCTGTTTGCTGAGTCGCAGCAAAAAGAAATTATGAAGTTTTATTTGTAGATAACTTTTTTTTCTGCTGTGCTGTTAAAGAATCTAAAAATAAAGATTTAATGAAACGAGAAACAAGTTTGATTTTAGAAGTTTTCAAAATTAAGTAACCTTTTGTACTGTATGTTAACTTATTTTGCTGTTTTTTGGACGATTTAATTGGATTTATTTACAACGAAGTAGCTAATGTGGACAAAACTGAAATCTTTTCCATGAAATTCGTTTTTCAACACGATACTAAAATATTTTCCTGCTCGTTTCATTCGAAATTTCATAAAAGGTGTCGTGAAAATGTGGCATCTTAATGAAGCTTTACGTCCTCAGAGTGTTGTAAAAGTATTTTCACCAATGCGGAAAAAGTATTCCGCTTTATATATTGAAAGAAACGTTTGCATCGTCCTGTCTGAGACTACAAATAAGTTTCCAGTCATCGACAATGGGTTTTAATTTAATTTAGGATTTAACAAACATCGAAACTCTTTTGAAACTTTTGTTGAACTCACGATATGTCTTCTTTTTCTCTTCCTCTTTTCTTTGTGTTAAATTATGCAAATTAATTTTGATTGCTTTACATTTGTACGAAAGGAATAAAAATATTCTCGGGCTGTGGATGTTTATTGGGGTATCATTTCTTTCCCTCTCCTTCTAAATGACTCGAAATAAGACGACTAATTTGTTCACGAAAAGCAAACAAAAATTTTAGTTGATTAAGTATTAAATGGGTTTTTATTCTTTTGCTCTTGGATGTAGCAATGATGAGTATAATAATGAATTAAATGACCAAAGAAAATGAATTTCAGTGGCGAATTTATATATTCACAGGTGAAACTTTTAATTTTTTGTTAAACATGTTTTTTTCCCTTTAACTTTTATCATAAAGAAATTGTTATCGTTTTTGCCGGCACTTTAAAAGTTCAAACTAACCACATAAATATCAATTGCTTATCTCAATTGATTTCATAATTTGGGTTCGTTTAAAAATCCATTGACTAAGATATCAGCTTCGAGCTACTTTATATGTTTTTCTTGACGCAGGTAGCAACGCTCCCATTCAGCATTTAGCGCCTTATCAAACGAGAAAACGTTTTAAAATAAATTTCGTCAATAAAGTGTTCAGCCTCAGGGCTTCCATTGATCCGGTAGCTCAAGAAATAATAAATATTTAAGATAAGGCTCACATCACAGTTAAGTAAAGACGAAGACTTAATTTCCATTTTCCTCTTCCGGAAAACAGAGGAATTTATATTAAATGGTAAATGAGTCTACAAAATCATTGAAACCTGACGATATCAAATTACGGAATTTTACAGCTTTACGCAACGGGATAAACAAGATGAAGCAACACAATGAAAATATTCTTTTAAATAATTTCATTTCATTCTGATAATTTGAAATAACATTTCATTTGTTTATTGGTTGACCGTGTATAGTGATTTTTGAAAAACAAATAATTTATATAATTTATCTCAATCATCGATACGTTGTCAGGTTTAAGAACCTGCTTTCAGTTTCATTTCACTATTCAATGGACGCCACCTGATCACTGTAGCTAGTGAGTTTATTATATATTTTTTTTCCAAACCCGACACTTTCGTCTAGAAGTTATTGTCTCGATTAATGTTCGAGCTGTTGAAATTTTAATGAAAATATTTATCATGAGTTTAAGTCAAATTGACATGAAATTTCCATAGTTTATTAAAGTCTAGCAACAACATTTTTCTATCGTTTCCATTGAGATTGAATAATTTTTCCCTTCTCCAGTGAACAACATAAAAAACTTTTTTAACTTAGAATTATAATCACTTTTGGACTAGTTGCCGTCATCTTAATCAACGAGGACATCATAATGAGAAAAAGGAGATGAAAAGTAAATTAGAAACTGTATAAAAAAGACATTACAGCTATCAACAGGTAGATTTAACACCTAAAGGGCATTGATAAAGGTTCAGACACACAAGAAGAATTGAAGGAAGAAGAAAATTCAAAGAAAGGAATAATGAAAACATCTTTCAATTCAATGTACATTCAATTCATTACGATGATAATACTGATGTCAGTGGTTAAATGAGTGGACAAATACTCTTAATGCTGAATATTTTGTAGGATAGAATTCTCGAACATTAATATTCTTCGTCTACTGAGCAATAAAAATCACAAATGAACATTCAAAGAAGCATAATTGTGCGACATGACTCTTTGAATAAAACTTACACACATAAAAGTGATAAAACTTTTTTTAACTTTCATTCACTTTCATGCAAAGTCCGAAGTACTAAGTCTGTGATAAAATTGGTTTTCGTCAGACATGAAAGTGAAAAAACAGGACATCGATAAGAAGAAAAAAGTCCAACCGAGAGCTCTTTTCCTTTTCTACTCCTAATAACTCAAAGTATGCCACCTGTGGTGACGACATTAAATGAAAAGGCAAAGCAAATGATGATAGAATCTCATTTCTCCGTCTTGTTTATTTATGTGCGTCGTCAAACACGAGGTTTAGTAAACTCATAATAGATTCGATTGAATGATTCTCAACTTTTCTTCTCGTCCACTCACTCACGTCTCGATCGCTTTCCATTGAGGCAGAGTCACAGTCTGTTTTATTAGGGATTGATTGTGATTAATCAGATGGAGAAATTTTTTTCCTTTTGGATGAGATTATTTCGCATCAATTCAATTCGAAAGCCTTTCGAGTCTTTTATTAAGCCAAACGACGCAACAGGAAATTGATGAATATGTTTTTAATATCTTTCTGCTGTGAACTTCGCTTCCTAGTGCTTTTGTTTTTATCGTTTTTATTATGGAATATATGTACATTCAAGAGTCGAGATTTGTGTCGCGTCCCATAAGAGAAGACTTCATGATTAACTGCTAATAATGCTGATTAATTAGGGCTCTCAACCAATTACTAAAGCCACTCCAGGTCTCAGTCAGGCATGCAGAACGTGTTAATTAAGAAAACATGTTTTTCACATCTAATTTAGATTTTTGGGAGCGCGTAAAGAGAATTTATTAGAAACAACAGCCGAGCGGTGAATATTCTTTGATATTCAGAAGTATTTTAATTTCACTTCGAAAATTACTTTTTAATCGATAACCAGATTGGCGTTTTCAAAATGAATTGACATCCAGTCAATTAAGTTCAGAAAAATCATAGTTTGATGGAAGAGAAAATCACCAATTGATAAGAGATTAAAACTCAACTTTGGTGTTTAGCTTTGAAAGGCAATAAAAAGAGAATGAGAAAGAAAAGCTTTAAGCTTTTAATTCAATTATGTAGATAATATGAGAGCTATTTAGCTAATGGCTTATCTCTCATAGAAAGAAAAACATTTTATTTCGTTTCTCATCTCTTCTCCCTGGATTGAATTCTAAATTAGTTTTAATTAGGTGATGGTTTCTTCTTTTTTCGCTTTTCGCCTGTTTTAAAAATATCGGTTTCATCTGTTGAAACTAACGAACTGTTTTGCTGAATTGATGAATAAATTTTACATATTTCTTTATCAGATAATTAAGTGGAGTATTTTTACGGATCGAGATGATGAGAAAGAGTTGGAACGAATTGAAAATGCTTCTGTTGCTTCTCTGAAAAAAAAACTTTCCGTATTTCGTTCATTGATCGCTAGCGGTTATTAATTGACGCTAATTATGCTTGCATGAAATTATATGATGCGTCTTAAGGTGAACTATTAGAAGAAAATGAGAGGTGAATGACATCACCTTACTTGAAATCACAGACAATGACACTTCATTCAAACTTGAATATTAATTAACAGCCATCAGTTTTCATAGGATTTTAAGTGTCAATTTGGATTAAAATTCTGCGATGGTCTCACGTCTCTCGACAAAATGAAGCCATAAAGAAATTGAATCGACATTTGATTTCATTCTAATCAATTTTTTATTCGGTTCCTTCTAATCTGTCGCTAATTCCTATCGAACATGACTTCACATCGGCTTTCCAGTATTTGTTCTGTCTCGAGACGTTATCGCATTAAATACCCATTCGAAGAACGTTATTTGAAAGACAAGCAGCAAAAAGAACGCAAAGGCATCACATAATCCGAAGCGAATTCCGCTTTTAATTAGATAATTAAGCATGTATTTGAAACAACTCTTATAGAAGAATGAATAACAATTGAAAAACAAGAAAGGCGAAACAAAGAGCGAGTAAGAGATATGGAGAGAGAAACTTTGTCTTATGTATGTTTAAACGTGTATGTGAATAAATTAATTCTCCAAACAACAAAAACAAAACTTTCATGATAAAGTGTCGCTCGCATGTTGGATGTCGTATTTTGTACGGTCAAACCAAAAAATAAAACTTTTTCCTATGTTGAAACGATTCGACGTCTTCTAGTGAGCAATAGAATGATAAAAAAAATTAAGGCTTTACATTCTTCGTGGCTGTGTCATATTTAAATTTATTAAATAAACGTTAAATTTATCACTTTGATCATTTTTATGAATTCACCATTTTTATGAATTTACTATTTTATGAGTTAGATAATCTTCTTTACCTTCATCATTGGATTGAGTGCTTTATCTTGGACGGTTGTGATGGAAATGGACGAAGCTTTTAGATTACAGTTTTATAGGGCAAAAAGTTATTTAACTTATGTATTTGAATTTCATAAAAAATTCTGATTAAGTTTCTCGTCTTAAGATTTCGACGTTTATTTAAAGTCGTAAAACCTTTACAAATCTCGAGCATATTTTGAAATCACTAAAAAATATAATGATAAACAAATGATCAGCAATCTTCCGTTGTCATTCAAGACCTTCCTTATTTTGATTTTATGTAAATGGAAGATTTTCAGTTGAGATTTTTCTATTGTCGTTGTCAATTCGTGAATGAACTGAAGAAAACGACAATAAATTAACATATTTAGAAAAGTATATCACGTGAAAACTGGCATGACGAGATCAATAACATGTCTTCTTCACAAGAGCTCTGCTCTTTCCTTTAAAAAGGTGACATTATGAATAAGAAATTGCTTTTAAAACTTTTTTGACTCGAGTGGTTTAATCATCGGAGATAAATTAAGTTATTCGAAGAAGATACTAAAGATTTATCGCTGATTTTTCGACGTGATATCCTTTCAGCGCATACTTTTTTACTTTTAACTTCTCTCGTCAAAAGAAAATTTGTTATTTTAATTCGTTTTCAGTTTTAACGACGTTATTCGATGCTAGATAAAAAGAGGCGCGAGAACAAACGATCCAATGATTATTCTAAACGACTACGAAGAGCGAATATACAAAAACTAGCTTTCGCTTTAATTCGAAAGCAAAAAATCGTTTTCAAAATAAATAAAACGATATACTTAGTATTGTCATAGATAAAGCACCGCAAAAGAGTCAGAATCTTTGGTCGTAATGAACGAGAAGGGAATATTTGGAATGTCGATAACTGATACCGAAAAAAAACTTGATTTCGGACTCAAAATCAGCAGTGAAACAGAGAAACAGAGAAGGAATAAAAATCTAGTAGAGTTTTTGACAGTCAAGAAATAAAAATAAAATTTAATAACAAATGTTCGCCGATTTACAATGGAAAGTTTAGTGATAGCCAAACATGTTATTATACTCGTGAATATTCCAAGCCCGAAACTCACGTCTCGAAATCGAAATTTTTAAGGTGTGTTGAACATCACACAGCGAGAAATATTTGTTTACATTTACGGTGGAATCGCCATATTAATGTCTTTTTTTTCTTGTGGTTTATTATTGAAAATTTATGACGATTATCCATACATAAAACACAAAAGTTTTGTTGTTTCTTAAGCTTGGAAAATTACGGAAAAATTTCAATTATTTTTTTCTCTACCCACGACCTTGATTAAAGGTTGAAAGGAAGCTTCATTTTCCATTGCCTGTTGAGTCATTACGTATGTAGTCTTCAAACAAAAGTCTTTTATGGATTGAATTTCAACTATGACAGCAGTAGCCAATGGCAGTGATTTCATAGAATAATATTGCGGCCAACATTCCCACCCTCCAGTGTCGTGTCTCGACCGAAAAACAGAACGTTTGGCGTGTCTAATCAGCATTTCGCTTAGCAGATAAATTAATCTTTTCGTTTTTCTCTTTTCATTACAGACTTCAGTGAAGCCTAGTCACAGGCAGCCTATCATGGGCAACAATCACTGGTTATCAAATGATAAATTGCGATGTCAGTCTTATTCAATGTCGAGATCTTGAACACATTTTCGTTGCTCCATTCTTGCCTTTCTCCGCCTCATCGATTTGTTTGTATAAGCAAATTTTACAAAAATGAATTTTACGATATTTTTATTAGGATCTCTTTTCGTTTCTCATCCCCCTCTTCACCCCGAATCATCTTCATTGCTTTCCTTTCTTTCTGATGAAGGAAGCACATTATCAACATGAAAAATAAAAATTTCTATAAAATCATCTTTTCAAAAACGACATCAAAATTTTTGTTTTCCTTTCTCGTACCACGATCATCGTTCAATATCGAACAAAAAGTAAAATTGTTTACTTATCAATTTATTTTTCGTTTACCGTTCACTTTCAACGCCTTTTCTAAGATGGTCTTTCTCTTTTAGAAGAATCTTTGTTTAAAGGAAATTTTATCTCAACCGAACAGTAAGTACAAAAGGACGTGTTAATGTTTTTGTTGTTTCTTTTTAAACTCCCTTATTTCACAACCATCTCCGGGATTTATGGTGAAAGTGACGAAAGCGACAAACAAATCAGGTATTTTAGATTTGAATCAAACCTCGCAGCACTTGGAAACTTTTCTTTGTTCAACAACGCAGATATAAAGTAGGAAGGCACTTTGAGAATCTTCCTCAAGGCGAATAAACAAACAAAATTTTATCACAAACTCTTAATTAAAGACAATGATGATGATTTATTTTATTATGCTTTCAAGGGAAAAAACAATCTTTACTTTATCAAACCCTTTCTTTCGTCACTTCTCCACCTCTTCTCTGTCTTCTGTCTTCTGCATTTTGTATTTTGTTATTAGCAAAACTGCTTAATGAAAAATTTGTTTGCTTTTGTTTAGTTTTAAATGTTGTTCTTTGAACTTTCACCTTCTAAGCGTAAATCGTTTTCTTTCTTCATGTGTACAAAAAATATATTATTCAGCTATGTTTATATATTCTTATGCTAAAATTTATTTAGCAGCCAAATATGTTCTCGTCTGTCTATCATGAAAGCCAAAAAGACTGATTCTGGTAGGAATAAAGAAAACTACAAACATTGCAGGTAAAACGAAACAAAACAAATATCAATATTAATTAAAAGACATCGAAATCGTGTCGCTTCGAAAATTGCTTCATTTCATCTCGTTAAAAGCAATATTTGTCATCCACGACGGGCAAACAAAGATGACTAAAAGCTTCACACTCTGTTGATTTACGCATTTGTGGCAATAAATTAAGCTTTTTCGTTTATTTTTCTTTATTTTATTCAAAGAATAAGCATGTAAAGCGTGGTTTTCGACACTTCAATACTTTAGAGGTGAAGTTATGGCGACGACCTTCACGAAGAATTTCAATTTATGCATTACAAAAAAACATAAGCTTAAGATATCAAACGTCAAGATAAAAAAACTACGTAGATAGCTTAGCTTAGTGAAATCACATCTTTAAAAGTGGCACAAACCGAAATGTTGAAGTGTTGCTGTTCTTGGGGTGAGGTTTGTCGTTAAACTAGTTGAATATTTCAGTTTTGAAAGACTTAAATTTAATCTTAACGCATAATAAGTTGGAACATTGATCGGATTCTACTTTAAACTGTTGTAACCGGCAGTAATTTAGAAGGCTTATTCACCAATAATCCAATAAATATTATAATTTACTTGCCACCCTGACATCTAGAAGTCTTGAAAATGTGCCAAGCAACTTAACTTAAGTGATATTCGTAACCATCTTTTTGTTAATATTACCAACATTTATTCGCACTTAAATATTCATTTTATTGTTGAAAGACAAAGCGAATGAAGAGTTTTTGTGAACGATGCGCAGCTTTTTCAATTCGTTACGCCAAATAAAATTAAATATCAAAACAACAATAGGACGAGAAAAAAGAAAAGGTTAAGAAAGTGTTTTTGTGTTATATTATTTTGACGCTTTTTATTTCCTTTTTATACTATAGCATGTCTTCATATGATGGACTGACATAAACGCGCTAATTAATTACTCATCTCAACATTCGTTAAATGACATTCAAGTGGGCTCACTTGAGTTTTGCGAGACTTATTCTGATGATAAATTGGTTACAATTTCATGATAATGAACCAGTTTTCAATCTTCAACAGTGCCGACGACTTGTTGTTTCCACTATTAATAATGTTTTTCGCTTTTCACGAGCTCAAATCACTTGATGTATTTTTATGCTTTCTTTCTTGTATCCCCACAGTTATTCTTTCATTAAGTCGCATGCAATTCATGAAGTTTGATTAATAATCTAACACCACATAAAGAAAGGAAGAAAAAAGACAGCAAAAGAAAGAATCTTGACGTGCGATTGCAATCGGAAACAGTTGAGATAAAATAACAAAAGATAACAAATTGAAGTTAGTTGAAATGTCAGCAGAACAATGAATAATTGAAAATTCATTAAAAGCGGATGCTTTGTGAGGTCAATTAGATAAATTCGATTGCAATTCTTTTAATGGCGATTCTGACAAATTAAACTTATGAATCGATCTGAAAACGCAGATTCAATTATAATAACAACAATTTATTCATGAAATTGCTTCAAGTGCTGGAAGTGTTTAAATGTTTTCAATTTACTCACCGGCAGTGTCTGCGAATATGACAAAAAAAAATTAAGCATTCATTTGGAATGTTTCACACTCTTTAAAAGGTGCATGGCGCCAATATTTAAATCAAGTTTTTAGTCGCATCGACAGACTTCTCTCCTAGTTGTGTGTGCATTTATAATTAATGGCGTGGTTAAGTTGTAAGCTCATTTAATGTATTCAATTTTAATAAACTTTTATCTAGCGAACATATTCGTGAAAAGAAACCTCAGACTGAGATCAGCTGCGGCAGACAATTATTGACATTTATATTATGCCATTTACTTTATATAAGAAATGCCAGAAAAAATATTTCGTAACGGAAACAACAAAAACGACGTAATGATACACGAAACAAGATTCGAAAGATGTGAGGAAAACGAAGAAATAAAAAAAACTTTGTTTGCCTTGAAGCTTGCGATGATGTGTGGGCGTCGTTTCTCAGCTTTAATATATGAATAACTTTTTATATCTCGTTGGAAGTTTAACTTTTTCAGTTTCTTTTTTTGTTTGTTATTGGGTTGTTTTGCTTCAAAGTTAAAGTTAATATCAGGTAATTACAGACAAGTTTAGAAAGCGATATTTTTGTTCTAACTCAACCAGATCTCCTGACTATTTGATACAAATTTTCTTTAGTTTTAATATGAAGGGTACGAAATTGAATATTTACGTTGCCGAGCTTTTTTCTAACTGATTTGCACGCTATGTATCAAATTCAATTAGAAGGACGAAAAAAGTCCTTAATGAGGTAATTTATTTGGTGCTTTCATGTCTTTTATGTAACTCTTTTACAAAAAAATTTTTGAAAAGTTTCGAAGAGAAATTCAAAGGAACTTCACACGATGTTCGAAGGTTCGACATATTTTCTCGCTGGTATGGCAAATGTCTTCCTTTTCACCCTTTTCATATGAGTGAACCTGAATCAAAAGTAGATGTGCCTTGTATGTGTACCAACTGAGTCGTGTTGGTTTGAATGATGGGTCGTTAATTTTAAAGAAAAAATAAAATTTTTCCCTTCTTTGATGCTTCATTCAATTGTCAATCAAACTGTCGAAGTTGTTTTTAACAATGCACTCTTGAAAATAAGTAAAGACATGGAATATGTACGTTTGAAAGATGATCTGTTAGCGAAACGAGCTTACTATACATATTTACTTGTGAGTTCCCGCACATTTAAATTCTGCTTCTTCCTGCAGTTTTGACTGCTGATGTTGATGTTGTAAAACACCAATTTGACATAAACACGACACACATTCGATGGTTAGAAGAGAAGAAGAGAAATAAACAATTTTTATTTCGGGGGCGCCAGTGAATAAATTCATAATTGAAGGTGAAAACTTATCGAAGTTTCATTTTACATGAAAAAGAAGAAAATGTGTCTAAATATTTTGTTCGTAATTTATGCGATTTCAAGTTTTTGTATACAAATGCTATTCAAGTAACAAGAATGTTGGAGGTTCACGTATCATGTATCATAGCACTTTCATTAGATTTCATTATTCGAGGTGAACAAAGTTGAAGTGATTGACATGTGTGATTGACAAAGTACGAGGAAATGAGTCGTCCTCAATTCAATTACTACTTTTCCCCTTTCGCTTTTATGTTGCTAATTTAACCATGAATCATAATGAATTGCAACAACATGCTCTGGTTTAATTTTTTCGATGTTTTCACTATTTAAAGTCATTACAATGTAAACGCAATAAAATAACATGACTGCTACTTCATCTGTGATGATGATGGGTTGCAATTGTATGACTGCGAAGCAACATTGCATAATAACTTTTAATGAGAGTTTACACATATCTTTGGTGCAAAATATTAATAATTGTGTATGCCTCAACCTCTGCTGACTGATGATTGCACTACAAAAGCTTTTTATTTACAAATTACTATGAAATTTGAAGGAGAATGAATTTTATTGAATCATCAAAGCAGGCAGATGAAGTGAAGAAAAGAAAAAAAAGAGAAGAATTTGTCGAGTCAGAGTTGAGGTCAAATCAGTCAAAAACTCAACTCACCGTTGATCCAATAATTAATTATTATTTTCATGCGTTTCTATTTTGATCAGATTCGTTTAATTTGAAATCATATTTCCATTATATTCGCCTCGGTTGCATGAAAGGTGTTCATGGAGTGTTCTGAAAGTAAGATAACTGAAAAGCATTTTAGACGCCACGATGATATCAAAGAGTAAAAGAGAAAATCTCAACATTTAATGAGATTTTTATGGTAAGCTTGAATGAAGATGTTAAGAATTCTTAACAACTTAAATTCCACTCAAGTTATAAAAAAGGCAATGAAATTAAGTGATTGCTATTCGGGACGCTAAAAAAAAGTTAAAACTGAATTATGCATAATTCTTTTTAAAAGGAGGGTTCACAGAGTGAGTCATCAATTCATTGTCGATACCGAAGCTTTCTTATCATCGTCATCTTTTATTTTTAAAAGAACATTTTAAGGAAGAAAAGCGCAAACTAATGGAACCCTCGCTTTCTTCTATGAGCGCCTTTAGACGTGTCATAAGTTAATATGGATGAAAATATTTCTCTTGTTTTTCTTCTCTTTCGTCCTCTGCCGATGTTATTACTTCAATTCCCATTTTGGAAAAAAAAATCGATAACGAAATCTCATAAAATTTCATCGATAACACTAAACGATGTTATGAATCTCGTCTGAATGCTTCACTTAAGTTTCTCCCCAGATTGTAAGTTGATGCTGAGTTAAGAAAAACAGTGAAAAATCTTTCAAAGATTTATTTCACTTCATTGTGTTAATTTGACTTGAAGCACGCGTTAAATCTTAAATCTTATTTAATTAAATAATGTAATGAATTTGTTTCATTTCAGTGAATTTACTTCAAAAATCCAAACCTTTAATTAAGCTGATAACTAACTGATTTTTCATCCTTCTCTATTGAATTTAAACCACTCTTTCAAATCTTCACTTGTTCCACTTTATAAGAACATTCAACATCAGTTATCCACACCATGGGTTTCAATTAAATGTTTATGTTTCATCAGATTTTTTTTCTGTTCTTTCTTTTACTCTCATATTTTCAATGAAAATATGAAACCACTAAAGAATTGTGTTGAGTTGAAATCATAAAATCCCTTTCTCTCAACTCGGTCGAAAGTCCCAACAAAGCATTGAACGAATATCCTCATCAAACAGCAGTTGCTTTTGATGAAAAGGCATAAAAAATTGAAAAATGAATTCTTGATAAAACGCGATAAAAAGATATTTATAAATTATGGTAGAAGTTATCAATACTCTCCCGGCTTTTTCCCCAACAGCTTGTGAAGCAGAAACAAAGCAATGCCCCGTCAGCAAACATGAAAAATTAACTTCAAAGAGAACTCGTTGTGTACGACGATAGATAAAAAATCGATATGGAAATTAAATAACGACGGATGCTTCAAACAAAAATCACAATAAATATTGATCAGACTAATGAATCAGGACACCGTGGAGATCAACGACGACAGACATCAAAGTCATTATCCAAGATAACATTCATGTGATTACTTTATTCTTCGAATCAAGTTTTTAATTTTTCTTGTCCTTTAATCTAGTGTTGATTGAAGGCATAGAACTATATTAAGTAATATCTTTACTATATTACAATATCAACGATCTGCCGAAGAAGTCGAAGTACAAAAACAAAAATTTATTGTTTCAGAATGTATGTTTAAGAGAAATAAATGCTTCATTAATTTATTTATCGTTTATTCCAATTAAACACAATAACAGGTAATATCACAAAAGGAAAATTGTAGTTTTTTTTTCAGAGCTCTTAGAATTATTCAGAATAGCGAGAATATTTTTTCAATTCAATATTAAAAGTGACGACTGAATATTCTGTATATGGGGACACTTTTGATAATTATTTATTTGCTGTGACTAATCGCTAATAATGCTTTGAGAAGAGGAACAGCGAGAAAGTCAACAATTAACGATGAGAGAGAGATGGTTGATTTGTTGCCATCGTTTAATGATAAGTGCTACCACATTTCACTTTCACCTCCACCCTACCCGTAACTTAGGATAATTTATTTAAAATCCATTTGCTCGCCTTCCATTGGGTCGTCGTCTAGTTCATAAACATGTTTGCAAACCTAGACCGATCTTTTTTATTTAAGCTTTTCACGCAATTTTTCGGTAGCTTTATGAAATGGCCATAATTAACGCTAATTGCGATTGCTGCTTAAATACACAACATAAATCCAACTGTGGAATTTTTTATGATTTTGCTTAGATTTGGACGTAGGTTACTGAACAAAAAAAGCTTTGAACAGTAAAGGAAAGAATATAAAGAGGCTAAAATAGTTTTCTTAAAGATTCTTCTTCCTCGATTTAATTAATTTAGAAATGAGAAGAAAGGGAAATTTAATTATTTTTTAATTAGGAACATTGTCTTTGAATGTTGTTGTTTCTAGCTTTCGTTGGGTTTTCTGGCCGTCGAAAGAATGAAATACATAAAGAAAATTCAATTTTATTATGTTGTTGCTGTTAGCCGTAAGTTTATTATTTTTACTGTACAGTGAATACTCAGAAAGATTTTTATGGGTTAAGTCACGGGATTTTTTCTCAAATTAAGATGATTTCATTAATGAACTATGCCCTATTCTCAGCTTATTACATTCACCTTGTTATTCGTAGTCTTTAAGTATTTCTTGAAAATTAAGACATCAAATTGAATCTTCTGGAAAAATTCAAATTTATTTATCTAGATGAAAACAAGAGGAGAAGGATTGAGTAAATAAGTAGTTGAGCAAGTAACAAAAAATAAAAATAAAAAGTGATAGAAAAAGAAACAGAATGAAGTAGATATTATAAATGAAACACGAATGACGATATCAAAATAATCCCCTCTTCGTCTTACGATTATAGTTTGTTGTCTGGTATGTGAAGAAAAAAAAATTATAATCACATTAAATTCTAACGAAGTCAAATAATGAAATCTCATTTTCTGGTGTGTACGAATTAAATGCGAGCTTGGTTGATCAGCTATGAAAATCACTTAAAGAGCTCTTTTGTTATGCATGCTTGAAGGTTTGCGACTTAAAACGAAGATAATTTCGTAGGCGTTGTTCATGATCAAATTTCCACTTTCGTAAATAAACTCAAATGAGATTAAAGCAACTCAAAAGACGTTTTCGCACATTTGTCCCCATTTAATTGAATAAAGAAATAAGATAGTTGCTTATTTCGACCCTAAATTTGAGACGAATTACGAATTCGATTGTCTCAATATTAGACACAATAAAGTTTTTTCGAATTGAACTTCAATGTTCTCCAATTGAATTCTAAACATCTTAATATTTTTAGATAACTGAATACTTGATAATTGATTGATTTTTACCTTCCACTTGTTCGTTTCTTCACTTCAACTGCCTTTTTTCGGTTGGAGGGATTATTACAAAGAAAGAATTGGAGAAAAACTCTTTTTTCATTCCGAAAGTAAACATTTCAATTCCAAGCATGAGATTTCATTTCTCGTCTCTCAAAGCTCATTCCCGGAACAAGAGGTTTAAGTAGTTTTAATTGAATGCCTCATACAACAAGCATATCAGAATAATCCATAGCTTGGTTTTCAATGAATAATAAATCTGTAGACAAATTCACGATGAACTAAAAACGATCTGAAGTCCGACTCAATCAATTAGACCATCAGAAATAAGTTATAAGTGGCTTGGTTTTATGGTTCTTGTCGTTGCTATTCTAATAAAGCGAAATGTCTTTGTATGGTGTTTTTCAATTAACTAATAGATGGGAATTGGACTAATAAATTAATTACACGATGAAGACTTTTCTTTCGAAATCTATGTCGGATTTCATATTTCATTTTTGTTGTTTAGGATTCTAATCATTCCCAGTTAATGCTCTGCTTTGTAAACTCCAATAAAAAGAGAACAAAAATGTGTCGTTTTGCTAATCGTCAAAGCAATTTAGATAATGGAGATTAGCCATGGCTAACATGCTTTTCTGACATTTGTCAGAAAATGCATGAAAAATTGTTGAAACATCAAAAAATAATTCTAACTGATCTGCTCTTCTTCTCATTCGAAAGAATTCTGAAGAATTTTTACTGTTCCGTGAATTATTTTTATACTCACAAAAAGCATCAACTTGAAATGTTTTAATTATTCTTCATAATTGTTATTGTTCAGAAAAAAAATTCTCATTGTAGTTTTTATATTTTTATTTGACAAAAGTGTGAAAAAGCATGAGACTTAGAAATGAAATAAAATTATGACAAAATATCAATAAAACGTTAACGATGAAAGAGGATGAGAAACTTTTTCTTGAAATTTTTCGCCTCTAGCATTTGTCTACTTATGTGCAATGATATTTCCATTTCCCATCAGCTTTAATGTTGTGAAATCTATCAATAATGAAAGAGAACGAAATAAATTTTTTTATGAATCATCATAAAATTGTGACTCCTTCCCTTAAGAGACGTTTTCCGCCAGCAAAGAAATTAAATTTATTGTTTGATAAATTTACGTCGAAGCTGGTTGAAAATTATAAATGTTTGAGCCACCCCCTCACTATAGAAGTCAACACATAGATAGATGACGATAGCATAAATGTGAGACATTGAAGGAACTTTTTTAATTCTCCATTTTATTAACACTTGAATTATTCATAAAGGCAGCGGTGATATTTAAATATTAACCCTCCTTCATCATATAACCATTTCATCTACAGCCAAAAATTTATATAGAAAGAGAAAAATCTCCATTTGAATCGTTTTCTTCGCCGATAAAAATGAGGACGAAATTTCTCATATAACTTACTTGCGATGACATAATGTAACAATGTAAAATTCAAAACTTCATTTAAATGTTAATGAAAATTACTGAAGTTTTAGACGTTCGTTATTCAAGCAGAAAAGATTGTTGGTGAATACTCAGACGTTTTTCTCTACAGATGATTGAAAAATGTCACATGCTTTAAGCTTGCTCCGCATGGGAACAATCAAAATCTATCAGCTTAAAAGCATTTTCAGCTTGCGAATTCAGAATTTTTGATGATGAGATGAAGAAGTTTAGCTCATGTTTAATGAATTATGAGTGAAGGAAGCGTATGATACCATACGATAGAAAGGAGAATAAATGATTCACTCCAATAATGTTTACTTTATCTTCCAACTTCATTTTTTCTCACATGATTGTGCACATGTTGAGAATGTTAAATGAATATTTCTCTCTGTTAACACACAAAACTGAGTCAGTATGCGAGGGAAACGATAGATGGTTTGAACTGAAGTCACATAAACAGTCGTTTTCATATAACGAAAAACAGGAGAAGAAAGAAACGATAATGAACTAAAATCGATCCCACCTACTACGCCTGCTTTCCCTAGCTATATTGACGTATGTAGATTCAGAATCCTAAGTCATAGAGCATCATGTACGCGGAAAGCAATGCTAGGCAAGCTCATCATCTTTTTATACGTCAAAGACGTCGGTTGAGAGTAGGAAAAGATATTAGAATTAATCGATTATGTTGATTGATAGATTTGAAATTGAAAATAAATGTATATGATGATGATGAGAGAAGAGGATGAATGAAACCGAAGAGCTTGAATAAAGACGAGAAAAGAGAAGTTTATCAGCACCTTAAGAAGCATGGGGATGGATATGAATAGCAGGAAAATATCAGAAGCAGAACCTAACATCACGTCAGTTTACACACATAATAAGAAGAGGTTTATGATTGACAGATTGGGAGCTTTTTTATATTATATTCAATAAAATATTCTACTTTCTTTGTTTCCATTCTTATATAAATGTTTTCCTTTTCTCAGAGCTTCTTTTTAATATTCATAAACCGATTTTATTTTGTGATGTAATTTTTTTTTAACATTTTTTCATCGCATTATTGTTTTGTTATGCTTGTCTACATATCGCAATCTTTAATTCCTAATATTAGGGAATTATTCCGTCAATTTATGTCTTAAGAAAAAGCTCGATTTCTCAGAAGATAAAAAAGGAAAAACATAAACAAACAAACATAAATTCTTTTTGAAAAAGATGTTTAATTGTTTCGCATCGTTTTAAGAGGGTCGGTTTTTATATGTTTATTTAGAAACGAGATCTTATTTATACTTTTTTTTATTGATAGGGTTTAAATTTTTTGTTCTTTACATATTTCGAATTTTTAATGTAATTTCAAATATGTTGAACGTATTGTTAAGCTTATGCTTTTCTTCTGAATCAAACTAATAAATAGAACAATTGTTATTTACTCACCCTGGTCTTTTCCTAGGAATGTTCTGCTCCGTTCGGATACTTCAACTTCAGTTCACCGATATAAAAATTTGATTAAATTGGATAAGTACAGTTTTAAACTTGACGCAATCCACAATCACTTGAACTCATTTCCTTTTCAAAGTGTCAAAAACTTTATTTCTCTTTTTAATCTCGCTAAAGCGTCAAGATTAGGAATTTTTCATTTGAAATTCTTTTCTTCTTTAACGTAATTTTCTCCACAATTAATCCATTAATCCGACAATTATTGCGATCCCGAGAACGTTTTTTGCTTTACGAGAGCACGCTCAGTCAGAACGTAACTTTTCACTTGATATCACAATTATCATACGACAGGCACCTTCGATATTCACCACCCGAAAAATTCTGCCCTTTTTCGTCTCCTTTAAATTAATTGCTTTTCTTTGCTCCTGTTTTGTCTATTTACCTTTTCATCTGTTTATGTTCAGTGGAAAAGTCTTGACTTGATTACTTGCCTCCCTTTGCTTCAATTAATTTTAATGGGCACAAGAGAACGGGCTGTAAACGAAAATTTTTGCGCTATCGAAAGTTTGCTTGCAGATTTCACGACGACAAGAAAACTTAGCTAACAAATGGAAAATTCCTTTGAAATATAAAATTATTTCTAATGTTTTGCCTCTAGAGCAATTAAACCTATTCTCTTGTATCTAATTTATGTGTCACTTTCAGGCAGTTAATGAATGAGAATATTTCTTATAGTTAAGATTATTTTTCTATTTCACTATTTTATTGTTTACTGCACTTTTCTTTTATATGCAAAAGGGAAAACATTCTTTCACAGGTTTTCTAGAGTTCTTGGTTTGAGTTTGGAAAAAACTTTTCGCATAAAATTTTAGGTTCATTCAACATCGAGTTTTGGGGGAAAATTCACTCCTATAGTTTTCACTGGTTTTTGTTTTTGTCGGATGGCTTCTCTGCAGGGAAAGAAGAAGAATGTTTTTCGGTAGGCATCCGAAGGGAATGGGTGAAGAAGAACTTTAATGTTTTTCCACTAACACTAACGTAAATGCCGGAGGAAAACGGAAATATTTTCTTTTTTGCTGCTACTGCCTTTTTCCTTCTACTAAATCGTAAATCGATTTTTTTGGAGGGTAGCGGATTTAATTTGTCTTCTTATAACATTAAATTATATTTATTTCCTCTATTCCAATGCATCTTAATCTCAATCGACTCAATTAAACAATTTTTTCGCAAATTTTCTCTTTTGTAATTTTACTGTGAGTCAATTATTTTAGTTTTCTTTATTTTGTTAACTTCACTTGAGAAGATCTAAATGATTATTCACATCAATATGCTTATTTGATCAGTATTTTATCATTAATTTCACTTTTCACTTGCCTTTTTTTTCTTTTTATGTCAGATATTTGTAGGAATAAAACAAATAAACGAGCGATCGTTGTCACTCAACATGAAAAATATGACTGAACATGAGTCTTCTTTGGAGAAAAATTATGCAGGGCCAAAGGCATAAAAAACATTGAGAGAGAAAACCCGATGCTCAGAAAGCCGAAACGGCGCGTGTCAGCCGAACACTTACACAACTACAAAGTTTTAAAAGAATGCTTTATTTGTGCTACTTGCGAGCAAAAGATAAACCATAGCAAGAAATGTTTTGTTTTGATATATCTACTTCTTCCTTTACTTCTTTCTTGTAAGACTCGTTTCTACCAGTCAGAAATGTAAAGAGCAACAAATGCTACGATGTAGAAAATTAAGTACAAATGTAGAAAACAGAAAAGAGAAACATTTTATCCAAGTCAAGTGTAAGATTTTGATTCTCATTCTCTTTGTCGCTCTCTTGGCTTGTTTCATAAATGTCCCAATATAAATCGGCGGGCATTAAAATAGACTATAGTAAAATATCAACTTAATTAACGACTTCATTGCTTATTACATTGCATTCAAACGAAGAGTCTCGACAAATAAGTTAATATTTCAGCTGCATCTTGCGACTTAAATAATCGAGGAATTAGGTATTAGGACATAAAACTTTCTTTCTTCTTGCAGTATTTTTTTTTTGTGAGAAGTGCCAAACCTTCAAATCAATAAAGAAAAGGAGGAACCAAACTACAATGCAAAATTCACTCTTAAATTTACACTGAAGTAAAGTCATTTCTTAATGAAATGAATATAACCACAAACCTTTGCCAAATCATAAAGTTTTTATGTTTCAATCCTTTCTTAATTACAATCGCTTAACTCTGTCCCTTAAAACCACATTATTTTTTGCAATTTAACAGTTATTTTAAAACTTCAACTGAAAGAGTAAAAACATTTTCAACATGATCAAATGAAACCAAAAGCAAGAGAATGGATTTCACATCATTTAAATAATTGTTTTACTCTGATTATTCTGTTAAAAATAAGAAATCTCAGCATCTATATCAGCTGGTACAATTAGGTCAATTGTTTCTAATATGCTTTCATGAACTTGACAGTGAGAAAATCAACTTATTCCGGCGTCTGACTTATATAAGTTACATGATTCTCAACAGCTCAGGTAGGAGGGAGAATCTTCATTCAGATTTCAAATGTTTTAAAGTAATTTAATAAAATTACCTAATTCTCTTTTTGTAATAATAAAAATACGTTCGGCTAAACTAAAACAAAAGCAAATTGCTGTTCTCATTTTCACATTCTTTAAGAGTTGCGAAGAATTTTTTCCCAACACGAATTAAACATATTTTTTAGCAAACTGGGACAACAACGGAATGAAAATAAAGTTACGTAAGACGCAAGAAATGCGCATACATAAAGTGGAATGTATCACCTTTAATTCACATCGCTCATGCTATTTCAAAACTAAGTTTACGCTTGTTTTGCATGATCCGAAACTATTTGACATTGTCATAGTATAGGTTCACCCCAATGAAACAAATTGAAGCTTATTGAAACGTTTAAAGTGCAAAAGGAAATTATACTTCTTCAAATCTCCAACTAATGAGAAAGTTATAACAAACATGGATGAGTGACGGAAATATTAATATACACCGCCAGTTCCCCATTCTTGGGGCAATGCTTTTCAGAAATTATATTTAACTTCATTTATTTAATTCCTTTAATTATATTATGTAAATTCACTTAGAGTCCGTGCTGCGGGATAAGCCAATATAAATTATTTCCTTCGAGACAACCACCATTAATAACAATTAATCATTGATTCATTTCACGTCATTTTCTTGACGAGGAAATAGCGAAAGAAAAAGAAAGCAATTCTAGTAAAAATTTAAAAGGAATTACGTCGTTGACACCCGAAAATTGGGAAATGATTTTCCATGTTTAACATCCCTCCCATGAATATTTTTCATTTATAACAGAAGCTAAAGCTGTGACTTGAGTGAACGAAGGAATTGTTTTGTATATTTTTGTAAACATGGACTCGACAAAAATTCTTCACACATAAGATTCCATAAAAACGATTTCCGTTTCGAGGAGAGATTTATTTCGAACACTAAACACATTTCGTGATACTTCATGTTCAAGGAAAATGCATCGGCATCATGAGGGTTAAAAACCAATGTCTTAAAATCTAAAGAAAAATGTATTTCGTTGTGTAAACATTTATATCTAGTGGAAGGTTTCTTGCTTGGTTGTGTCATTGAACTTTGCAGCAAAGGAATTTATGGGGTTTGATATTCATTGAGGAAACGAATGAAAGTACAGTAAAAAATCTTCTGAAGAATGTAAGAGAATACAAGAATGAAGAAATACTGTGGCTTTTTAATTCACAATAAGAAGTGTGTGGTTTAAAAGCTATTTAAAAGCTATTTTAAGAGTCCAAAGAAGTACCACTGTAATCAACTGCATAATATCTCGTGTTTCACATCGGACTCAATTTTCATCCCCCTATAAAATTTCAGATTTCTACCAAAAAATGATGTTAAATAATGACATGAAACAAGATTATTTCCATTCCCTCCCTTGATATGTCATCGTATAACTTTTGACATCTTTGTATTATTTTCTCCATCGAAGAGTCACATAAAAATAATAAAAATTGATGTTACAAATAAAAGTGCTTTGAAATTGATTTCAGAACAAAACACAGTTCATTGTATAATAGCAAAACGAACACTTGCTACTTTCCAGAAAGACAACCTCGATAGGGAAAGACAAGCGCGACACTAGTTCATTCAGAATACAATTCATATTATTATTCTGTATGTCGACATCGATTATATTTTATTGATAAGCAGAATAGCAACAAGGGAGAATTTTCAGAAAGATATTTGACATGTCTGTGTAGACTCTAATTTTCCTTCTGGTGAATAAGAGCCTTACTCATTCCTTTTTGTGTTGATCTTTCACAATTTTCTTACACCCAAAGCAAAAGGGAAATGTCACATAAACATTGTTTCTTATCGTTATAATTGAACAAGGGTATCTACCGTCAGTACTCTGAATTGTTTTAATCTAAGACTTTGTGAAGGAATCTCCACTGTGCGTTTTCCAAATGATGGAAATAGTTAAACTGTAAATATAATAAATTGCAAGGAAAAGGGAAGAAAATATTTTATGACTGTCATACAAACTAGAAATAGAGCCAACAATAAGAAAACTAATTTTAGCGTACCACAAATTGACATCAGCAAAAATCATGTTGTTGTCATGTTTCTCCTTGTTGGAATGAAGTTGAGTTTTATTAAATGAGTTCAATAGACTGTATCACAAGAAAACTTGTGTAATATACATATGAGAATGGACACAATAAATTATTACAATGCAATGTGTCTCTTCTTCAATATAAGAATCACTATGCATAGATTTTCTCTCGCTCTAGGGATGATTTTTTTGGAAACAAATAAATAAAAGTTTCAATACGTTGTTTTTGAAGAGTGTGAGCTTATAAATACATAGTGATAAAATAAGCAACATAAATGATATGAAACAGAATAAGACCGGTTCGGTCACATAGTGCTGAGCCATCAATTTATTCTTATCTTGCTTAGTTGTCTTATTATCATCTCGTTCAAAGTCCATTTTTATTAAACTATATCAAGATTCAAGATGTCAGCAAATTGAGTAACATTTGCATAAATACTGGTTCCAGTTTTAATAAAGTTTAGATGTTAGTCGATAAAAGGTAATTAATAGCCGAACATTTGCACTATAAAAGATCTAATAAACTTTTTCTAACATGCTAATTGCTATTGCTAAGTAAAGCGAGGTTGTTGTTGTATGATTTATGAGTCTGCGAACATTATAAATGAAATTGTAATTTATTGCACATAAAATGTCGTTTTTCTAAAGAATTGTGTAAAGCTACTTTAAGATTTTCTGGTAAATGCAACATGTGATAAGTTTTAAACGTTTTTTGTGGGTGGAGGCTTTTCATATTTATGAAGACTTTTGAATTATACGTAAATGATGTTACCTTATTAGAATAAGTTAATCCAAATATGTATGCATGTAGTAAATGAATTAATTGGCTTATAAAATTAATAATCAAAGCATTCAATTGTAATGTTAAAGCAACACTTAATTATTAGGTCCCAAACTAGTACGCATTTTTTGAATTCCCCTACAAGCAATAAAAATTAATTTCCTAAATTCTGAATGTTCACAACAATCGCCAGTTTCGCCACCCTAATCGTAGCTTTATAATCCTAATTACTTCTCAGATTTAATATATTTTTCCAACACGAAAGGTCTACAAACACTCAAAAGATCTAACTCATTAAATCTGAATTGAAAATGAATTCTTAGGCAACAAAAATTTGTCAATTTCTACAAAGAAATTCTTTATTCTTTTTATACTTGTCGAACGAAAGTTCTGTAATCTCTTCACCTCATTCTTTTGGTATTTGCTTTCCGTTTTCTCCGAATCCCTTTGAATAAAACATGAGGCAGAATGGAAAGGATTTGCTTTTCATGAACGACGTTTTTTTCTTGGAGACCTACGAAAGGCAAAGGCAGTAAAAAAGCCAAAACTTGAAGTCAACTGATTATTCAGGAAATTATTTGACTATGAATGTGTAACAAAAGGTCCATAGGATAAAATATTCATTTCATAAACCGCATGTGTCCTTTTTTCAGTTTCGCAACATATTTACAGAAATTAATATTTTTGTTTCATGGAAAAGATTTTCAGATGATTAGCATGCAAAAAATCTTATAGAAAGGGTTGTTGGAAGTGGAAAGAACAAATAATTCATTTGGGAGACGATAAAACTGAAGCCTTGAGCTTATTTAGTTTCAATAGAAAATGCCAACAATTAATTTAGATTGGAAGTACAAATTAAGCTCCATTGATCATAAACCTAAAGTTTAAATAATAAATTAATAAATTTCTTATAATTCTTATAATTTCTTTTTTCATTTATGATAATATTTATTAAAATTTTCAGCTCATTTTTGGTTCAAGGGTCTTCGAATAGTGTATTCAAAAATGTTGTGAAGAGATTTTTCAAACTCAAGTTTTAATTATAATTATCAACTTGAACACGTACAAAAGTTGTCGAAATTGGCTAAAAAATTATTCTAATACAGAGATGAAAGTTGACAAAACTTAATTTTCACTCATAAAATGAATAAAGTTTACGTCCAACTGATTATTTCCTTAGTTATTTATGCAGTTAGTTTACTTATTTATGTCATCAAAATTGCATGCTAAATATCAGCACTTTATTGCAAATTTATAATTTAATTCGAATTGTTAGAAATATTCTTTTATAAACATGATGCTTTAACTCGTCGCTTATCTTGGAAATTACATGTCTATTTATTACTTAACGTAATGAAACTCAAATGTTTTGTGAATGAATAAGCTAAATGTAGAAAACGATCGATCAGAAAGTTCCAAAAGGGTAAATTTAAAAAAGCGGAAGTGTAATGAAGAGAATGTCACTGATGCAGCTTCATTGCAGATATTATTCAACAATCTTCAAACATGTGTATGTATTCACACCAATTATACAGAAACCCACATGTTTCATCTTTTTCCACTTACGGAGGCCCCACCCTAGGGTGACGGGCAACCGTATTGGATTTGCCCAAAAATTTCAAAAAATTTTCTTTGCTTAATTACACTTAAAATGGGTTGAAACGTCGAGAAAAGTGGAAAAAAACGAAAAAAAAATTTCTGTCCGCTTTCGGGTCTGTGGGGATGGATGGATGGATGTAAACACTCGCATTTCTACATTTCTTAACCGATTTGGAAAATTTCTTTACGTAAGTGTTTTAAATACAAATAGAATTTTTCTATCAAGTTATGGGGTGTGTACCTTTAATATTTCGGGTACCTGCCATACAAAGTTGCCCTTTCCCTAGCGAAAAAAAAAAAACATTGCTAGCGAAAAAAAAAAAACATTGCTAGCGAAAAAAAAAAAAAATTCCTAGCGAAAAAAAAAAAAAATTCCTAGCGAAAAAAAAAAAAAATTCACAGCGAAAAAAAAAAAAAAAC